CAGTTCACAATATAGAGCAACTTACATTCAACGTCGTAGTTGATTAACTCTCCTCATGTTCGACTTAGTTGACTCCACTGGTCACGGCTTCTCGTCGGAACTTCGGGAATCCCCTCTCAAAACCAGTCACCAATGAGCACTAGATTGATTCGATTTTGAGGTTTGTGGAGGTTTATTAATTGATTTTAGGTTGGAATTCATTATAGGCTTACATCATTGGTATTTATCAATGAATAAAAAGTTAAACAATTTATTGGTAATTTTCTGTTCTTATCTTGGGTGGCATTGTTTGATCTCTGTTGGTAAATGGACTCCAATTCAGATGTTTCGGAACTGCTTGGATATTCACTACATTGTAGTCGACTTGATGGCTATCATTGCAACTCAATACGCGCACTTCGTCTTATTTAGCATTTGTCAGGTGAGTAATGTTGTTACCACTTAGGCTCAAACCCAGCACCCATCACTTCAAGCAGCAAAGCGTTACTTGCTAGATCAATTGGTCGAAACAGCCACCACTTGAGCAACCAGTATCATTTATTGTAGTTGATCCTTGTAATTTTCTGTTCGTATAATGGATCAAATTGTTCGAAATGTAAAACGAGATTGTTCTTACTGATCTTTCTCTATCTGTTGATAAAAGCGTCATCAAACTCAAACTCAAAAGAGATAACTTGGGATTTTCGGTGTGGATGATAAAGAAGCTGACCAAATATAGTGTGTTAGGTGTGATGTATGATATATATGTGTGTGTGTGAGTGTGTGGATTACAGATTGAGATTTTAATGCACACATCTGATTATAGTCCTAATCGAAAATGTGATAGTGATTTTGGCATGTGGGAATTAATGATTATTTCTGTACTCTATCAGTTACAAGTCAGTGAACTGTTTGATTAGAATTGCATTAGACAAGCAGTATTATATCTCAGCGTAATTCGAGGTATGAACGAAAACAATATTTTCCTGTCCTAGAAACAATGTTTTCAAAATTAAACAATGTACTACTGTAAGTAGTCACATTTTTCGAAGAAATCTAAAGTGTTCAAACTTGGATCAGTAGTTTGACATGTAGAGAATACATAAAGGAATCATTGTTTATCACAGTTGTTTTACGGTTCCTTGAAGCCAGTCATCTCAATAACGCTCATCACCATCAAATAAATACTATCTTCATGCTTTTAAAATAAAATAAATTTCACACAGAGAAAATACCTCATAGATGCTTGTAGGAGAGACCTGACAACGCTATATCAAATAACCAGGTTACTATCTGCGAGGGAAGAGATCAACGCAGATGAAACCAATGAAAGATAGTAAATGAAACTTAACTAGCACCAAAGAGGAGAAACAAAGGAAACGATGGGTTGACCACTTCAAAAAACTCTCAAATCGACCACCACCACCACCACCTGCAACTCATCCAAAAATACCACCAGCAGCTCAGTCACACTACTATCAGTGAACACAAACCCTCGACAAAAAGCAGAAGTGAAGTTCACAACGCCATAAAGTTACTGAAATCCGGGAAAGCAGAAGGACCAGATGGAATTCCGTCAGAAGCACTGAAAACTGACCCACAGACACCAGAAGACATGTTCACACCACTACTGCAGAATATTTGGAAGGAAGGAAGAAAGGAAAGGTACCTGCTGGTTGATTGGAAGAAGGGCTACCTTGTCAAACTCCAAAACAAGGGCGACCTAAGTATTTGTAAGAACTGGCGACGAACCATGATCCTGTCCACACCTAGCAAAATATTAAGCCGCATCATCCTGGAGAGACTAAACAATGCGCTGGATTCAAAATTACGAACGGAACAGGATGGCTGACTGGCTGGCTTCAGGAAGAACAAATCATGAGACGATCAAATTGCAACGCTACACCACGCATGCTCATAGAACAGAGCATAGAATGGCAGTCGACTCAACTCTACCTCAACTTCATCGGTTTTGAAAAGGCCCTCCTTCGACAGGGTCGACCGAGAAGTAATTTGGCAGACAGCTGCTTCAACACTACGGTTTTAGTGCCACAAACATTTAACAGCCTCAAACAACAGCCATATGCTATATGATGCTACATGCCAAGTGATTCACAATGGAAAACTCAGTGATACCTTTGAAGTGAAGACAGGAAGGAGTAAGATAAGGCTGCCGCCTACTATCACCGATGATCTTCGTGATTGTGGTCGACTGGATCATGCAACAAACAGTGAGGAGCGGGAAGAGAGGCAGACACTGGACCGATGAAAAGAGCCTGGAGGATTTTTGATTTCGCCAACGATGATGATTTATATGTAATATCGCAAAAACTCAAAGATATCATTACAAAATCCAACAAGTTGGCAGAAGAGGCGAGGCAGCGAAGACGGGACTTTCTTCAGGTGAACGTAGAGAAGACAGAGGTGATGAAGATACCCAACCAACAACAAACACTGCAAGAAGCACCAATCACCATCAGTGGGAAGACCGAAAGGAAGTTGTCTCTTTCACCTACCAACTAGACAGCATCATTTCAACTACAGGCGGCACATGCACAGATGAGGATGTCAAAACCAGCCAGCCAGCCAGCCAGGATCGGAAAGACAGCGAGACAGGCCTTCCTGCGTTAATCTGAAGTCAGTGTGGAGATCTACTGCACTACACTCAACATAAAGAACAAGATCCGGCTTTTCAACACTAATATCAATCAAGTCAGTGCTTCTATGTGATGGTTGAGAGACTTGGCGCATTACGAAAGGCATTTCCAACAAACTACAGACATTCATCAACATCTGCCGTCTACACTCACTCGATACTGAAGATCTGATGACCAGAAACAGTCAGCAACAAGGAACTCTGGGAACGAACCAACCAAGAACCTATGACCCAACAAATATGCAGTGGAAGGAAGTGGAGATGAATTGGATTGGACATACACTGAGAAGACCATTCGGGGACATCACGCGCCTGGCCAGGCCCTCGAGTGGAAACCACAGTGGAAACGATGAGTTGGGCATCCGAGTCGAGGGTGACATGGAGGAGATGACGCGAGGAAGAAATGAAAGCTTGTGGGCAGTCGTGGAGCGAGGTTCAAAAGACTGCAGAGAAGAGAGTGAAATGAGACGTGCTACTGAGGCCCTATGTTCCACTAGGAACCCAAAGGACAAATAATAATATGCTTATTCAATTGATATAAATATATTTAAATAAAAATAATCTTTACAGAAATGCATTGCTGTTTACAAGGCTCTCAATTGCGTTACCCGAAGGCAGGCAGCGGTTTTATTGATGATTATTAGGTAGCAGTATAAGTCAGGAGAAGCGTTTGGTCTTATTTGAATATGCCTTTCTGTCAGTGAGTGATATGTTCCCCCCTATGATTCTAACTCAGGACTGACTGCTTGAAATAACAGATCGTTATCCACTAGACTTCGGGATCGCCACGGCCACTTCTTTTATAACAGTTGTAGTTTATTTGGTACCATTGATTGGACCGAATAGATCAGTCTTCATTAGCATATGGGCTCATGTGTGGATCCCTCGATATTCCCTGTCGTTTCAGTTTTCACCTCATTGATGGGATAATACAAACAACATCATTAATATATAGCGTCTTCAACTGAAAATGAGTTTGCCTTTACATCTGGCAGCAACGAACTTTTAAACTCTTGCAATAAGTACACCGGAATGGTAAAAATAAAAGTTATACATGTCTATGCGTAAACAGAACTGTTAGTTAGGCATATTGAATCACCTGTCCTTAACAAATTTGCAAGTTATATAGTAAAATGAACCTTATTTCAATGTAAACAGCACCTTAGTGGATATGGCTTTGATGTTTGAACTGATGAGTTCTGCGTTCAAGTCTCAAGAGTAGCACCACCACTCACTGAGGTGTAGGTTTATGCAGCTGACAAGTTTCGTATGAAAGAAAAGACTCTTTCTGGAGTCCACTGATAAAAACTGCTAACCAGAGCATAACATAAAGAGAACTGTTCAGAACAGGAATCGCAATAAGCTCAATTTCAGGAATCTCTTACATCGGTATTAAGAGAGTAGAATTTGATCTGTATGGCTAAATATCACTCCATTTTGGGTTGTCTGTGAAATTTATCGTGAAGACGTGGTTTAAACATTGTACAAGCCACTGTCATTGATTTCCAGAAGCAAAACCTGAGGTCATCAACTTCCGATGTGATGCTTGACCTCATTCGGCTTTCTTTTTGGTTTTAACCTAATCTTGCTGCAATAGAAACCTCGGGACCAAGATTTCTTTTTAGTGTTCTCTAATAGTTCATAATCAAAAACTGTGGTACTCATGCTTCTTTGAAGATCTAAACCTGGGTGGTAAAGTACCTTATCTAATTCGTCATCATTTGATTATTCCGACAAGTACTGATAAACCTATACTGGTAAATTAATTCCTGTAGTGTCGATAGGTTACTAAAAAAGGTAGACAGCGTTGTGGTTTCCATTGTGTTTACTCCTTACCACAGCTTATTTCTCTGACTTGCTGTTTAGGTATTGGGCTAAGTGACTTACAACAGTCTGAAGTGTTTAGGGGGACATAGACTGCCTGACTGGGGTACCCAAAACCATAGAAATCGGTGGTTCAGGACTCTTGATGATATGGTTGAAGTTCGGTGGCCATGGCGCAGATATATTCACTCTTTGAAGTCTTATAAAGATTGAATATTTTGACCAACCTTGATTTTTAGATTCACTTTACTCCTATTCACTTTTCTCTACTTTTATATCAGCCTTTCCTATATACATGTTTTTTGTATACTACTGTGGAGTGTGACAAGTTGAACTGATGTACTTGTATACGAAGTTCTACGTTGACTTCTTCTATCTCACTGTCTGCGTGGCTTTCGTAGAAGTTTCTCTTACTTGATGAACCTTCTCACAGTCAGAGAATGGTGGGTGATGGTAGGTTATAGGATACCCAAAGATCTCATTTCTAGGACTCTACAAGGTCGTTTAACAAGGTATTTCATGGTAGGTTACTTATAACACTGGGAAGCTTTTGACTAGCTAGCAAAAATTAAAAATTTTCATGTATTTACATAGGCCTCTCTGTAATAATCTTAATTTTATTTAATAGAGGTAAAGGTTATTAGTTGATGTTGGATGATTTATTTTGATGTCATTGTTGCATTTACTTTTTTTACACACAGTAACCAACATTCTTAGAAGTGTATTAATTATTGATATCAAATTGTTTAGTGCATTCTCTACGAAATTAGATCAAAACTGGACATTGAAAGAACAGAAACTACGCGCACAAATTGATCATTTAGAAATAATGGTTCATAATTTACAGCAGCAAATAAAAGAACAAGAGGAAGAAAAAGCAAAACACCGCCATCATCAGCAACAGCAACAGCCTTCTAATCAGTTTGTTGAAGAACATATTATCTCGAATACAAATCAGTCTAATACTTTAGAAAGTGTTCCAATTCGACAGGATAATAAATCAAACTCCTATGAACAGCCGACAGCAACTCATTTGTTTGCACAAGTAATTTCACCTCTCTGAAGCATTTTTCACCTTTATCTTTTTTTGTCATTGTGTTTATTGAAAATAGTTTGATAATTGTTTGAAATGATGAAGAGACAACCTAAGTGGCAGTACAACCTGATTTAGAAGCCTCCGAACCACCAATCTGATTCTGTGTAGATTGTGCTGCACTCACTAACGAAAGTGCCAATAAAGTTTCAGTTTTATTTCGATCGCTACGTTCTTGTTGTTTTCAAATAAATACGGGTTACATCACCGTTTAGTTAAAAAAAGCAGGAATGGACAAGTGAGCATTCTCATCAATCGTATACAACCTGATAAGAATGTTCACTACAGATGAGTTAATAATTGGGAAATTAGTTGATTATAAGTGAAGAATAAAATGATTTAACAGAAGACAATTTAGTGAAGGAAGTTTTCTTTTCCACAAATTATTTTCACAAACTGTACAATCGTATTTAAAGTTATAACAAAAGGATTTATCTCCATCAATAGCTGATTGGTCACTACAAGGTCAAATGAAAGTCATCAAAAATTGCTTTAAGTTTTCCAATAAATAAGCAAATCATAAATGAATAAACAAATAAAATGTCTTAGGGAGATTATTATCAAGGTAAAATCATAGATTAGAAGTACCTTGTTTGAATGTAGAGATCATGCTTGCATTGATGAATTGTCAAAAGTTTAGCTGCGTTCAGGCTGAATCCACACTCCCTTAGAAATGTTTGGTTTGGCTTTAGAAATTACTTTATAGGAAGATTCTGACGAAGTATAGTGTTCAAAGTTAACCAGATACTCAAGAGTCGAACTGGTAATGGCTTTACGCTCTCCTTTAGACAGCCATGCACGATAGTTTGGGTTTGCATAGAACACGATTTGTGCGGCCAATGTAACTAGCTTCATAAGAACAATTGAATTGGTAAGCGCACATGGAGGAATTTCGAAGTCACAGTTTATCCTTTATACACCCTCGAATCAGTTGTTGACTGGAGAAAGAATCTGAAGTTGTGCGGAAATGAAGGTCTTCTTCTTTGGATATTACGGGTTTTGTTCTTGGAACTGTTTTAGATTCATGTTTGTTTTCAATGAATCTTGAAGGATAACCATTTCCAATGAACGCTTTACAAAGTTCATCCAGTTCCTCATTTACTGCATGATTTGTACAAATTCTTCGAATTCTTGCCTAGTGGAACGCAACTTTGAAAACTGGTATTCCTTTCATCCTAAGTTTGTTTTTTCCTGTAAATCGATCTTCATAAGGAACCATCATGTCTTCTCAACAGAGCTTCCAGGAAGTAGAACTCTGAGTTATTTTCAGTTTTCATCGTAAATTTAGTTGTCTTGTGGTACTTATTGAACTTTTGAAGTAAATCTTCAAGTTACTGTCCTCCTCATAGATGATGAACGTGTACTCCATATACCTTTTATGTAGATGGAGCTGGTCAATCAATGAACGCAGTTTACTATTTCAAAGACTAGTCATGAAGCAATCAGCTATTCCGTTCTTTTGTTGATAATATTCATTATAAAATCTGCATTGTGCATCGTATGAGCAATTACTTGTAACTCTCTGCTTACAATTTCTGATAACTATAAATACGAATGTATATCTTCTGAAAATGATTGGTTAAAAAGAAAATTTCCTTCACTGAGTTATGTTAATTTCTCATTACCCAATGAAACTATTTTGATAATAAAATTGTTAGCAAACTACTACTGGGAATTAGTATAATTAAAAACAAGATTTTTGATTAGTAGTTTTAAAATGACAGTCCTAGAATACTGGTAATATAATGTAGCAAATAAATCATTGGGTCGTTATGAAAAGAAAAGGTAAGTTAATTGAGGAAGTTATCATTTCGACGGACTCATTTACTAAAGTTGTGCGTATGAATATTGGAAAGGAAGATAAGCCTACTTTACTGAATAAGACTAGATCGAAACGATGATCCTTAAGAGAGAAAAAACTTTCCTAGTAGTACATTACCAATAAGACTGTGGTAAAAGAAACCACTGACTTTACTTTGTTGGGCACAGAGATCTGACTTCAATCGATGAATTGCCTTTGTATTCACCATGTAAAAGATGTGAAATTGTGCTCCTTTGGAACCGTTTGCCTTTTTCCTTTTTTTGATAATCTCGAAGGTGAATAGATGGTGGTAGAGCTATAGAACCGAAACTAAGTGTTCAAGAATCGTACTGGTGATTGGTTTTGCGTTCTCCTCTCAATAGCTTGGATATGTGTTTGGAAAGTGCATGATTTGCATGACCAAAATAACTAACAATTGAAGTTGTAAATACACAGTGAAGGGCCCTAAAGTGGTACCATGTCATCAGCACACTTAGTAGTTGTTATGATACTTGTAATTTCCGTTGCCATACAGGACCGAATTGTTTGACCTCTGCTGTTGACCAATGGGCTCCTGTGCAGATTTATCGATGCTGCCTAATATTCACGATGTTATATTCAGGTTGGTGATTAGCAGAGGAATCTAGGGCTCGTGTTTCATCCTATTCGGGTCTTGTCGGCTGGACGTGCTTGCACCTTAGTGAGTGATATTGTTCCTAGTGAGACGCGAACCCAGTATCCATCGACTCAAACGCTAAGACATTATCCACTAGGCCACTGTACATGTACATTCGACTGACGAGTCGCAAATGGGACGAAACACGCATCCTGCCAGCCATCAGTAATTATTTACTACTTTGAAATAGTGTAATGTAGTATGGCAGCAAAGAATGTTCTCCTCAGCAATGTAGACAACTGTCTCTTTAGGATTTCTGCTGTGATGTCATCTCTGAAATCACCAATCATAAATAATATAAGTAATAATATAAATGAAAGAACAAACAGTGATCTGAACCGAATGAGTTGTAAGCACAGTAAGCATAAAAGCTGAGGTGGTTAGATCACTAATATTGTTACTAAGTCAGTTGAAGCGAAATCACTGACTTATCTTGAATCAATATCAAATTTTAACTCCTAAATATTTGTGGTGTATAAAGAAATGAGTAGAATAGAAAAGTGCTTCTTATCTGTTGTTCCGAGTGCATTTCTTGCCTTTGTTTTACATTGTATTTAGACTATGAGGTTCAGTAAGGGTATTAATGTCATTCGACCCTCAAAGGCATCGTTCTCTGGAATGTATTCGTCCGTTCTCAAATAGGTTTCCTTATTTCATAGGTTTAAATTGATTAGAAAGTATTAGCAATCGAATTGTTGGTGACTTTATTATTTTCTTCTAGCCTACTGATAAATTGTTTCAATGAAAAATAACACTTTCTTAAAGCGAAAGGGTCATAATTGAAGATAGAACAAAACCTACATTACAACAGAATTCATAACAGTTGGTTTTGGATCTCAAGTCTAGTACTTTGACACTGAAGCTTAAAAGCGACAAAAGTAAAAGCAACTGTACTAACTTCACTCCTTTTTGATGGTATTCTACTGCTTGAGGTGGACGATTTTGTTGTAAACTTTTGATTATCATTCTAGACAACTTCATCAGCAGGAACTTCAGGAAAAAGTGGGTTATGTGGTGTTTCTCTCAAGTGATCTAGTATTTCTTCCTGATAACGTTGGTTGTGATTGGTTGTTGTTTCTGTTAAAATCTTGTCGTTCTCTTCACACGTATTTCGATTGGTTGTCCTCTTGATTTGATCTTTGACCTTCTTATTGTTTCTTGTGTTTCTTATTGGTTGATAGATTAGGTCAATGTCAATACGTCTGTTGATTGCTGACTGATTTAGGTGCCACGCTTATAATAATTCTCTGACATTCTTTACATTTCCTATGTCCAGGAGTTACATATCCAATCGAATTCCTGTCCATAATCGTCTCTGTGTACTGATATGGGCAAAGATATATCACGAAGCTTCATTCTTAGTTGATGTTCATGTAGGCGGATACTCGTTTAGATACCATGAAATAGGTGTACTTGCAAACGGGGTCATATTCAAGAAATTGAATAAAAGTTAACAAAAATATCCGCTTCATCCGTATTTTAGATGTCCTTCAAAAGGTTGACTGCTGAGTTTGTTTGAATTCTAATGCATGAAGATTCTTGCGTTTGAAGTGATGGGTTCTGAGTTCAAATTCCACTAGAAATAGGATTACTTGCCGAGGTGCAAGTACATTCAGTCGACGAATTCCAAATAGAACGAAACGCATTTCCTGTATTTCATTGTAAACTACTACCCACCGTTAATCACATTGATTATCTGAACCTATAGTTGCTGGACATTAATAAGGACATATTCAGTGTTCTTTCACCTTTACTACACTATGTATTCATGATTGCATAGAGTGTACAGGTAATACGAGGTCTCATGATGAAATATTTCTCGTTACAACTATCATCATTAGGACTCAAGAAACGTTTGTATGGATGAAGTAAGGCTTGTTAGACTTTTCCAACTTAAATCCTATTTTGTGTCAGTCAGATACCTGACTGTCTGTGGAATATTAGACGAAGCCTTCAACATTTCAAGCTTTCCTCTAATTTATAGATATGAAACGTAGACACTTTGAAGGAAGAGAACTATAGGTAACTTCGTACCATTGCTTAACTTTGGCGAAACTATTGATTGAGTAGTGTTCAGAGTAGGCTAAAAGTTTTGGGCAATGGATATAAATCATTCAATAGTCAAAATACCTGTTACGCTTGTTGAACTACGATCTACCCGCTCCATCTTAATGTTCAATGTTAAACGAAAGGAAATCAGATTGAAAGAAAGCTTAACCTAGATCTAATCAAAATACTTTAGCATCCGTTGATTATTAGTTGGAATCATCTATACCTCAGTAGGTTGTTTGAGATGCTAGGAGACGTTAGTTAAGACTTTCGAGTAATATTGCTTGAAATCAGTTGGAATTATGCAGTTGTACCTACATTGGTGCCCTCACTTTTAACTAAGCTATTTTATGTCTGTTTGTAGTAGTGCCCTTCTTTCGTATGGTTGTGAAATGTTTTAATGATTACTATTCGTCAATCATGCGAAACAACTCAAAATTATCCTTATGGTACTTAAGTTATTACTGACTTGTCCATAAAGTCATACGAAAACTATTCCAAGCATTTAAAGCCTCGGCTGTTGATTGGACCGAATTGATCGGGTACTATTGGAATGTGGGCCACTATGTGGATACCTCAGTATTACCAGGATTTTCAGTTTAGATATTAATGATGGTCAATGGCTAGCATTTTAGTTCACGGCGGAGGTTTCATCCTAGTTGGGACTCGTCAGCTAGATGTACTTGGATGCCCCTCAATGGTCGATGCTGTTCCCACTACGACTCAAACTACGTACTACGTCACAATAGTGTTTCAAATGGGGATATCCCAGTTCATCAAGTGTTCAAAGGTCTTCTAGTTAAGCAATCTGAAAGTAATATTCATCACATTTTGACAAAAGTTAGAGAACCAAGGAAAACTTAGAGGGACTGGACAGTTGTCTCGCCCTAGTTTAGGATTTCACACTGACCATCATCTGAGAGATCCAGCCTAGGCCTGTCAGTTCTCACGGTGAACACGCCACTATTCAGCTCCTGCGCTGGTAGCTAATGGTTATCATTTTCCTACATTTCAGTATAATCTGTGATTTAGGTAAGTAAATCCTCACAAACCACCATTTTATGATTTTGACATTAGCGTAAGGTTTTGAATAAAAGTTAACTGAAAAGATATACACTTTTAGAAAATTCTAAGTGATTTGCGTCAGTGATAACACCTTTCTATCAGTTAGTACTTTTGTATACGAAATTGTTCTCATCAACTAACCAGTTAAGTTGAACTCATTTTTAATGTGATCAATATTAACTTTTCTTTAGATAACTGGATTCGATGTTGAAGAATTGGAAGATGCCATTATAATGTTACGAGAACGTAAATCAAAATCACAATCTACAGATAGAAATTTAAATTATGCTGAGAAACATCCCCTAGAACAGAATAAAGGTGAGTTCAAATAAACAAAAGGTCAATTTTTTGTTAATTTAAACGTGCAACTTATCACCCTATAATTTTAATCAAACTAGGCTTGAGATAGATGCCTACGTCTGACAAAAATTTAAATATGGATTATCCATAGAGCTGCCTCTTAGGAAAATTTACACAACCACTTCCTGTGTTCTTGCTTTCGTAAAAAGAAAAAAAACACTTCAAATTTCAGATTTACATGAACCAATATTATTATTTGTCCTTTGGGTTCCTAGTGGAACATAGGGCCTCAGTAGCACGTCTCCATTTCACTCTCTTCTCTGCAGTCTTTTGAACCTCGCTCCACGACTGCCCACAAGCTTTCATTTCTTCCTCGCGTCATCTCCTCCATGTCACCCTCGACTCGGATGCCCAACTCATCGTTTCCACTGTGGTTCCACTCGAGGGCCTGGCCAGGCGCGTGATGTCCCCGAATGGTCTTCTCAGTGTATGTCCAATCCAATTCATCTCCACTTCCTTCCACTGCATATTTGTTGGGTCATAGGTTCTTGGTTGGTTCGTTCCCAGAGTTCCTTGTTGCTGACTGTTTCTGGTCATCAGATCTTCAGTATCGAGTGAGTGTAGACGGCAGATGTTGATGAATGTCTGTAGTTTGTTGGAAATGCCTTTCGTAATGCGCCAAGTCTCTCAACCATCACATAGAAGCACTGACTTGATTGATATTAGTGTTGAAAAGCCGGATCTTGTTCTTTATGTTGAGTGTAGTGCAGTAGATCTCCACACTGACTTCAGATTAACGCAGGAAGGCCTGTCTCGCTGTCTTTCCGATCCTGGCTGGCTGGCTGGCTGGTTTTGACATCCTCATCTGTGCATGTGCCGCCTGTAGTTGAAATGATGCTGTCTAGTTGGTAGGTGAAAGAGACAACTTCCTTTCGGTCTTCCCCACTGATGGTGATTGGTGCTTCTTGCAGTGTTTGTTGTTGGTTGGGTATCTTCATCACCTCTGTCTTCTCTACGTTCACCTGAAGAAAGTCCCGTCTTCGCTGCCTCGCCTCTTCTGCCAACTTGTTGGATTTTGTAATGATATCTTTGAGTTTTTGCGATATTACATATAAATCATCATCGTTGGCGAAATCAAAAATCCTCCAGGCTCTTTTCATCGGTCCAGTGTCTGCCTCTCTTCCCGCTCCTCACTGTTTGTTGCATGATCCAGTCGACCACAATCACGAAGATCATCGGTGATAGTAGGCGGCAGCCTTATCTTACTCCTTCCTGTCTTCACTTCAAAGGTATCACTGAGTTTTCCATTGTGAATCACTTGGCATGTAGCATCATATAGCATATGGCTGTTGTTTGAGGCTGTTAAATGTTTGTGGCACTAAAACCGTAGTGTTGAAGCAGCTGTCTGCCAAATTACTTCTCGGTCGACCCTGTCGAAGGAGGGCCTTTTCAAAACCGATGAAGTTGAGGTAGAGTTGAGTCGACTGCCATTCTATGCTCTGTTCTATGAGCATGCGTGGTGTAGCGTTGCAATTTGATCGTCTCATGATTTGTTCTTCCTGAAGCCAGCCAGTCAGCCATCCTGTTCCGTTCGTAATTTTGAATCCAGCGCATTGTTTAGTCTCTCCAGGATGATGCGGCTTAATATTTTGCTAGGTGTGGACAGGATCATGGTTCGTCGCCAGTTCTTACAAATACTTAGGTCGCCCTTGTTTTGGAGTTTGACAAGGTAGCCCTTCTTCCAATCAACCAGCAGGTACCTTTCCTTTCTTCCTTCCTTCCAAATATTCTGCAGTAGTGGTGTGAACATGTCTTCTGGTGTCTGTGGGTCAGTTTTCAGTGCTTCTGACGGAATTCCATCTGGTCCTTCTGCTTTCCCGGATTTCAGTAACTTTATGGCGTTGTGAACTTCACTTCTGCTTTTTGTCGAGGGTTTGTGTTCACTGATAGTAGTGTGACTGAGCTGCTGGTGGTATTTTTGGATGAGTTGCAGGTGGTGGTGGTGGTGGTGGTGCGATTTGAGAGTTTTTTGAAGTGGTCAACCCATCGTTTCCTTTGTTTCTCCTCTTTGGTGCTAGTTAAGTTTCATTTACTATCTTTCATTGGTTTCATCTGCGTTGATCTCTTCCCTCGCAGATAGTAACCTGGTTATTTGATATAGCGTTGTCAGGTCTCTCCTACAAGCATCTATGAGGTATTTTCTCTGTGTGAAATCTCTTTCTCTCCTGCCTGCAGCTGTTCTGCTGCGGTTGCGATTGTATGATCAAATTATCTTTTGTGTTGGCGCGCACTTTTCTTCACTTCTTTGTCCAGTGTAGCGTTTTGTTGGTCGTGTTTATTTGCTCTTTTCGTTGTTTATGCTTGCACTGCAGTGGTTTATCTTCTGCTTCACCATCTTCCTCCCCCTCCTCTCCTCTATCAGCTTCCGTGTGTGCGTCGAGATCGATTCGTTGTTGTACCTCTTCTTCTTCCTTTCTTACACTGTTATTTAGGTTTCGTCCAGATAGCTTTCAAGGATTCACAGTGTTCTTACACACATGTTTCTTTGGGGATGTTGCCCAATGTTTTTCATTTTTTTCTTGACAACTGACTGACGTATGTCCATTTTAGTTTCGTCCTTCACTTTCTGAGTGTTGAACTTGAAGTTTGGTCTGTTACCAACTTATTTGAAGGCTTCCGGCTATATTCTGACGTTTCCTTGCACTAGATAGTGAGTGGTGTGAACCCTTATTTGTCCTTGTGTGTGATCTTTTGTCCAGTCGGCTGCGTCTCCACTTTTTTGAGACTGAGATTAAGTCGGTCTGATTTTTAATATGTCCATCTGGTGAGATCGAAGCCATTTCGCTTTGTGAATATCCTTGTGTTTGTACATACTGCCTTCAGTCACCAAATCACTGAAGTCGCGAAAGTCTGCAAAGAGTTCTCCATCCTCAAACATTTCACCGGGTGCTTCTCGACCCATGATGTGTTTTTTTCCTGTATTGTCCGCTCTCTCTCTCTCTCTTGTCATTCCACGCGATAGAATTTTGATGTCGCCAGCTGGAGTCCCGTCTGTAACTGGTTGCAGTTGGAGACGACTCATCGGCCAATTGGCTTTCCTATAACTTTCACCAACCGACGTCATTTTGTCTCTCCGATTGCAGCGAGGAATAATTTTGTTTTTATTTTTTATATTTTGTTTATGCTTTGAAGTTTCTTTAGCGGTTGGATTGGTTTCACGGTTTAGGGTTGATAGCCCTATGCCCAACCTTCTCTCTTTATCCGGGCTTAGGACCGGCTAGTAACTAGTGAACTAGTTAACTAGGCGAGGTTTTACATGAACCATACTGAATCATTTTACCTGCTGTAATACATAGTTGCTCATTATCACCAAAAAACACAAGCTATCCTAATGGCAGTTCTTCACTTGGTTGTCAGCAGGCATAAGCATTGTGCTTATTTCACACCAGGAAATTTCAAAGATTTTTAGGAAGAGCAGCAAGCACCTGTGAATGTTCTTGTCTTTGACACTTTATTTAATGCAGTAATTGAAAAATTCCCCTATACGGATAGTTAAGCAAATAGTAACTAGTGTGAAACAAATAACTCTTATCATTTTGCATAGCATGTAGTGCTGTAGCAACGTTTGACTTCAGAGTGTAGAATACGTTGCGGTATGATGCACAAAGTTTTTGTAGTACTATCAAAAGCTGAGTACCTCTCCTGATATGAGTGGGCATTTGGAACGTTAGGATTCGATAGGAAAGGAGAGTCCTATGCGCGTTACGAGGTGAAGGAAAATCGTGTTTGTTTTTCGTCCATTGGTTCATGATCAATCCTTGAATAGAATAAAAAATGTGGCACGTCTCAGCAAACTCAAAAGTCGTCATACATTTATTTTGGATCTGTCAAATTCAAGACAGTACATCAGGAATGAATTTTACTGACTTCTGGTTCGGGGATAGTGAGTGAGTAGGTCGAGCATGTTAACTGATTGACCCAGGGAGTTCCATTATCCCTAACAGGTTAGTTGTTAACGAAATCTCAACTACAATACAAAAGGTTCACTCGATATTCCTCATCTTACTGTACTTATGGCATCTGGGAGATATCCAACTGCATAAGTACAATTGCACGTGTTTTCGAAACATTGTTCATATTTAGGGAAATCAACATTCAGAGCGATAGTGAGGTTAGGCGAAGACTGTTGGACAAGGAAGTTGACTCATCTGATGAAGTCAATAACCTTCACCAACTGAGATAGCTTAATTGTGTTACGAACGTTGTCCCAGGGGCTCTAGGATCTGAGAGATGACCATTGTATGACCTAGTGCCGTTGGATAAAGGATAGTTGTATTGGGTTAGCACCCGTTGGTGCCTCAGGACTTGATAAAAAACTTATTCAGACTTAAACATTTAGTACAAACGTGTTTCGTTCGACTGATACCAATCGGGTCATCAGTGGACTTCAGAAATGTCGTTGCATTGTGTTTAGGTTGCGGTAATCACACTTTATGCAACAGGTTCCAAACTCGAGTGTCACTGGAAACAGTACCAGTCTTTAAGAAGTAGGTACATCCAGTTAGCAAGTCCCAAACGGGAAAAAAATGCACGTCCTGGATTCCACTATCTATAATTACTATCAAGATTGAAATTACTAGTAGTACCAAGCCCGTATACCAATAGTGGCTTAGCAATTCAGTTCAATCAACGTTTGAACATTACAGGCTTTAACGTCATACTTTACCACCAATGACACACCATAATGGCTTCGATTTTGTGGTTACTGAAAAGAACTGCTTTCCTCATTTCTATCACTGTTTGAATTTCAGAAACCTTCAGGTCAATGTTTGCTGTCCCTCGAGGTAAGAAACTCATCAATATTAGGTTGCATCAGTCAGCATTCATACATATTAGCCTCCATTACTTTGAAAAAAGTTTATTGGCCATTCGAGCGGGACCAATTTCACGTTGTTTGGTCCATAGTGCTGACAGGATTCTATCGGTAAGTTTTGCAATGTGGCCACAAAGTTAGATAGCTTAGCCTTGCGGTGCACTTTGATGTATGTTGTTTGGTTGGAAGCAATCGGTAAGAAGCCTTGCATCATCTAGGTTTCATGCTTGTTGTCACTCGTCAGCAAGGCGTATCTGCAACCTCTAGGAAAGTCATGTCTCCTGTGAGATTATAACCCATGTCATGCAGTGTTGCAGTTAGCGACATCGTCATTGAGCTATTCGGACTGCGGATGACCTCTTGTATGCACGATAAATTATTACAGACTCATTGTTCACGTTATCCGATTTGTAGTCGATGAATTTTTAAAGATAACTAGTAAATTGACCTTATTTTGTGACATCATTCTTCCATACTGCTCAGTTAAACGATATATGTGCAACTGGTGACAGATATGATTAGCTACAATACGCTTACTGTCTAAATAGCACAATATGTACTAGAATTCATTACGTTCCTGGATTGTTTAAAGTGAATTAAGAGCTTTTATACAATCTATTAATGTTGACAAGAACGTGGGGGATACTAAGACCTTTTGTCTACACCCCATACAAATCCGACAATGATAAACGAACATACATATTTGAAAAGAACGCGGCCGGAGGTAATAGTTTATCATACTTCACGTCGAAATTTCAAGGTGGGTTCCAACCAGAAAGAAGATAGCAGACTGACGATTGTTATAATGTCCATTATTTTTAAAATACTCATAAAACGATAAATGGATGAAGATAAGTCGTGAATATATCTGCGATTGTTTGAATTAGGAGAACGAATATCCCAATTAGTGTTGTTAGTTTTTGTAGCATAACTGCAGTAAAGGGTTCATTGAAAGATAAATATATCTACTGATATTTTTGATTTGATTGTTTATATGTTATTGTATTTTAAATTGTAGATTCATTGAAACAATTGAATGAAGCTGAAGCATTACATGCTGATACAATTACTGAATTAGAAAAAACACGTAAATTATTAAGTGTACAGTATAAAATTAATAAAGACTATCAAGCTGAAATTAAAGAATTGACAGAACGATTAACAGATTTAAAAGCGGAATCCGAACAACGTCTACATGAATATGCAAAGTTATTAGATATTCGTGCAGTTAGAATACAGCAATTAGAGAAGCAAATTCAAGATTTAGCCTATGGAACGAATAAACGTAAGGTGGGTTCATTTGGTGACTTATCAGTGTTATATATGGTTATTATTCACCTCTAGATCAATATCATATCTTTCTATATCGTTCTACATGACATAATCAATGAAAAATTAACAAGAAATAAAGTAAGATATTTCTTGATAGTAAAATTATCTGAGGTTGAATTGGTTTGACAGACTGTTGTTGTTCATCGTGGATTGTGATTAAAAGTGAAATAAAATATTGGGCCGTGGTGGGAATCAAAGCAGCGGCTTGTAGGTTACCGGTCCGGTACTCAGTTGACCAGACTATACAACCCAGCCGATCTTACAGTGGCATAGTATCATTTTCAAATTTCCTTGATTTGTTGTTTTCACTTTGATGTTCACCATGGACTGACATCAGATGGGCAGCCTTGTTAAATCTAGAGGCAGTGGATAGCTGTTTTGTCCCAACATGTGGCTCCTCAGCAGTGCACACACATGCCAACACTAGGGAATCGAACCCAAGGCCCTCAGATTCTGTGGTCAGCACGCTGCCATTGATCCATTGGATCAACATTCAATGCTAAACATTTCCTACTTCTTCCAGTTCACGACATAGTTTGACCTCCATATAGTGCCATTACTGAGTACTCGTCCTGTTGGTCATGACTTCTCCTTAAGACTTCGGAAATCTCACCTCGAAGCAAGTGATTAGTGAGCGTTAGAGTAATTAAGTTAGGATTTGTACTCAGTTAGAGAGAATGAGAATACAATTGTTTTTCAGTTTTTCATCATTCTGTCAGTTGACAGTTCAGGTTTTATAACAATATATCAGTTGGTCACTAGTTGGTCGACTTGCCAAACGCTGATATATTTTAATGTTTTTAGAACTGTACACAATTTTCGTGTATTTTATTCCCGGTCGAATTCATCTATCTAGTTGTCTGAGTTCTTCTGGTATGAAGTTCAATTCCTTTTATAACTTGACTGGCTAACTGATATATCCACATTATAGAAGATAACACACCGCCAACTAAGTGAGCGATGTTCTCCTTTAGGTGTTTTATTTTCTCTGCTTTTTTGTACTTTGTCGGCTTTCCTAGGTAGCTCAACAGGGTTGCAAAGTGTATGGATGCAGTAACATTTGTACTTTATGAGATAAACTGATTCCAAAGGATTTTAGTGTAATATATCATACCTAAGGTGCTGCTGGCGGATTGTTTATTTGTGAAATAACACTAAGTTTTGATAAAATAGGAAAAATTAATATTAGTTACAAATAATCTTTGCATTTGAGATGAGTTGATCTGTATTTCACGCTACTGCGTCTTCTCCTGTCTTCTTTTATTATCTTCTATGTTTTTCATATCCTTCATCAAAACCTAAATCGATTGGAAGATAACGCTAATTGCTTTGTCGAGGGAGATCGTACTACATACTACTCACATGTGTAGGCATAAAAGTGGCATACACCGTATTAATAGTTTAGTGATGATTTCCATTATATGAGTGCAGTCTAGTTCCAGCTGTGTTACGTTTCTTTGAGCTCAACAGTGTAATCTAAAACCTTTCATCATCCCTCTAAGCATCACTATTATTATATACCTAGAATTATTTAAAGGTCAAATTGTTTGTTTATGTAAACATTAGCAATATATATATCAAAAAGTTCTAATGAGAAACCATAACCTGTAGGGTCAACCAGTCGTAAGGGAAGTCAATGCTAACTAAATGCCTAGGTGGATAATCACACTATAACTTGAATTAGCAGAAGTAGGAATCTGTGGACCGTTGAAGTGCGACCCAGTAGTTGAATGGTTAATGCACTCACCGAGAAACCTGTAGGTCCTGAGTTCGATCCTTGGTGGGGTGGTGTCGTGAGTGCATAGTTCTGAGGATCTCTATACTAAAAAGAATTAGATGTCCGGTTTTTCTAGCTTTTCAATAGTTCTCAAACTCATGTTAGTTCATGTTGAATACTACCTTAAATATCATGCTTACGATACAGCCATCAATTTTCTAATAAATGTTTTGCAATTTTCATTGATAATCTGTTTTGATAATTATATCAGTAAATCTAACTTCAAGTGTACTTTTGGCTACACTGTGAAATTAGGCCTTGAATAATGACCAGTTATCAAGTGGAATACTTTCAACGGAGAATGCCTTACAACCTGGAGAAAGTTTAATTGAGGTATGTTTCTCATTTCAATTTACAATTAATAAGCAATCTTTATAGCCTTCTTCTCCTTTAGACAAAAAAGGAATTTTTCAGAAAGTAGTAGCATATTCTAACGTCCAAAGCGTGGCACTGTCTTCAGTCTCATATAGCACCAATTTACAACTATGTAGGCATGCAATTAACTTGATAGTGTCTGATAGTGGAATTCAGGACCTGGGTTTTGTCCTATTTGGAACTTATCAACCAGATATTTTTGCATTCCAGTGGTTGAAGTTTGTAACTAGAACCTGAAACATCAAACCGTTATGCACTAGGCAACTGAAGTATGAGTGCCGTCTCTTGTGCAGCTAGGATGAAGCAGCCCCGCATAGGAACTCATGAACCGACAGAGGGCTTTTCTCCAGCCTACACCTACTTCGGCCAACATTGTGTGACGAAGCAATCGGTGACTAGGCATACGTAACACATGTCCCTACCATCTCAGTCGATGAAGGATCACAACCATGTCAAATGATTTACCTCTTCTCCCTAAAATTACACCTGACTTCTACGTTTCTTCCAACGTTATCCGACTTTTTACAACTGTCTAAGATGAAAGGTGGTACAACTTGACCTTGATTTACCCATCTTTTTGGTCGAACAGTAAATATGATCAATTAAACTCGATCATTGTATATCAGACAAGACAAGTTAATATTATCGGCAATCAGATTTATGAGTGGTGATTGACAACTTGCATAGCCTAGAGGCGACGTAACTAACTGATGACGATCAAGACAGGCGGTTTAGGTTAATTTTACTGTCTAAGCAGTATGACATTCTGATATATCAGTGTTCGCTTATCTATTCTTTCAATCCTAATGATTGGAATCTGATAATATTACAGTATGTGCATTAGTGATCAGTGATCTTGTTACACAGTTCAATTCTGAGTGTGGTTCATCTTGCAATCCAGGCTGTGGTAAATTTAAAGTGTCAGTGGGAAAGGCATGTGTAAACATCTACTCGTAATCCACCACACTTGGGTATCATCAATAAATTACTTTTGTTTCTTAACATACCTTCAAATGCTTTTGACTTGTAGAAGCCATCCAAACTAAAATCTACATACTGAGAACTACAACTGGGAAACCTTCAAACGAACAGATAATAACCTAGTGAACGTAATATTATGGAGTATACTTCCATGTTAGATTATTTTTTTTGGTAAGAGACACTTAGTAAGCTGGTGTGCTGTCGTGATCTTAACAGCTTTTCTCCCCATTCCAAAACAAAACTACCGTTCAACCAAAATGAAAAAACTTAATTGATTATTGTAACAGTTGCTAAGGAGGCTTTTAGAGTATTCTGACTTTCGATACGCCTTACTCTATGAATATCCCTTCATTTGCTTTACTTTGTACACACCTTTAAGTTACCGACTGAAATTAATGGAAAGCAAGAGATTCACATTCCTTATTCAGTAATCTTTCTTCTACTTTCTCAGTACCAAAAAAGGCTAAGTCTAACTGGTATGCAAGAAGTGGTTATCCCATAGAACAGCAACTTTTTTAATTGCCAATATCGCTATAGACAACTTACAGTTATATGTGATGATCTGTTCACCACTTACTTTTTGTGTCTACATTCTCAAACTTGTTTACAAATGTTTTGAATCTGTAGCTGGATATGAATGTGTTCACCATCGGACATGGACGCCTTACTTCAACTTTCATGATGAATGAGGAGTTTATGCTGAAGAGAAGAAAGTCCTTTCTAGCATGACACACCCCTCTAGTCATCTCTAATTCCTCTCAGTCTTTTCACAAATATTAATTCTAGTTAATATCAGACCGTAACAGAGATATTACTTTTGACCATAGTGTCTTGAGGTGCATTAGGATAAACAGATTAGCGAAGACAAATGAAAAAATCAGTGTAGAACTTTGCACACAGGAGCATACAAAGAGCAAGAGCATAGAAAATGACTGAAATCAAGGTAAACGAAGTTGTGTAAGAGAAAACACAATCGGCGAATAGTCAAGCTTTAGGAAATGGCAGTAGGAGAATATATCCTAGGCACTGTGACCGATTCCCAGCCATTTCACCAATAGTTCTTATGTTCTCGGGGACTCCAGCCAGGTAGTCTACACCGCCCTACTCGGTTCATTCCAACAGCTGGCGATTTTATGATTTCGTGCTACATCTTGGTCTAGTCACCCTAAACCCTCTTCCAGCATAATCCAACTTCTTGCCACCTCAGACAATGAAGGTTCATAGCTTCATCGACTGACTTGTCTATCTTGCCTAGATCCCTTCCTCTGACACTGGCATTACTCATATGATGATTTCAACAAACGCAAGCAATGCTACAAAGACACTTATGGTCAGAAACCTGTGACTGAAGATTTAGATATGTGAAAACTTGACTACTTTCAATACAATCATAGTCAGTAGTATAGGTCATTTTCACACGCTCAACATAAATCTTTATTTTTGTTTTCAAATTAGTTACACATGGGTCAGTTAAGTGTAACCACCTCTATTCTTCAAAAATTACAAATGACCGACAGTGTAGTTGAACAGTCAATACGCTTATTTTTAACTTGGGATTTTTATGACTTTGAAACTCAAGCAACGCCAATCATTGTTGATAATTCAGTTGATTTGAATATGACTGTACAGTATCCAGTAGAAGTGAATGATGTCCTGATGAATTATTTTCTCAAGGTAAGGTTTATTTAAGTTGATATACCTTTTCTATCTGTTCATTATTCTGTTTTATTATTTCAGTGTTTATATTCACTTACATCAGCGTGGTAAACATGAAGTAATCACAACATATTATTAGATTAGAAGATCGTTTCAGGATTATCTGTACTTTCACTTAACTTTATACGAAACTGATTTCCATCACATGTTCGACAACTGATCCTACTCTATTCTTACAAGGCAATCTAATTTTTCTGTAAGTTTAATAGTGTAGCACTTTGTAGGTGTGCCCCAGAGTTCAGTGGAACAGCAGAGACTGTCTATTCAGTGACTGGGTGGAAGTGACTCACAGAATAATGCAAAACATAACGACACTACTAACGCAGTTAGACACTTGGATGAGATATGAATAGCAATTCTTCTCCATCAAACCTGATACTTCACTGAGCCGCAAAAATCGGAGGAAAAAGACTGACCTATGACTGTAAGGAAGATAACTTTATTTGACAAAAAGCACATCATTTGTTTTGCAGTTTTTCCTTAGAAAATAAAGCCTCTAGGTCAGAAGTTGGAAACTTATTTTGATTGGCCAACCGAAGGCCGAAATTGTTCACCAAAGTTTCACCCGCCCAAACAGTAACATGAAACACGATTAAAATCCAAAACTTATACCTTAACAGCTGATGACTTAGAATGTTGCTTGCTATTTAGACCGCCTCATGTCAGTCTGTTTAAAAATTACAATAAGTTATGAGGAAAATATTTAACCTTACCATAAAGTATTACTTAGAAGCCGTTTTCATCGCGAACTGACATCAGTTAGAGAACCATTGAACACATGAGGGAAATGTATGGCTATCTCATCACAATTTTTAACGACTCCCCAGCAGTAAGCACTCATAATCATATGAGGAACTGACCCAAAGACCATCAGGTCTCAGTGAGACAGTATTACTGGTTTTGATTCCAGTTGTCCTCTATTTCCTACTTCTTTCAGTTCAAAACATAACTCAACCATCATTCAATGTTATCCATGAGCATTCGACCAAATCCAAACTTTTTCCATTCCACAAGTCATAACTTCAATTGATGGTTTGTGGGGGTTGCATTGTTCAGCATTTCTGTATTCAGTGTTATTTTTCTCCACAATTCTATTCAAGATCATGTCTTCTACCTCGAAGATCTTTACCAGTTGATTTTTATCACTTATGTTTCTCAATATTGCTCTATATACTACTAATATAGATTAATACTAGTGTTCATTACAGTGGTGCTGGAAACTCCTGATAACTAAACCTATCAGTGTAACTGTACAATAAATCACCTGTTTTTTAATCATGGTTATCAAGACTTGTATTTTACAGTGTTTTAATGGTATAATCTAGTGTATAAGATAGCTGGCATCTGTTCGAATCTGAAATACGCGTAGAATGGTAATTTCTCCCATCTCATTCTCAATGGATCACTATGGTTCAATGAATCCTCAGTTCGCTTACTAAAACTGAACATGAACCAATACACGTGGTTCCAACCCTTAATCTAATGATCTAATCTACGTACTGTGCTGCCTTTGGAATTGAATTATGAATTAAAATTATCCACATTTGATCTGACCTGGAACTAGTACTTCAAAATAACGGAAGACGATTAAGGGTTGCTGTTGTAATACGTATATTTCTAACAGTACCATGAAAGCAGTTTCATCACACGTCAATGGAGTTCAATCACAGAAGGATATAGCTGCATTTACAGTAACATTGGACTCAGTGTTTATAAAAGATTCAACAAAATTATATTATCAATCATGTTAATACAAACAGGAATATATTATTAATTGATACTTGTAATTTCCCGATGCTGCACAGGGCTGAATTGCTCTACCTTGGTTGGCAGATGGGCTCTTTTGCAGATGCCGCGATTCTGACAAATATTATATTCATCTTGGTGATTAGCAGTAGGGTCCTACTTGGGACTCATCAGATGGATGCACCTGAACTTTAGGGAGTGATAGTGTTCCCAGTCAGACTGGGAACCAGTACCCATTGCATTCAACACCAAAGCCTTATCCATAACTCACCAGCGTGCGGGCACATTGATCTGACGAATCACAAATAGAGTGAAACGCGCGTCCTCGATTCCATTGTTAGCCACCAAGTAAACTACAATACAATAGCGATTCAGTTACAAATTCAAATACGTCCATAGCTTATTAGCATCGTACATTGATGTCTGGCGAGTCACTAACACACATATATACACTCATCTATTATTATTATTATTATTTGTCCCTTGGGTTCCTAATGGAACATAGGGCTTCAGTAGCATGTCTTCAATGAGCTCTGTTCTCTGAAATCTTTTGAACCTGTCGCCACGACAGCCCAGAAGCTCTCATTTCCTCCTTGCACGATCTCCTCAATGTTACCCTCACTTTGGATGCCCAACTCGTTGCTTCCCATCTCAGTTCCACTTGAGGGCTTGACGGGTGATGTCCCCAGTCGGCCTTCTCAGTGTATGCCCAATCCATTTCCACTTCCTTCTGCATATTTCTTGACCGACAGGTTCTTCATTGGTTCGTCATCAGCCACAGTGAGTTCCTTGTTCCTTATTCTTATTAATCTGGCCATCTGAGCTTCAGTAACGAGCCAGTGTAGGCAGTTATTGATGAATGTCAGTAGTTTGTTGGAAATCCCTTTCGTAACGCACCAAGTCTCTGAGCCATACAGAAGCACTGACTTGACGTTGGTGTTGAAAATCCAGATGTTGTTCACGCTTTATGCTGAGTGCAGTGCAGTAGATCTCCACACTGATTTCAGATTAATGAAAGCCTGTCTTGCTGTCTTTCCGACCCTGGTTTTGACCTCCTTGTCTATGCCACCTGTAGTTGACACGATGCTGCCTAGTTGGTAGGTGAAAGAGACAACTTCCTTTAGGTTTCTCCCGTTAATGGTGATTGGTGCTTGTTGTTGATGCTCTTGTTGGTTGGGTATCTTCGTCACCTATGTCTTCGCTACATTCACTTGAAACCCCTTTTTCGCTGCTTTGCCTCTTCTGTCAACTTGTTAGTTTTCGCCTGTAGATCTTCATGTTTGTGAGACATTAGACACAAATCATCATCGTTGGCGAAATCCAAATCTTCTTCTGGGGTCTTTCCATCGGTCCAGTCAGCGTGTGCCGATCTTCTCGCTCCTCACAGTTTGCTGTATGATCCAGTCGACCACAGTCAGGAATATCATCGGTGACAGTAGACAGCCTTGTTTTACTCCTTCCTGTCTTCACTTCAAAGGCGTCACTAAGCTTTTCATTGTGAATTGCTTGGCATGTGGCATCTTCATATAGCTGTTGAATGAGGTCGATAAAGGTTTGTGGCACTAAACCGTAGTGTTGAAGCAACTGCCTGCCAAATTACTTCTCAATGGAGGCTGTCGAAAACTATTTCAAAGTCGATGAAGTTGAGGTAGAGAGTTGACTGCTATTCTATACTCTGTTCCATGATGATGCGTAGTGTGGCGTTGCAATTTGGTCTGCACATAATTTATACTCCCTGAATTCAGCCAGCCTGTTCCGGTCGTAGTTTTGAATGCAGCGCATCGTTTAGTCTCTCCAGGATGATGCGGCTTAATATTCTGCTTGCTTTGGGTGGACAGGAGCGTGATTCTTTGCCAGTTCTTGCAAAGACTTAGGTCGCCCTTCTTCGAGAGTTTGACAAGATAGCTCTTCTTCATATCTGTGGGCGGGTACCTTTCCTTCCTTCCAGACCCTCTGGAGTAGTGGTGTGAGCATGTCCACTGTTGTCTCTGCGTCTGTTCTTAGTGCTTCTGGCGGGATTCCATCTGGTCCTGCTGCTTTCCCGTATTTCAGTAGCTTTATGGAGCTCAGGACTTCTACTTTTGTTGGAGGATTTATCTACACTTGTAGTTCTGTGACTGCAGGTGGTATTACTGTACGAAGTGCAGGTGGTGGTCGATTCAAGAGTTTTTTGAAGCGGTCAGCCCATCGTTTCCTTTGTTTCTCTTCTTTGGTGATTAGATTTCCTTCTCCATCTTCTATTGGTTTCATCTGCGTTGATCTCTTCCCTCGCAGATAGTAACCTGGTTATTTGATGCAATGTTGTCAGGTCTCTCCTACGAGCAGCAGCCTGTTCTGCTTCACTCGCCAGTGTTTCGTAGAAGTGTCTTTTGTCTTTGCGTGCACTCTTCTTCACTTCTTTGTCCAGTGTAGTGTTCTATACATTGTACTCAGTTCCTCTTTTCGTTGTGCATCCTTGCACTGCACTGGTTTACCTTCTGCTTCACTATCCTCATCTCCCTGCTCTATCAGCTTCCATGTGTCCGTCGAGATCCATTCCTTATCTTCTTTCTTCTTCCTTCTTGATAGGGTTATTCAGGTTTCTTTCCACATAGCTTTCAAAGAGTTCCAGTCTTCATCCACACAGGTTTCTTCAGGGATGTTGCTCGATATCTCCTATTTTGTCTTGATGGCTGCCGTGAAGATGTCTTTTGTAGTTTTGTCCTTCAGTTTCCGAGTGTTGAACTTGAACTGTGATCTATCGCCAGCTTCCTTGAAGGCTTTCAACTTGATTTTGAAGATTCCTTGCACTAGATAGTGAGTGGTGTGATTCTACATCTGCTCCTCTTCTTGATCTGATCTTGTGTCCAGTAGGCTGTCTGCTTCTCCACTTTCTTCACATTGAGATGATTTTTAGTGTGTCCTGTTGTCTGGTGAAATCCATGTCGCTTTGTGGATATCCTTGTGCCTGAACAGAGTGCATCCAATCACCAAATTGTTGAATGCACAGAATTCTGCAAACAATTTTCCATTCTCGTTCGTCACCTCACCGAGCGCTTCCCGGCCCATGGTTAGTTCTCTTCCTGTGTTGTCCGCTCCCAGTATGGCATTCATGTTGCCCATTAGAATTTTGATGTCGCCAACTGGAGTGGTATCTTGTCCAGTGTTGATTGCAGTTGTCTGTAGAATTCCTCCTTCTTTTCTTCATCTGCATTATTTGTAGATGCGTAGCGTAGCATTGAATGATTGTGACTTTCCCTCCTTTTGAGTTGAATCTTGCTGTCATGATCCTGATACTGGAGGAGATTTGTTCCCACTGCATGAGAGACAGCCTTCGATGTTCTAGGGGACATCATGATAGCCACTCGAAAACTCAGTGTGTTCGTGGTTGTCGTCTGTTTGACAATATCGGAGTGGATTATTGACTCTGCAGTTGACAGTTTGGAGATTCCACTTCCATTCCACCTGCTTTCGCAGATTCCAGGCACTTCCATGCCATACCTTCTCATCTGGTTTGCAATCTGGGCAGCCTTGCTAGGTTCATACATGGTGCGGACATTCCATGTCCCCATGTTTACTTTCACTTTCATCGAGATAAGAGAAGACACACCGGCCAATTGGCTTTTCGATGGCTTTCACCAACCGACGTCATTTCGTCTCTCCGATTGCAGCGAGGAATAATTTTGTTTTTATTTTTTATATTTTGTTTGTGCTTTGAAGTTTCTTTAGCGGTTGGATTGGTTTTACGGAGTTGGGTTGCTAGCCGTATGTCCAACCTTCTCTCTTTACCCGGGCTTAGGACTGGCTATTAACTAGTGACCTAGTTAACCAGGCGAGGTTATACACTCATCTATGCCCACATTTATTGTAAATTTCTTTCCTTCCTCCTTTTATGCGCATAATAAACCAAAGGAATAAAAATATGTTCGAATAAAGCGAGAAAGGCGAAATTTTCAGAGTAAAATGATACCATTTTATTTCATGAATACTCCTAAGCTGTATACAGTTCAAAAGTATAAATGTTATTTCATAGCTCGGAGGTCGGTAATCTCAAGTTGTGCGATAAAATCATTGATAAACAACATCATACGTGAAAGTATTAGTTGCACACAGATATGGATTGTAGGAAAGGAATACTAATAATAATAATAAGAAGTAAGTAGAGAGTTATGTGATGAAAATGAGACAGGACCAAATCACATCCATCAAGTAAATGAGAAACTAACCGTACTCTCCTTCTTGATACAAAAGTCAAGTAAAAACGTTTATTTGCAGTCGCTTCCACGAAACACAGTAATCCAGACATTCTCTTAACGTTTATTATTTTAAAAGCACTTGAGGTTTCAACATGATATCCTGTGTCTACGAGGTGTCTGGCGTTTGTACTGATTGGAATTTTACTTCATTTCAATCACAAATCCGTAGAGATATGCTCAGCTAAACCAATGGACACCTTCCTCCCACTCCTTATAATGTACTTGCTACCGCATCTGTATTTGAATTCATTAATTTAATTTGAGGTGACATGCGCAGAATAACTATCCCAATTTTGACAGGTTCAGCGATCCTGTGGTATTGTGTGTTGACGCAAACTTGACTGAAGGGAAGCTTCTTCTCCATGTCCTTTGGTTATTGTGTCTATTCTCTTGGATATTGCATCTTCCTTGAATGTAAAATTATTAAAACCTTCCTCTTTCCCATAGTTGGGTGTTTGTTTCTCTTGATCTGTTCCTTTTCATACTTCATAATAGAACTCTTGGGATATCCATTCTCTTGGAGGCACTTCCTAATAATGCTTATTGTCCGTAGAACATAATCTCCTAGCTGTGTTGTAAAGTGTTTTGAAGAGGCTGACGCCATAGTTAAGGTATTGTCCAGTTTATGTGTCTTTTTATGGATGATGTTTTCAATCTTACCATCAGTTCTTCCCATGATGAGGTTAAAAATATTGAACTCGTTTTTATGCTCATATTTCATCATAAATATAGTGTTGGGATAAGCCTCGTTGAGCTTGTCAGACAATTTATTTAAACAAACACACGGATGCTGCTTGTTTCAGTCAACTGAAACAAATTTGATGTATTCTCGTTAAGTCTTACTGAATTTCGTTGAACAAGTGGAAGCAATAATAAAAAATCACTCCTAAAAGTGATTGAAATAAATCATTGTTATTGAAGGGTACACTTTTAGAGAATTAGCCATTTACAGAAAAAGTCTTGATAAATTTAAAACGGTTAGTATGGAGTCCGAGCGTTGGGAGAGAAAATGTTGAGAGTATTATCAAAATCCAACAATCACATGGAGCCAGAATTGTGAATGTTCTTCAAAAATAGTCACTATGATCGAACATTCATGACCATGCAGAGGCTCGGACACAGGACCTTCAGGTTTTTCTGGTAACCACGTTACCACTGAAGTACCGAGTCGGAACCGAGTAGTCCACAGTTTTGTAATTCCGTCAATTTGCGATGTAGCACAACTTACCACGAAGGTCTTCAGTCAGCATCTGCTTCACTTCCGATAGTTTGGCCCTACTGGTCACGGTTTCTCATTGGAAATTCTCAAAATCTCATCTCGAAGCATGTCACTAGTGATCACTGTACGGTAAATCAGTCTGGCGGTTTGGCAGAAATAAAAAAATGTGGACCAACACGGCGCTCTAACAGTAAGGTGGTTGCTGCGAAAACAGGTATTCGGTTCTATTCCTGTCGAGTTCATGGCTGCACACTGCTGAGGAGTTCTATGACGGAGCGTAATAGCCGTTCAGTGCCCCAGGTTTCTCAATGGTTCTCCAATTTATTTCAGTCCGTGATGAATACCACCTTGAATTCAATAAATCCCCACAAACCCCCAAACTGAAGAAACAGAAGGCTGTACAGCCTAAAACTGAATTAAAAATACCTCGTCATAATGAGCAGTAGATAATACTGAAGGTCTTGAGCCGAAATCTTAGTATACTAGTTGTGGATTCTACACTTGTCAAGTGTAAAGTGATGCTTCATGATTGATCTGTGCCGAATCCCTACTTAACGATAAGGAGTGAAGTAAGTGAACTGTGTTGACAGCTTTGCTTACTTAAAAGATCACATTAGTTCAAATGGATGCAAGTAATGCATCTCATCAAGAGATGAGTCAACGTACTGCGCTACACTCCCCTTTTTATATTTATACGCACGTACAATATAATCATTAAGGGGAGATATAAGGAGATTATAGGCTTTTGTTCATAGGTATATTCGTAGCATTGCTCGGATATGGTAGAATCACTGTGTGAGCAGTGTCGAGATCGTTGAAAGGTACTCGGTGAGGAAAGCATGTCAGTTGATGAGGTTTCCAACCTTCACCAATTAAAGTGGCTTGGATATGTGTTGCACATGTAAAGCCACCGCCTACCTCGACATGCTTTGTTATCCTCATTAGAATCGGGTTAGGTGGAGGAGGATGGTAACCAGATGAAGATATGGCACTAGTCCATGAAATTTTGTATATTGATCTCAGAATGTATGACTGAGGTACTGAAGATTAGAAGTATCAACGGTGAAATAGCTTAAAACCGGTCACACTGACACCTTTTGTATCTTCTCTTCCCTACCATATTTGTTCGCTACGTGCTACTTTAAAGTGTTGTAGCTTGAACTGATGAACTTCTTTCAAGGTTGTACGTTGATTTGTGTATCCGTCTCCGTTTGTAGTAGATCGTAGCTGTTTCTGTGAAAGTGATCAATTCACTCAAATTATTGAAAACCTAGTCATTCTCCGAATAACATGAGAGACATTCGCAGCATCAGTACTGAAACATTCTGATTTATACATGTGGACACTTGAACAATAACCTGCAGATCATGTTCTTAGCTGTTGCTCAATTCCTCGATGAATAGAAGCTGGTGTAAGACAATAGAAAGTGTACTGCAACATTCAAACATTGTGTGAAATGAGAACTTTTTATAGATACTTATAGTGATCTCAGTATTTCTTTCGACCTTTCTATAAATTGCATTCCTTATTGACTCTGACAATTGTAATCACATATCTTTTCTCGAAAATGCTGTGGATAATCAATGGTTTTGAAAGCCTTCATAGATTTTGAACTTCTTTGAATAATCTGAACATTCTTATTTCTCATTATAGAAAATACACAAGTCTATATATATATATATATATATATATATATATATATATATATATATATATATAGAATAGACTTTAGCACCTTATTAGCTGAAAGTATTATAAATTGAATGAAAATCACTTACAGTCAATTATGTGACACATTTTTAGATGTTAGTTGGATGGAGTTAATCGGCAGGAAGCCTTGAATATAAGTTTCACACCTTTTGGTACTCGTCACCAAGGTATATCCTCAACCCACTGCTGCTGTCAGAGATGTTTCCCTTGAGCTGTTCGGGCCGTGATTACCCCCATTTAAACTGAATGAAGCAAAGTGATTAATCACAGGAGCGTAACCAACTTCGTTCAGATATCCGTTGCTGAATAGTGCCAAAAAGCACGAAAACTAGGTCCAAAGCTTTCTGTCGATTGGACTCATTCAACTAACATCTATCTCAGTGCATCGAAATGGTGAGCCTTTTAGCCTAATGGACACATTGCAAAAATGATAGCGATAGAGTTCTGTCAGCACTGAGGACTAGGTAACATGAAGTTGATTACTGTTCAGTGACCAATCAGTTTAGCACATCTTAAAACTTCCAATAGAAATACAACAGTGTCTTGTTTACTGTTTTGTGGTTGGAAACGCTTTACATTTATAGACATATAATATCCCGACATAATGTTGCTATTTACTAATTTGTCACATACGTGTTTATGCATTTTTATTTACTCCAGGAACCATGCACCATTGAAATGCATCAAGTAGCAGACTCTAGTTATCGTACTATTGCTGTTGGTAAACTTGACTTTTCACAACTGTTTACCGCAAAAGGTAGGAACATTAGTATAAATTTTATGAGTAATCGTAATTTTCCGCCGTTATTTCTCATTGAATTGATCCACTTCAGACGGCATATAGCCTGTTTGAGGAGATGCTTCGATAATTATTTTCGAAGTTTAGCTAAGATGTTTTTTGATTAGTGATGGAATCTGTGATGTGTCTTTTATTTTGAACTCAATAACTGAATGTATTGCATCCCAGTGAATAATTTGAACTCAGAACCCGTCTGTAGGAAATATCAAAACTCTAACCATCCGACTACTGAGTTACCACAGCCTCTTTGTTATGCACGCAAGTGCATCGATTCAACTCGCCTTACCTCACTGCAGTACACAAAGAATAGATGGATAGAAAAAGACTGATATCAAAGTAGGCTAAGTTGTGTGAAAGAATAAGCAATTTGAAGAAAGAGGATACTGCAATTATTCGAGCTTCAGAAGACATCAAGGAGTTAACAGATCTGTGCCATTGTGACCGATTTTCAGCCATGTCACCAAGAATTCTCAATCACTGATTCCTATCATCTATTGGACTGCAGTCAGACAGTCTACACCTCCCCACACGACTCAGACCAATAGTCAGGGACTTCATGGACTGATACCACGTGGTGGTCCATGCACCTTGAGCTCTCCTCAAACCTAGTTCAGCTTCTAGCATGGTATGTTGGGGATAGGCGGTAAATCGTCATATGCAACACATGTCCAAGCCACCTCATATGATAAAGGTTCACAACCTCACAAACAGGCCTGCCTGTCTTGCCTAGTACCCTTCGCGTGACCTGAACATTGCTCAACCGGTGATTCCATCAAACGCGAACAACGGTGTGAAGACATCTGTGATCAAAACACGCCAACCACTTCACATCTACTTTTAACGGCTATCTTTCACAGATGTATAACACGACAGAACGAGCTTCAGTGCAGCATACTCGTCCTTTAATAGACAGTCGTATATCCCACCAGTCGGCGCCACAGGTGACAAAAGATGGAAAATGTCAGACGGGCCTTAGGTATTTGAGTTGAGATTTCATCAGCAATCAGTTCGTTCGGAATATTGGGACTCCCCATGTAAATGAAATGATGGACACATTCCATCACTTCACTCCCTGACACCAAACTGAGAGCAGCTGTAATCCACTCCTGGAGTATGGTCTTACATTTAACAGATGCCAGATGCATTCCAAACATACTTAGGTTTCTGATTACTGTGTTTACTAGACCATGCATTTAGCCTGCATATGGACCCTAGGATCTTCGACACAATATTAGTCAAACTAATTTCTCTAAAATTGTCACAAGAAGACTTTTTCCCCGTCTTATAGACCGGGATGACAGTAAAGTACACCAGTCCGACCGTACTGTCTCTGATTCCTATACATTGCTTAGTACTTCCGTCACTTAAATTACCAATTCCCTACCCGATCCTTGGAAAATTCAAGAGACAGACTATCAGCTCCTGCTGCTTTCCCTCCTTTCAGGTTCGATACAGCTTTCTCGACTTTAAGGAGGGTCAAAGGATCAACATCTACGTCCTAATTAGGTTCAGGCTGGATGTTTGGCAACTGAATCGTTGCTGAGGTCCAGTTGAACTATGCTTCAAAGTGCTCCTCCAACGTCCTAGTTGGCTGTACTGAGAGTTATAAGCGTCCCATCCTTTTGGTGATAGTTTTCCTAACCATCGTCCCTTCTTGCGAGTATCCTTAATAAGCCTAAACGGTTGACGAGTGTTACCCAACGCTGATGCTTTCCCCATCTCTCCCGCTTTTGTCGCCGGCCGCTGCTCACGACTGACGGAAGACTCTTGGTCAATTTAAGTTTCAGTTACTTTCTGTCTTCATCGTGGTCAGAGCCGGCTAGAATCAGTCAGTTCAGATGACGTCGCGGAAATCCAGTGTCATTTACTAACCTTCGGATGTAGGTTATTAAGTGTCTTAACCACTGTTTCTACAGTAGACTTAATATCATGCCAGGTTTCTTCAGGATGTGCACTGCTGTCACGTTTAGATAAGTGCTTGGTTAACTCCTCCCTCCGTCCTCATCTTCAATTGAGCACAGACAAGCTTTATCGTCTTCCATTTCTTGTAGCCAGTAAGGCACAAACATTCGTAAGACCATGCTAAGGCGTGATCAGAGTCCAAACTTGTATACTAGAAAGAGCTGTAATTCTCCACTGATACCGTCAAACGATTTCTTATAGTAGTATGATCCATCTGTGTCCATCTTTGGTTTGATATCAGTGGGCGTCATGTGTGACAGTGTCGCTTCTTATGCTTATGGTTAGTGCTAACCACAAGTGATTGTTGGAGCAAAATTGAAACAGATGCTCACTGTTGTTCGTTCGTTGGGACAGGATTCCGTGAACAACCCCAAGATGCCTCTCCTTCCCTACTTGAGCGTTAAATTCACGTGCCATAATGACTTCATCTGGGCGTTTTTCGTTCTGTAATAAAGTTGACATTACCTAGAACTCATCGTATGCATCTTCCGATCTACAGTCAGTGGGTACGTAGGAAAAGATTAGGAATAGACCTCGCTTAGTCTCACGATAGGACAGATTATGTTTGATTGGGTCTTGTGTACTACTGAAAGCGTGAAGGTGGTTAACATTTCCCGGCTGCCTAGTGTGGAAGATTATTTCTTCTTGAGGTACTTGAAAAAAAAGGGGTAGTGTGATCACAGAGCCTGTGTACATCTGCTTGAGGCCGGTAACACCGTCTTTTGGTAAGTTTGAAATTTTGGTATTTTGTCTTTGGATCACTTTTGCCGGTATCGACATGCTTTGCGGGGTGTGTTATGTTGGGAGCCAACCTTTTCCATGACATGTCATCGAGTAAATAATACTGTTTAACTGTGTTAAACATCAGCTCTTAGGGTTAACCTAGTGGAAGCTCAAGTATTCTTGGAAGTATGCATCAAGTTTGGGAGATTCATATTTTCGTCACGAGCTGCGATAGGTATCATCGGTTTTTTTTTGTAGATGTTTGTTGATGATAAGCTGATATTTTTTTAGTTTTGTCATAAAGTGGTCAATTTAGGTGACTTATTCAGATACCCATCGCCACACCATTTATCTCCCTGTAGAATTCTCTATTCAGCCTGAAGTGTACAGGTACAGTCACCAGTAACATTGCCACTCTTTCTCTTATCAGTCTTCATAAAGTTCTTAATAAATTCCGGAGGGTAGTTATCAGGAATTGGTGTCTGTTTGATGTGTTTTATTTCCCTATTCAGGTTTTCTGACTTACTAGGCAAACTCCTAGCTTGATTACTTAGATATTTTATCCAGCCTACCTTGACATATATAAAGTGTGATAATGTGAAATCTAAGTATCTATTCTAATGTTTTGCTACCCTATAAACACGGATATCTAAGTTTCCATATTTTATCGTCTTGACTTTGCAACCCAACATAAGTAAGTCTCCTTCTTCATTTTCCAATTCATAAATAAATCGGATTGCATCTACCATCGAGTTAATGTGTGCGAAAAAACTCTGGATATGTTCTGGTTTCCACTCGTTAGAAATCCTTCACATTTTCCATCAAAATACTCAAAAGTAATCAGATTAAGCAATCTGAGTGCAGCTGAAGCACTTCTAATGCAGAAGGTTAAACTAGCCCTTCGTTCATAAAGTGTTACTTCAACCTTTTCTTCATCATATCAAAAACTCTGATTGTTCTAGGTAAATCCTCTGCTACGTGATTACACTTACTTATTTTCTTAATCCCTTCTTCATTTTTACACTCTATGTCCTAATTTGTAGTACATAACTCCCTCAGGTATAGCTAAGTAAATGAATCCAGCGGAGAAAAACACTCCCCTGAGTGAACCATCTGTCTTTTGTCTTTCTCTATTATCAAATGAGTTCATTCTGTTGAATCACATCTCCATAATAATTTCGAAAGGTGCTTGACATTTTTTTTATACACAAAATTTCGGCTATTGCGCTATAATTTATTTCAATCAAGTTGGAGGTTCTCCGTAACTATAAACCCTACGGAATTAGGTGAAGAGTCAGTAAAAACCTTATCATTTGAGTTATACTACTGATAAATAATAATTAAACAGAATGTCTTTCAAAGTAAATAAAATCTAACTAATTTTGAGAGATTCTTATATTCGTTTCTGCTGTCTGTTTTAACGTCAAGGTCCTGAAAATAACCAAGGAAAATAAGCAGATAGATTATGTATCAAAATTAGAGGTTTATGAGGATTTATTTCAGGCTGGTATACATCACGTTCTGACATCAGTTCAAGAGCCATTGAAAACTTAGGAGTATCGGATAGCTGTTTCGTCCTAGTAAGGGACTCTTCAGCAGTACCCACTTATGACCACTCAAGGGATCGTGCCGACGACCTTCAGGTTCCACAACCAGCATATTAACATTGAGCTGCTGTGTCGGAATCCATGGTACACATTTCCCTCTTCTGTTAGTGCACGGCATAGCGCGACCTCTACCGGTGCTGAATATTAACCTGGAATCAATCAATAAATCTCCACGTAGCTTTAAATTGATTTGCTCTCCAGTGCTCATTAGTCACTTTAAGACGAGATTTGTCGAAGTTTCACTGAGAAGTAGTGATCAGTGAGGTAAACCAAGTTAGATGTGGGACGGTTACTCGACGACAGCATTGGATGGATGTCGCGCTACATCGTGAACTGACGCAAGTAGGAAATATGGACCAGTGTATGCCAACCTAGTGGCTTAGTGGTAGCGTGTTGGTCGCGTAACCTGAAAGTTCTTGTTCCGATCCATGGTGGGGGCATGGGTGCACACTACTTCGGAGTCCCATACTGGGACGGACCAGCTGTTTAGTGCTTCCATGTCTCCAGCAGTTCTTTGGCTGATGTCAGTTCTTGATGAATACTGACCTTGGATTCTGAATCCAGTAGGATTAAGACAGAAACGTTATAGACAAGCAAAGTTGGTAGACTGCCTATGACTGAAAAGATTGACCTGCTTGGAGTTAACATCAGCAATGATTGTCTGTTTGTCGGCTTCGTATACTCATGGTACTTCAGAGTAATCAACTAGTCAGTAAACAAGACTAGCTTGCATACGGTTAGCGAGAGTGTTGATTAAGCTCTGACAGTTTAGTAAATGATAGCACTGTATATTTAACTAAAAGTCTGACAATAAATTTTACAATGATGTGGTGTTTTGTATTAGACGAAGGTTTGGAAACATTTGGCCAAGGCACTGTTATCCGTCGACAAAGTCATTTAGACTTGTTTCTCATCCCTGTCGTTGGTAATCAGAATGACAATAAACAAAAAGAGAAAGGTGATAATAAGATAAAACTGGGGACTTTAGACTACTGGATACGATTGTGTTCTCCAATGAGAGATTCTATAAAGTAAGTCTATTCTTCGAATATACTTATACGTTTTACTCATAAGATAAACCGACTTTTTTAGAGATCTTTGGGTATGATATCCAAGGTATTACAGGATTCAAATAAACATTTACTAGTCCGCTCATCTGTTGATTAGCTAGAAGATTCTACTGATAAGTGCCTTGTCAGGACTTCATATCCGAATCAAGATCATGCCAGAGGTCAGTCGATGACTCTCATGATAACATTATTTAACTTTGTAAAAAAAATCGTTTCTCCACACAGTAGTAATACGACATATAAAGTTGGTTATTATTTTTGAAGTTCGAAGAAAATTGCTTTCACTTCCTATCTGTTTAGTCCTATAATTCGACACGTGCATACAAGACGAAGTTTCGAGCAGACACTATTACTCACATAATCATAATAAAGTAATCACATAGTTTTCAACATTTGATTTTCATAGTCCTATCACCGCATATGTTTTCAGTGGGAGTAAAATTTTCGTACACCTCCGGTAAAGATGTACACAGTCAAGTCACAAAAGAGGTCAGACGTAGCATTAATAGCTCAGTGGTGACGTCTTTGACTGCAGCTTTTGGGTAACGTAAGTTCAAATCTCAAGTGGGAAATTATTACCGTCAAAGCTGCAGATACACCTTGCTGACGAGTATCAAAAAGTCGAAAACCTAAATCAATAGTTTACTGAAAGTTGCATCCACTAATTAAAATCAACTTGTCTCCACTTAACTATGCTAACTGTACGATGACTGTATCCCAATTGTTTTGTGGTTGTGTGTTATTCATGAATGTATTGAAATAGACGAGATGTTTCTAGATTATTGATTCCATTAGGGTCTATCATTCTACATTTAGCTGAATTCCTATATTCCAACTAACCACAATCAGTTAGTCGGACCTAGGTACTTGGCCTCACAGTCATTGCACAGTATTCAGTAGATCGAATTATTGTGTTTATTTTGGTCCTTAGACCGACAGAGCTTATCTCCGAGTGAGTCTGTAGGTTAAAATGCTACAGTAATTCCAGCCTTGTTGAGAATTCTACGTAGAGATTCTGATGTTTGTTCTTTATGTAGTAATACAATAGAGGCTTTGAACTTCCTCCTACCTATGTCGCCCTTATCATTTATATCAGTGTAATTACCCCTTTTTTGTATGAATTCGTACGAATTTATAAGTGTGGAGTAAAATGATTCTTTTTGTTCAGTTTGGAAGGTTGCATGGATTTATGAATCTCAGGTTTGTATTCATCATGAATTGACATCAGTTGGAGGAATATTGGAAACCTGGGGACACTGGAAATCTGTTTCGCTCTAGCATGGCACTCCTTAGCAGTGCACACCCATAACCCCGTCCCGCCAGGGACCGAACCCTTGACCTTCAGGTTCCGTGGCCAGCATACTACCATCGAGCCACTGGGTTGGAATCCAAAGGTCAATCCTTCCTAATTCTGTCAACTCAGGATATATCGCGACTTCCACCCAATGCCGTCGTCGAGTAACTGTCTTCATATACGACTTGATTGGCTCCACTGCTCACGATGTCTGGTTGGAACTTCAGGACTCAATTCTATAGTCACCAATGAGCACTAGATTAATTCACTTTTGAGGTTTGTAGGGATTAATTGATTTCAGGTTGGTATTCATCATGAACTGACATTGAAAATCTGGGAGCACTAAACGGCTGTATCGTCTTAGTATGAAACTCCCTAGAAATGAGCACCTATGACCACCCCAGGGACAAAACAGCTGCCCAGTACTACCAGGTTTTCATTGTTCTTCCAACTGATATCATTTCATGATGAATACCAAACTAGGGATCTTTTTATTTAACTTGACAATGTAAATGATTGTTTCAGCGTCTTCACATTTCTCAAGTAGAGTCAATGTTTCTTTTTTTAAATAAGATGCAGTTTGGTTACAAGATAAACACTGTATTATGTGTGATTAAGTATTTTTTGTTCAAGTTTTTTCTCTTTATATCTTTAAAGACATTACATTTTACACTGAGAAGAATACAGATGTCAATCAGTTCTATGAACCTGAAGACTGAGAGTCATCTGTATTATTATTATTTCTCACTTCGGTTCCTAGTGAAACATTCGGCTTCAGTAGCACGTCCCCAGTGCACTCTGTCCTCTACAATCTTTTGAACCTGTCGCCACGACTGCGCATAAGCTCTCATTTCTTCCTCACATCATCTCCTCCAAGTCACCCTCACGTCGGACGCCCAAGTCGTCCCCGAATGGACTTCTCAATGCATGCCCAATCCATCTCCACTTCCTTCTGCATATTTGTTGGGTGATAGGTTCTTGGTTGGTTCGTTGCCTGAGTTCCTTGTTGCTTATTCTTCCTGGCCATCTGATCTTCAGTAAAGAGCGTAGGCGGCAGCTGCTGATGAATGTCTTTAGTTTGTTGGAAATCCCTTTCGTAACGCACCAAGTCTCTGAGCCATACAGAAGCACTGACTTGACTGAATTGGTGTTGAAAATCCGGATGTTGTTCACGCTTTATGCTGAGTGCAGTGCAGTAGATCTCCACACTGATTTCAGATTAATGAAAGCCTGTCTTGCTGTCTTTCCGACCCTGGTTTTGACCTCCTTGTCTATGCCACCTGTAGTTGACACGATGCTGCCTAGTTGGTAGGTGAAAGAGACAACTTCCTTTAGGTTTCTCCCGTTAATGGTGATTGGTGCTTGTTGTTGATGCTCTTGTTGGTTGGGTATCTTCGTCACCTATGTCTTCGCTACATTCACTTGAAACCCCTTTTTCGCTGCTTTGCCTCTTCTGTCAACTTGTTAGTTTTCGCCTGTAGATCTTCATGTTTGTGAGACATTAGACACAAATCATCATCGTTGGCGAAATCCAAATCTTCTTCTGGGGTCTTTCCATCGGTCCAGTCAGCGTGTGCCGATCTTCTCGCTCCTCACAGTTTGCTGTATGATCCAGTCGACCACAGTCAGGAATATCATCGGTGATGGTAGGCAGCCTTGTCTTACTCCTTCCTGTCTTCACTTCAAAGGCATCACTGGTCTTTCCATTATGGATCACCTGACATGTGGCGTCTTCATATAGCTGTTGAATGAGGTTAACAAAGGTTTGTGGCACTAAAACCGTAGTATTGAAGCAACTGCCTGCCAAATTACTTCTGAATGGAGGCTGTCGAAAACTATTTCAAAGTCGATGAAGTTGAGGTAGAGAGTTGACTGCTATTCTATACTCTGTTCCATGATGATGCGTAGTGTGGCGTTGCAATTTGGTCTGCACATAATTTATACTCCCTGAATTCAGCCAGCCTGTTCCGGTCGTAGTTTTGAATGCAGCGCATCGTTTAGTCTCTCCAGGATGATGCAGCTTAATATTCTGCTTGCTTTGGGTGGACAGGAGCGTGATTCTTTGCCAGTTCTTGCAAAGACTTAGGTCGCCCTTCTTCGAGAGTTTGACAAGATAGCTCTTCTTCATATCTGTGGGCGGGTACCTTTCCTTCCTTCCAGACCCTCTGGAGTAGTGGTGTGAGCATGTCCACTGTTGTCTCTGCGTCTGTTCTTAGTGCTTCTGGCGGGATTCCATCTGGTCCTGCTGCTTTCCCGTATTTCAGTAGCTTTATGGAGCTCAGGACTTCTACTTTTGTTGGAGGATTTATCTACACTTGTAGTTCTGTGACTGCAGGTGGTATTACTGTACGAAGTGCAGGTGGTGGTCGATTCAAGAGTTTTTTGAAGTGGTCAGCCCATCGTTTCCTTTGTTTCTCTTCTTTGGTGATTAGATTTCCTTCTCCATCTTCTATTGGTTTCATCTGCGTTGATCTCTTCCCTCGCAGATAGTAACCTGGTTATTTGATGCAATGTTGTCAGGTCTCTCCTACGAGCAGCAGCCTGTTCTGCTTCACTCGCCAGTGTTTCGTAGAAGTGTCTTTTGTCTTTGCGTGCACTCTTCTTCACTTCTTTGTCCAGTGTAGTGTTCTATACATTGTACTCAGTTCCTCTTTTCGTTGTGCATCCTTGCACTGCACTGGTTTACCTTCTGCTTCACTATCCTCATCTCCCTGCTCTATCAGCTTCCATGTGTCCGTCGAGATCCATTCCTTATCTTCTTTCTTCTTCCTTCTTGATAGGGTTATTCAGGTTTCTTTCCACATAGCTTTCAAAGAGTTCCAGTCTTCATCCACACAGGTTTCTTCAGGGATGTTGCTCGATATCTCCTATTTTGTCTTGATGGCTGCCGTGAAGATGTCTTTTGTAGTTTTGTCCTTCAGTTTCCGAGTGTTGAACTTGAACTGTGATCTATCGCCAGCTTCCTTGAAGGCTTTCAACTTGATTTTGAAGATTCCTTGCACTAGATAGTGAGTGGTGTGATTCTACATCTGCTCCTCTTCTTGATCTGATCTTGTGTCCAGTAGGCTGTCTGCTTCTCCACTTTCTTCACATTGAGATGATTTTTAGTGTGTCCTGTTGTCTGGTGAAATCCATGTCGCTTTGTGGATACCCTTGTGCCTGAACAGAGTGCATCCAATCACCAAATTGTTGAATGCACAGAATTCTGCAAACAATTTTCCATTCTCGTTCGTCACCTCACCGAGCGCTTCCCGGCCCATGGTTAGTTCTCTTCCTGTGTTGTCCGCTCCCAGTATGGCATTCATGTTGCCCATTAGAATTTTGATGTCGCCAACTGGAGTGGTATCTTGTCCAGTGTTGATTGCAGTTGTCTGTAGAATTCCTCCTTCTTTTCTTCATCTGCATTATTTGTAGATGCGTAGCGTAGCATTGAATGATTGTGACTTTCCCTCCTTTTGAGTTGAATCTTGCTGTCATGATCCTGATACTGGAGGAGATTTGTTCCCACTGCATGAGAGACAGCCTTCGATGTTCTAGGGGACATCATGATAGCCACTCGAAAACTCAGTGTGTTCGTGGTTGTCGTCTGTTTGACAATATCGGAGTGGATTATTGACTCTGCAGTTGACAGTTTGGAGAATCCACTTCCATTCTATCTGCTTTCGCAGATTCCAGGCACTTCCATGCCATACCTTCTCATCTGGTTTGCAATCTGGGCAGCCTTGCTAGGTTCATACATGGTGCGGACATTCCATGTCCCCATGTTTACTTTCACTTTCATCGAGATAAGAGAAGACACACCGGCCAATTGGCTTTTCGATGGCTTTCACCAACCGACGTCATTTCGTCTCTCCGATTGCAGCGAGGAATAATTTTGTTTTTATTTTTTATATTTTGTTTGTGCTTTGAAGTTTCTTTAGCGGTTGGATTGGTTTTACGGAGTTGGGTTGCTAGCCGTATGTCCAACCTTCTCTCTTTACCCGGGCTTAGGACTGGCTATTAACTAGTGACCTAGTTAACCAGGCGAGGTTGACAGTCATCTGTGCACTGGACTAATCATAGTCGACAACTGTGTTAATGTTGACATTAAGTCTCTTTTTTCACTTATTATCTGTGAGATACTGAATTGAATACCTTGAACTTTAAACATTCGCTTTCTACAAACAAGTCAAAGTTTTCTAATGGAAATCGTGACACCTGAGGTTTGGGTAAATATTCAAAATAATTGAAATCATGTAATCCAGGCATACAATGTCTCAACTAACTTGCACCTATTTTACCTTAATCTGATTTAGGTTTTTTTAGATACTACCGTCTGCAGGACACCGACACATTCTAACGGGCATCTATACTTTAGGTCATGTCATTCTAAATCAGTTGAGGCGGAGTTAATCAAATGTCTAATTAAGAGAGGTAGAAAACTAACTAGTCAGTGCGAAGATTTGATCGAGGAATTAAAATCAAATGAAAGGAAGCTTACTAATTATTAACTACCTTCTACAGTTTATTATGAAGTTTGTAAGACTGCACGAGAAACGAAGTAACACTAGTTATACGAATATGATTAACAATAAAAGCACGAGTTGAAAGAAATTCAAAGCCCCTATTGTATTACTACATAAAGAACAAACATCAGAATCTCTACGTAGAATTCTCAACAAGGCTGGAATTACTGTAGCATTTTAACCTACAGACTCGCTCGGAGATAAGCTCTGTCGGTCTAAGGACCAAAATAAACACAATAATTCGATCTACTGAATACTGTGCAATGACTGTGAGGCCAAGTACCTAGGTCCGACTAACTGATTGTGGTTAGTTGGAATATAGGAATTCAGCTAAATGTAGAATGATAGACCCTAATGGAATCAATAATCTAGAAACATCTCGTCTATTTCAATACATTCATGAATAACACACAAGCACACAATAGGGTGAGATAAAAATAATTTAAGTTAGTCTAATGTATTTGGGTAGAGATGAAGATTGATTATATGATCTTTGTTTATTGAATCAGCACCCATCTCATGCAGAGGGACGATTCCACACCGATACTAGAGGTGGGGTAATTGATAATCAGCGTTACTGTTCATCCTTTCATTTATTGATTATTCAAAATTTCGTGAAGTATACTGTTATGCCATCCGGAAGTTAGCCATGTGAAGCGATGAATGCCACTATTGAATTTTCTTTTACCCACTCGATCCTCTCAGAAAGACCTGAATCTTGAAAAACTTCCACAAACATTGATAGTACTTCGAAGTTTTGAGAAGGAGCTCGTGAGTGTCCATGTATATATATATATATATATATATATATATATATATATATATATATATATATATATATATATATATATATCACATTAAGTGTTTACAGTGCCGGGATGTGTATAGTGATGTGACAAGTAATGGAAAAATGTATCTAACAGACCTACCGCCTGTTGCATTCCCTTGGCTTAGATTGGATCGAGCAACTGAAGTTGTTTCAAAAAAGGGTTAACTTTATTTTTGACCAAGCTCAAGTTTTGAAGGAATTGAAACTCATCATGTCATCACATATTCGCCTGAAATTAACAGATGCGTTGTGACTGAGATATGCGAGAGTATTTTTTTACAGCCTTTAGGAATGCACAAAATTCAAAGTCATCCTCGTGCTGTATTCAGAAGCTACTTGTGTATTTCAACCATTTGTTGAGGAAGAACTAAAATGTTCTTATGTCAATGAATCTGATTGCGTCAGTAGCCTTCTCCTATGAAATACTGTATTCAGAGGTGGTGACCGATAAGACTTCAACGAACATACGTATTCGCTAGAAGTTTTATCCATTCAATGTTAAAATGGGAATATTTGGTATGCTGTATTGTTCTGAAAAGCCCCCGAGTAAAGCATACCCTTAACCGTTTAATAAGTAATACTTGCATCTTTCTCTTTGCTCAGAGCTTTGTGATTAGCGTAAAACTACCACAGTTTTTAGGACTCATCATTAATATGGATGAATTTGCGTGAGATTGATACTTTCTACGAGGTTTAACTTTGCGGTGATAAGCACTGTAAATAGAGATGTTGATACTAGATTGAAAAAGTCATCAATGATTAGTAAGTATTGCTCTGTATACTGTTTATTTGTATCAGCTGAGTTTGTTATACAATGACCAAACTAATTGCCTCACTGTTGGATTCTACTGTATCTATGGTTGAGCATAAACAGAAACTGATTCAAGTCTTTTGTTCTTGTTAGCTATTAGAAAGGTGAACTCACGCTTCGTCGTATAATTAACCCTCAGCTAATCAGTACCATATCCAGAGGTGTTTCACTCAATCTGTTCATTTACATTTCGTATAAATTATTGATGAGTATTCAGTCACTTACTTCCATCTATCGATTGTCTAAATCCTCTGTTCTCATCTACAAGAAATCGTGGTATATACAAGACCTTTTGATCAATGTTTTGCCTTTTATTATTTGTTCCAATAAATGAGTCATTTCGATGTTAGTCTAAGATACGGTTATGTGTAATTGAGTTTAGTATATTTTCCATACCTTTCAACGACAGGAATACTCCACTTTTTTCGATCTTTTGAACTTCAGACTTTACAAAGAAAGATTTCAACAATTGCCTGGATCTAATATGTTTAACAAGTCACTGCACCAAGATATCATTTCGGGAAATCGTTCTGTATATAATACTTTGGTGATTGAAATTAGAAAAATTTCAAATTTGGTTAACAGTCGACCTGATCATCAACCACCATCATCATACTTCGTGTATCAATTCTATGATAAGCCAGAATATGATTCGAATATTATAAAGGAGAACAGCTCACCCGTATTTAATGACTGCCATTCGATTGACTTACAAATGGATCCTGAACTTGATAGGTAAAATATTTGATGGAAGCGTTAACTCTTTTCCAAGTTAATTCTCTTTCATTTTTTTCGACACTGGACATATAGACAGACAAATCAACTCTAAAATTAGCAAACAAGTGCATCGGTTCAAGTTACCACACTTTACAGCAGTATGCAGAGAAGGGATTGGAAAGAGTGTCATGTTAAAGTCGACCAAAGTGTCTGAAAGACATCAAAATATTAAAGACTTTGAAGATGACAAGGAGTGTATATATCTGCACAATTGTGACTGGTTTTCAGCTATGTCACAAAGTCTCCAACTGTTCATTCCTATGGTCTTAAAAATTGCAGTCAGGCAGCCTAATATTATCACTATTATTATTTTTTCCTTGCGTTCTTAGTGGAACATAGCGCTTCAGTAGCACGCTTCCATTCCACTCTGCTTTCTCTAGTCTTTTGAACCTCGCTCCACGACTGCCCACAAGCTTTCATTTCTTCCTCACATCATCTCCTCCATGTCACCGTTGGATGATTAACTCAATTTTTCCCCTTTGGATTCCACTTGAGTGCCTGGCGCGTTATGTCTCTGAGTGACCTTCTCAGTGTATGTCCAATCCATCTCCACTTCCTTCTGCATATTTCTTGACCGACAGGTTCTTCATTGGTTCGTCATCAGCCACAGTGAGTTCCTTGTTCCTTATTCTTATTATTCTGGTCATCTGAGCTTCAATAAACAGCGTAGGCGGCAGCTGCTGATGAATGTCAGTAGTTTGTTGGAAATCCCTTTCGTAACGCACCAAGTCTCTGAGCCATACAGAAGCACTGACTTGACTGAATTGGTGTTGAAAATCCGGATGTTGTTCACGCTTTATGCTGAGTGCAGTGCAGTAGATCTCCACACTGATTTCAGATTAATGAAAGCCTGTCTTGCTGTCTTTCCGACCCTGGTTTTGACCTCCTTGTCTATGCCACCTGTAGTTGACACGATGCTGCCTAGTTGGTAGGTGAAAGAGACAACTTCCTTTAGGTTTCTCCCGTTAATGGTGATTGGTGCTTGTTGTTGATGCTCTTGTTGGTTGGGTATCTTCGTCACCTATGTCTTCGCTACATTCACTTGAAACCCCTTTTTCGCTGCTCTGCCTCTTCTGTCAACTTGTTAGTTTTCGCCTTTAGATCTTCATGTTTGTGAGACATTAGACACAAATCATCATCGTTGGCGAAATCCAAATCTTCTTCTGGGGTCTTTCATCGGTCCAGTCAGCGTATGCCGATCTTCTCGCTCCTCACAGTTTGCTGCATGATCCAGTCGACCACAGTCAGGAATATCATCGGTGATAGTAGGCAGGCAGCCTTGTCTTACTCCTTCCTGTCTTCACTTCAAAGGCATCACTGATCTTTCCATTATGGATCACCTGACATGTGGCGTCTTCATATAGCTGTTGAATGAGGTCGATAAAGGTTTGTGATATTCCGTAGTATTGAAGCAACTGCCAACAGCAACGAGCAACAGCCTACGCCTCCTTGTATTACTGAAATAACCAGTTAAGGATTTCATCGACTTGTGCTCAAATTCATGTCAAAGTAATCATATAACTTTCAAACTTCATTTATACAGTCCAACAGTTCTTCATTCGTTCAACTCAATGATAGTAAAGTTTCCCATATATCTGCCATATCATATGAGTCATTAGTATTACACATATTTCGTGTTGGTTGATTAAATGAAGAAAGATTCTGTGACCAATCTCTCCCTTGACCTAGCCAGCTATATTGGATTTTAGAATTATCAACCTATCCCACCCAGTGTATAGTGTGATTATGGGTCAATGAATGGAGAGTGATAGCCGATTTCTTTCTGTTAGTTACTCATCTCAGTGGGGTCTACCATTTTGCGTTTGACTAAATGTTTGTGCCTTGCTATTCTGACTGATACCGATCGCCTGTTTTGGCCTGTATGCTTGACCTGACATCGATCGTCATATGTTATTTGATAGATTAGGTTAGTTTGCTTAATTGTCTCTACTGGACCTTTGAGCCCACAAAGTTTCTGTGTGAGGGAGCTTCGGGGGTTTAAATGCCTTGCTAATCCCATCCAGCATTGTTAATAATTCTATATCGAATTTCCAATGTGTGCCTTGTTTATATGGCAACACTTGAAAGGGTTTGAATTCCCTCTTAGGGATGGTACAGTCACCAGTAACATTGCCACTCTTTCTCTTATCAGTCTTCATAAACTTTTTACTAAATCCCGGACTGTAGTAGGCATAATACTACATCACTGTGATTCATCAAATAAGCAATATAATGTTTGATTATACGATACCATAGTGCCTGATTTTTACTCTTATAAGTAAATAGAATCGAATAAGTTATTGGTTAATTTTGAGACGCATTGGAAATGCTTGACATTAAGAAATACGATTTATACGATATAATCCCAATAAAGTTTAGTTGGTAATATATTCTATTTAGAGTATACAAATTATCGAGGTCAGTTCGAGTTCACAACAGTAGTCAATCCTTTGTGATCATACGTAAAATACCGGAGGAAGCAGAAGCACAAGACGTGCGTTGTCAGGGCAACTAATAACTAACTTTTAAAAAGCTTACGACCTTCTGCGATGCCAGTATTCCATAAGATGAGGAAAAAGCATCACGGCGGATGGTAACGAGCTTTGAAGCGAATAACCTTATCTAAAATGATTCTGCTTGAATTTATAAGCACGATCTGCAGGTCAATAGAGTGAGAAATAGATTACTTACAATCTCTTATATCCTCAAATGTATACCGTAATACTGGAGTAACTACACTGCAAGAAATTTGGTTGAATGAACTGTATTATGACAATTTGATTTCTTTGAATGAATTCAAAATTTTCCGTCAAGATCGATGTAGCTCTACTAAGAAAGGGCAGGTGGAGTAGATACTTTTATCTGTACCCATTGGTACATTTCGAGTTACATTTTCTTCAAATTCTCTAATGACCACATAGGTTGCATCACTGTAAAATGCCGCCCAAAACATTTGGACAAATATCGCTTTATTTGTATCACAAATATTCATGTGACACCTGGTTGCAGTTTCTCCGATATATTCACGGAATTCGCTGTCCCCACACTCTTTTTTTCCCTGTCGATAATATGTGACGATTTTAACTCCTGTGACCAAAGCTTTTTCAACACTCTTGGTCATCAAAACATTGTTAACTTCACAACACGTCAGGATGCGACACTAGACTGGCTATTCGTCAGTGATACTAATATATATGAAACTCAAAAGAGATCCCCACTGCTCAGCTCAGATCATTGTATTATACATGTTTTGATCAAAGTATATGGCAAAATTCACAAAACAGTTTTCACATATAAGAAGATTGTACATAGAAACTGTTCACTTAGTAACATATTTAATCTAAGAGAAATGCTTCAATGTATAGACTGGAATATATTTGACAGCGATGATTTGAATGATACTATTGATAGTGTAACATGCTATCTCAAGTTCTGCTTAGATGTATGTTGCCCTAGTGAAAAGCTTTTTCTACGCTTCGATCGTACAACTCTACCCAGCTTAAGAAACTAAGAGAAAAAGAAAGAGTATATAAGGTAAGTAATAATGCTGGTGCCCGTCGATTAAATGTTTTCATTAGGTTGGAAATTAAACGTCTGCGTCTACTATACAACCAGAAACGTTTGTCATGCTAAGGTTCTTCCAGCATGTGGAAACTTTTTAAAGACCTCACTGGTAGTAAACACCCTAGCAAAGAACCTTATAACGATGTCTGTACCTCCAACAAATCATTTTTGCGTCAACCCACTTGTTTGATCCCACTATGTCTACCTATGTCCAATGAAGAACGTTGTTCAGAGTACACCACGAACGATATTTTCAAGTGTCTCAAATCCCTAAACCCTTCCCACAGTTCAGGTCTGGATGGTATGTCTAGCTTCGTACTCACGAAATGTGCTGATATTTTATGCTATCCATTAGCTAACACTTTCAACGAATCGTTTTTAGAAAACACCATACTAAGTGCCTGGAAAGATATTAAGATAGTCGCCATACCTAAGTGTAGGACTCCAGGTGCATGTACAAAATACCGTCGGATTGCAGTTACATATCCGTTCTTAAGAATAATGGAGAAGCTTATAATATCTGTGCTCGAGCCCTAACTGAAGGCTTTCGGAGACCCTAATCAATTTGCATATAAAAACAGAAGAAATTCTTTGAATGCAACCACTGTCTTACATCACGATATTACTCATAGTCTTGATAAAGATGCCAAGTATATTAGGTGTGCCTTTTTAGATTATACTTCGGCATTTGACTCTGTCCCAAGACCTCTTATGCTGGAGAAGTTTACCAGAACAAATACTGAGTTGGCTAATCAACTGCCTGCATTCCTATTCCTCTGGTAAGAAACAACATACTGTTCGCGGAGGGAAGCGCTCCACCTCATTGCTTACTGTGACTGGAGTTCCCCAAGGAGCTCTCCTTTCCCCAAGTCTTTTCTCATTCTTTCTGCATTACCTACTATCTTCAGCTGGTATCAAGTTCTTTAAATACACTGATGTCCTAACAGTTTCTATGCCTATCTCCTCTTCAGCAGACTGCTCCCAACTGAATGACTTCCTATCTAATGTTAGACGATGGTCCTTCGAGAATGGTCTTATGCTTAATTCTTCAAAATGTCAAACCATAAACTTTAGTTTTAGACGTGAACATTACTTGTGTTAGCTGATTAGTTCTCATGATTCCTGTTCTATTGATAGTTGCGCATTAGAGAATGTTACAAATGTGATTTATCTTGGTGCTTTTCTTCGGACCTTTACTGGTCTTCTCATACCTTACTAATTTCCAAAAGAATTTTCCGCCTAACTTTCTATATTAGGAAGCTTAGAGTATCTGGTATTACTCAGCCTCTTCTCTTATGTTTTATAATCTCCTGTGTCTTGCCTGTCCTCCTCTATTGCTCTCCTTTATTTTCTCCTGGGTAGCTGAAAAAAGACTATGCTATACTGCGTAGAGCTTTGAAGACTGTCTGCAGAACTAATGGTGTATCCTTTGACCTTTTAGTTAAAACTGTTGTAGGCAAACATATTAACTCGTGTAAACATCTGGCAGGAGTTATTTTATTAAATGACCAACATCCTCTTCACTCGAAGCTCTCTACGTATGGGCCATCTGGAAAGACGAGGAGCAAGTACATAAGACTCTATGCACGTACTAAAAAATATAAAAACTCTACAATACCGTATTTAGCTCGTCTGCTGTGTGATGAAGAAAGCATTAGAAATGAACTAACAAATCAACTTCTGTTTTTGAAAGTAAACTAACTGAAGATGAGCACATTACTTTTTACGTATTATGAACCTAATTGCCAATGTAACTGTATGCCTTAAATGACTGTGCATTTAAAAAAAGTTGTACACAGAGTTAATATTTTTATCTTTTCCTCATGTTATTTCTACTTATGTTCATTTTGCTATGTAAACATATTTACCGCCTTTATCCAACTGATGCTATATGACGTGCTGAAAAGTTTGCAGAGTATTCCCAGAATAGCTTTCAGAATAAAGGTATTATTATTTTTACCTGGATACTGATAGCATGCGCAAAAAGCTGAATTGTTCATGAGAGCTGAGCCTGGTGACCTAACCGACTTGCATATACGGGTTTACCAAAACTATTATGATCAGTTCGCAAATTATTTAAAAATTACACCTGTCACAAGGATATTCTTAGTTAAGAATTTCATTACCTAGTTAAGACACCAATTTTGACTAATTTCCTTGACGATTCAAGTAATTTCTCATAGTTTTGTAGGTCTAACCAATTTTTAGTCTCCTTTGATAAACTTCATCACAAGTTTTCAGGGTGGACTTTCTCCTTGAAGACACTAATATGTATGCATATTGTTACCGGTGACCAACAAATATCAAATGCATAATTTCTGCACTCTTGTATATCACAGGCTTTGAACCATACTTATTATGTGAGTACTGATAGCAGTCATCTTGCATTATCTGTGTCCGTAACTGGCGAGTTATCCGTTTATCTGTATAAGAGCAGGCACAATTCACTGAGGTTCTTTCTGTTCTCTTATACGACTATGAGAGAGACATGGCCATTAAAAGTTAAAAATATGAAGCAGTTATTAGGTTTTCGACCATATATGTCTTCATAGCATTGCTCACATATGGTAGGATTTCTGTGTGAGGAAAGTTGAGGTTAAGCAAAGCGTACTAGGTAAGATGGGCAGATTAATTGGTTAGGCTATTAACTTTTATCAACTGAGGTGGCTTGAAAATTTGCTGTACACGCTGAGTCACTGGCTATCTGGACGTGCAATACTGAGGGAATTCAGATAAGATTAGAATAGGCTTCATGGTGGCGAGACATAGACGTGGAATCAGTTCATGAAGTCTTGACTGTTGGTCTGAGCCGTGTAACGATGTGCAGACTTTCTAGCTGCTGTCCCTTAGATGAAAGATACCAGTCGATGAGGACTCTTGGTGACATGATTGAAAATTGGTCACAGTGGTGCAGATGTATTCACTCTTTGTAGTTTTCTAAGCTAGAATGTTTTGACTAACCTTCATTTTTGAATTCGTTTGCCTCCCATGCCCCTTTGTCTACCTTTATATCAATTTTTCAATCCATTTGTTTTTTGTGAAATGTGGCAACTTGAGGTGATACTTTTGTGTGGGAGGTTCTACGTTGATTTTGTCTGTTTTCGTGTCTGATGGCACTCACTAGTTATCTACAGTAAATTGGAGTTTAAATGCAATGAAAACTGCTTGAATGTGTAAACCAATGAGAAAAAGGTTATTTTATGAGCTTGTCTTTGAATATCTACGGCCGTTTGAAAAAGCAAGACATTTTAACCAACTTCAGGAAGGTCATCATTGCAAATCTGATTGCTGATAGAAAAAAACATTGTTTTTTGCTCAATAATATCTGCTAAACTGTTGAATACATAATGTTGACATTAAAGGCCATCTAGACAACTGTTAAGATGAACAATCACTATTCTATTTTTTACGACAAACCACCTTTCCAGTCGAAATACCAAAACGGCATTGGTTAGTTGCTAAGGTAGTCTTTAAAGTCACTCATGCATAACCAGTTAAGTTGTAACTGGCGATACACAAACAGATTACATTTTGTACACTTTTGAGTGACCTTAAAGACCAATTTAGCAGCTGTTGGAATGACCAATTAGGTTTCTTCATCTCATGAAAAAGTTCCCTTCTAACCGAAATAGAGCCATCTAATCGGTTGTTATGGTTACTTTTAAAGTCAGACCTTATTTTACCCTCAATAGCAGTTTATTTTACATTATGCCCTTTACTAACCTGTTGATACACCTGACCATTTGTGCAAACTTTTCTCTTTTGTCACAGTTATTTACGAACAGAAAGCCTTAAAATTTACATTCTGGACAGTTCAGCTCCTGAACCTGAAGCCAGTTGTCTTGGTGTAGCTGTTGTTCCTTTAGTTGGTCTAATTCATAAGAAACAGGAAATCGATGGCGTCTATGAAATATTTCCTCCAGCTATACTTCTAAAACAACAGTTGAATCAACATGAGAAATTCAATGAAATGAAAGATATTTCTGATAAACGTGGTCTAGTGTATTTGAAAATGTATTGGAAACAACCGTATACTACTGAATCAAAACAAGTAGTAGTATGTAGTCAACCAGATACAGAAATCTCAAAAGATTTGGAAATTGAACCAGTTAAACAAACTGCAGAGGTATGTTGATGAAAAGAACTGCCGTTAAAGTATTACTTTTTCACCATGACTAGTGTATTTATTCATTCATGCGAAGCATGTTTGGTGGTTGGTTGAAGGTATTTGACAGGATACCTATCTTACTCGTAGGTTTTCTTATTGATACTGGTTAGGAAGGTGAACATACAACACTGAAGATGAATGATGCCATTTAGATTCCAGGACCTGTATCACTTAGTACCGCACCATAACACTGAGTCTCTTCACTTGATGACTAAGTTGTAAATTTGATGGAAAGAGATGAATTAACGATTATTAGTAGACAACAAATGACACTGTCACTATTAGAAAGCGTAAAAGTACTTATTTTCGGTAATGCTGAACGATTTTAAAGGCCATCCTAACAACTGTTGAGATTACCAATTATGTTTCTTGATTTTATGAAAAACTACTTTTCCAGATGAAATGCCTGAACCTAAATGGTTATTTCAGCGTTTGTTGGAGTGGCCTTTAAAGTTCCCCGTAATTTTTTGTGAGATTTTTCAAATACGTGCACAAATTATTCAGTATAGTCATTTAAAACTAGTATGGTTAGTAGAATTTGGGTTAATAGGTTAGAGTATGATTAAATAAATGGTGATGATAACGGATGATTTGGGGTTCTTCATAGTTGAATGCCTCTATGCAGCAAAAGAAATCTGGTTCATTATATGCGCCACAGAATCTAGACTATCCGCAATCCTGATACTTTGGAAGATGAACCTAATTTTTTCAAATTTTCTTAGATGGAAACAAGCATCCTGAATGTTTCGTCACTAAAACTGTGAAACTGAAGGTAGGTATTCATTCTACTTCTGTGGCTCATAAGAAACCTTTCTGCATTAGCTTACAGTACAGTGGGAGATACATCAGCAGATATATTGAGATGGGTGTTAGTTGGATGGAGACAACCAGCAGGAAGTTCGGGACCCAGGTCTCGTCCTTTTCAGCAGTTGTCAGCGAGGTGTATCTGAAACCCGGTACGAACCTGATGTTTTGCTCAGGATTCGAACCCATGTCACCTAGTTTAGCAATCGGAAACGTTACCACGGAGCTATTCAGGTTGCGATTGACCTCCTGTAGGACTCAATTATACACACTGATTTGTTACTGGAGGGTACCCAACTTCATGTTGTCTAGTCCTAAATGCTGATTGAACTCTACAGATCATCTCGCAATGTGACTATCAGACAAGGAAGCTCATTGAGAAAGACTTTTTATGCTGTCATACTTAGATTATCTTTCTCTACTCAACCATTGCTTCGACTATACGGAAAGAATAAGCTAGCTCCTTTGGCCATCTCGGTGTGCGTTAATCAATTCACCTGCTCCTGTGAAATACGGTATATTGGCCATTCTCAGCGTTTGCTTTTCAAATGCATTTACTAACATATACTGGCCTGGTTTCACAAAGGATCAAGGAGAGCACCACACAGAGCTGTTTTAGTATATCTGACTGATTATGACCACCCGGTAAATGTAGAAAACAACTTCATTTTCATCTTTAAAGTTCGTGAAAGCCATGACCACTAATATTTTAAAACCTAAACTCTGCGTTCAAAAAAATCTGTCCAGTCACTTGAGTTGCGGTGAATCTGGCCTATAAGAACATTTTACCCTCAAGACCTTTTCTTTCACATCTCATACATCACACTCTTTTAATCCTATCATTCTGATTTCCCACTTCATAATAATAATAATAATTCACTTTATTCCAAACAATTCGTGGCACAATTTGGAATTCTCAGCGTTATATATTGCAGCAACAACAAAATATGTGTATATACTTGCTCCTTTGCAACATTACTAATTGTTTTATGATAAAAATTTAAGTAATGTAAAGAACAGAGAGAGGTATTCGTAACGGAGTGATAGCAGTTGGGGAACCATTGGAAATCTTGGGGTGCTGGACAGCTGTCTCGCCCTAGTATGGGACTCCTCAGCAGTATGCACCCACGACCCGGCTAGGGATCGAAATCAGGACATCAGGTTTCACTGCGAACTTGCTAACCATTCAGCCACTGGGTTGGTTTTCAGTGGTTCACAATTTCCAGCTTCTGTCAACTGACGATATAGCACGACTATCACCCAAGGTCTTCAGTTAGTATTCGCTTCACTTCCGACTGGTTGACCCTAACAGGTTACGGCTTCTCATTAGAGCTTCACGATATCCATCTAGAAGCAAGTCACTAATGAGCACTATATAGTTATGTTTTTGAGATGAAGGGGGATTTTTAATTTGGAAGTAGTATTCATCATGGAGTGACATCAGTTAGGCAACCATTGAAAATCTGGGAGCACTGGACACCTGTTTCGTTTTAGTATAGGACTCTTCAGCAGCACGCACCTACTTCTAATTTAAAAATCCCTATTCATCTCAGAAATACACCAATGTAAAGATTATTTTTTAAAAACCAGAAAATTTTACATTGTTAATTAAATTACTGAAATGAGATTCTTAACTGTTACGAAGTTGATGTAGGATTTCTGTTCTAACACTTTTTCCTCACATAATATGTGTGCTAGGTAAGGTACAGTCGAATTCTTATACTTAGCTGTACGAGGATACAGTGTTATTAGTTTCTTCTTGTCCTCCCTCTGGAGATACATAGAGAGAGCTGTGCATGAAGTGGATGCTCAATGTCAGTTGAAATTTCTGTAGCTAGTCGCTTTCTGGAATTTAAATGTCTGTCAACCACAGTGTTAATCGGTCGAGCCAGAGGCACACCACTCACACTACTGACGGCTTTCAAAGCCCTACGCAACATAACATAGTCGTTTTTTAGGAGACCAGGAAAGGCCAATGGCGAACAATATAGAAGAATAGATTAATTGCAGGAAATAATAAATTGTAAAAGAAGAGGTTGAGTTATACCAGGCAACCTCAGTTTCTTTATGTAATAAGTTAAATTAATGATATTTTTGCAAGTCAATAAAATATGTGACGACCGACAATGATCGGAACTAAAACTCAACCCAAGATAGTTAAGACTCAATTTACTTTCCACGGAAATACCATCAATGTAACAGGCATCATGAGATTTAAGCAGCTCACACAAGTCCGTCTTGTTTACGTCTGAGGCTAAAACTAACAGTCTGACATTTAGAAGGGTTTAACTTGAGACCATTTGAGAGAGACCATTGGCCAACTACAGAGCAATCTAAATGAGAGTTAACTGGAATAGATACCATCAGGTCATCAGCATACTTAATAAAATTAGTTCCAACAGAATAAAGTAAATCGTGCAAAGGAAACGAAAACAGGAAAGGAGGAAGTACAGACCTTGAAGCACACCGACTTCAGAAAGCAATGAAGTAAAGCGCTTCCCTTTATGGACAGTGTACTGTTTCCTTTCAGAAAAATAAGAATACAGCCACTTTGTGATCCATGGCTCAGTATGAGCTATGGCAAACTTGTTTAACAAGAGTGCTGTAGGAACAGAGTCTAAGGCTGTTGAGTAATCCAAAAAGGCACAACGAACATATTTAACACTTTTGTCTAGATTAGAATCAGTATCATGATGCAAGACAGTGGCTGCATTTAAAGTACTCCTTCGGTGTTTGTAAGCAAACTGTTTTGGATCTCTGAAAACCATCAATGAAAGGCTCTATCATTAGAAGTAATTTCTCCATTGTCTTCAGTAAAGGAGAAGTTATAGCGATGGGTACTATGTTTTTAGAAAACGATGCATTGAAGATATCTTTCAGGGGGTGGCATAAAATATCTGCACATTTTCTAAATATAATACTTGAAACGCCATCAGGACCTAAGCTTTGGGAGGGATTCAGAGATTTTAGACATTTGAATACATTATGTGTATTAAAACCTGGAAGGCAGATATCCATTTGAATTTGGACATTAGGAAGGGTGAAATCAGCTTACCGACGGATGAATGGCTTGTTTAACGCGCAGACATCCGAAAAAATTTCTTTTATCATCTATTTTCTACCAGTGAGCTCTTTAAATAATTCTCATATATTGGAAGAGTTCTTACATGATAGGAACTTCTGGTTGCATATAGTATTCGGATGTCGTATTTTAGACTGAATTAGGCTGTTAAGGCTTTTAACGCCAGGAGGATCTTTCGCCTTATGCAACCTTTCCTTTTCTCTCCGGAGCCTCTTGAGATGAGGAGAGGAAAGTTTGTCGAATCTCATGTAGATTGCTTCAGCAAGGTAGCAGATATCAAGACAAAATCTGAGATAGCTTGTGATATTGGTGATCGTGTTGTTTAAAACTTTATCAGCAAATGCATCCCAGTCTGTTTATACAAGCATGCTTCTCAAACGTTTTATATTATCTTGTAAGTAGGATCTATATTAAACTTTCCTGGAAAGGTACCTGAAAGCTTTCTTATGTAATTTGCCGTACACTTAAAGGAAAACACAAACAATACAGTGGTCAGAATTCAGCAGCGGAGCCCGTTTAAAGGCTTCATATGTGCCAGGTTCATTTTTAAATACTAAGTCTAGGGTATTACCAGGACGAGTGGAAACGTTAACCATATTTTTGTGACCCAATGATACTAGAAAACTGCAGTCATATGAGTTAGGATCTCCATGGACTATAGACACGGAGTTATCCAAAACCGGAATAGCATATTCAGTGAATACATCAGCCAAAGTTGATAAATCTGAGAAACTGCAGTCAGATGTGACATATATATATATATATATATATATATATATATATATTCTTATTTACTCAAGTGTTTGGGATGACATTTGATGGTAATGTACTCAATTTTTTCGTTTGAGAAGCAGAAGCATACATAATTAGAGGAGGACTAGTTTGCGTTGATAAATGTTGCTACACCATCACCAGATTTCTTCTTGAAAAAGCCTCGATCTTGTCGAAATAATTTGAAACCATCCAAGTAGACTAAATCATCATCATCATCATCATCATACAGGTTATGAAGCCATGTTTCCTGTAGCATTATTACATCCGTGTTTCCATAAACATTTGTGATTGATGTTGATCAACTTTATTCGGCAATGACCTGTAGTTTGTGCTTAGTATATCCGGAATAGTCATTGGATCTTTAGTCACAAGCTTGAGAGCCCGTTGCCATCCACCCTGGTACTTCTTCTTAATTTGCATATAAACTTGTGGAGAGATAGGTTGTAATGATTTTGAAACCGTGCGAGAGTATACAATACGATTGGTTGACATAATTGAACGATTAAAAAAATATAGAAATGATAAATTTGATGCCATATATTCTGTGATAAAAAAAAGTAGCCCAGAGTTCAAGCCAGTTTGATCAATCACTAATCCCTCCAACCATATTACATCGTTTAACTTTTTTTCCCTTGTGTTCCTAGTGGAACATAGCGTTCCGCTCTCTTCTCTGCAATCTTTTGAACCTCGCTCCACGACTGCCCACAAGCTTTCATTTCTTCCTCACATCATCTCCTCCATGTCACCGTTGGATGGCTAACTCAATTTTTCCCCTTTGGATTCCACTTGAGTGCCTGGCGCGTTATGTCTCTGAGTGACCTTCTCAGTGTATGTCCAATCCATCTCCACTTCCTTCTGCATATTTGTTGGGTGATAGGTTCTTGGTTGGTTCGTTGCCTGAGTTCCTTGTTGCTTATTCTTCCTGGCCATCTGATCTTCAATAAACAGCGTAGGCGGCAGCTGCTGATGAATGTCAGTAGTTTGTTGGAAATCCCTTTCGTAACGCACCAAGTCTCTGAGCCATACAGAAGCACTGACTTGACTGAATTGGTGTTGAAAATCCGGATGTTGTTCACGCTTTATGCTGAGTGCAGTGCAGTAGATCTCCACACTGATTTCAGATTAATGAAAGCCTGTCTTGCTGTCTTTCCGACCCTGGTTTTGACCTCCTTGTCTATGCCACCTGTAGTTGACACGATGCTGCCTAGTTGGTAGGTGAAAGAGACAACTTCCTTTAGGTTTCTCCCGTTAATGGTGATTGGTGCTTGTTGTTGATGCTCTTGTTGGTTGGGTATCTTCGTCACCTATGTCTTCGCTACATTCACTTGAAACCCCTTTTTCGCTGCTTTGCCTCTTCTGTCAACTTGTTAGTTTTCGTCTGTAGATCTTCATGTTTGTGAGACATTAGACACAAATCATCATCGTTGGCGAAATCCAAATCTTCTTCTGGGGTCTTTCCATCGGTCCAGTCAGCGTGTGCCGATCTTCTCGCTCCTCACAGTTTGCTGTATGATCCAGTCGACCACAGTCAGGAATATCATCGGTGATGGTAGGCAGCCTTGTCTTACTCCTTCCTGTCTTCACTTCAAAGGCATCACTGGTCTTTCCATTATGGATCACCTGACATGTGGCGTCTTCATATAGCTGTTGAATGAGGTTAACAAAGGTTTGTGGCACTAAAACCGTAGTATTGAAGCAACTGCCTGCCAAATTACTTCTGAATGGAGGCTGTCGAAAACTATTTCAAAGTCGATGAAGTTGAGGTAGAGAGTTGACTGCTATTCTATACTCTGTTCCATGATGATGCGTAGTGTGGCGTTGCAATTTGGTCTGCACATAATTTATACTCCCTGAATTCAGCCAGCCTGTTCCGGTCGTAGTTTTGAATGCAGCGCCTCGTTTAGTCTCTCCAGGATGATGCGGCTTAATATTCTGCTTGCTTTGGGTGGACAAGAGCGTGATTCTTTGCCAGTTCTTGCAAAGACTTAGGTTTCGCTTCCTTGTGACTTTGAAAAGGTAGCACTTCTTCCAATCTGCAGACACCTTTCCTTCCTTTCTAAGCTTCTGCAATCGAGGTGTCAGCATGTCAGCTGCTGTCTCTGAGTCTGTTCTTAGTGCTTCTGGCGGGATTCCATCTGGTCCTGCTGCTTTCCCGTATTTCAGTAGCTTTATGGAGCTCAGGACTTCTACTTTTGTTGGAGGATTTATCTTCACTTGTAGTTCTGTGACTGCAGGTGGTATTACTTCCTTGCCCAAATAGTGAGTGGTGTGATTCTACATCTGCTCCTCTTCTTGATCTGATCTTGTGTCCAGTAGGCTGTCTGCTTCTCCACTTTCTTCACATTGAGATGATTTTTAGTGTGTCCTGTTGTCTGGTGAAATCCATGTCGCTTTGTGGATACCCTTGTGCCTGAACAGAGTGCATCCAATCACCAAATTGTTGAATGCACAGAATTCTGCAAACAATTTTCCATTCTCGTTCGTCACCTCACCGAGCGCTTCCCGGCCCATGGTTAGTTCTCTTCCTGTGTTGTCCGCTCCCAGTATGGCATTCATGTTGCCCATTAGAATTTTGATGTCGCCAACTGGAGTGGTATCTTGTCCAGTGTTGATTGCAGTTGTCTGTAGAATTCCTCCTTCTTTTCTTCATCTGCATTATTTGTAGATGCGTAGCGTAGCATTGAATGATTGTGACTTTCCCTCCTTTTGAGTTGAATCTTGCTGTCATGATCCTGATGCTGGAGGAGATTTGTTCCCACTGCATGAGAGACAGCCTTCGATGTTCTAGGGGACATCATGATAGCCACTCGAAAACTCAGTGTGTTCGTGGTTGTCGTCTGTTTGACAATATCGGAGTGGATTATTGACTCTGCAGTTGACAGTTTGGAGAATCTACTTCCATTCTATCTGCTTTCGCAGATTCCAGGCACTTCCATGCCATACCTTCTCATCTGGTTTGCAATCTGGGCAGCCTTGCTAGGTTCATACATGGTGCGGACATTCCATGTCCCCATGTTTACTTTCACTTTCATCGAGATAAGAGAAGACACATCGGCCAATTGGCTTTCCGATGGCTTTCACCAACCGACGTCATTTCGTCTCTCCGATTGCAGCGAGGAATAATTTTGTTTTTATTTTTTATATTTTGTTTGTGCTTTGAAGTTTCTTTAGCGGTTGGATTGGTTTTACGGAGTTGGGTTGCTAGCCGTATGTCCAACCTTCTCTCTTTACCCGGGCTTAGGACTGGCTAGTAACTAGTGCACTAGTTAACTAGGCGAAGTTGCTAGAAGCAGTTATCGCTTCTGAATCATGTCTTCTTACTCGATATCTTTTTGACGAGTAGGTCAAGTATATAGCTGAAACTAGTCGGTCTGGGTCAGTTAGAATAGCCGAACATAGGAATTTACCTAAATATCGAATACCAGACCTGAATAATATCAATAATCTATAAAACGCTCGGCTGTTGCTATGCATGCATTAACTCACAACCATACAATAGGATGGAATAAAGCCACTGTACTTATGTCTAATACAATTAGGTGAAGGGAGAGCGAGATGGATTACTGAATCATTGTTCATCGAATCAACACTCAACACATGTTATAGGAATGACGCAACACCTATACCGGAGATATGGAAAATTTTGCCACTAATAAAGACAACTCATATAAAGTGACGTAACTATGAAAATCAAATGTCGAAAGTAGTGTGATTACATTCATATGATTATGAGCAATAATTTATGCTGGACAGTAAATAATACTAGATCACTCTGTGTTATAGATCAAATAAACAAATCTAATATGGAATCAAACTGGAATGGTTCAATTTTTGACCACTTTTAGGATTTCAAGTGTTGGTTAAATCATATACATTTCCGTGAAGTTTGGCTAGGTAAAAGGTTTTCGGAAGTAAATGCGTTACATCTGGACAGAAGGTTCTATATCTTTACAAACACCGCGTGAACAGCTTAGTGGTCAGTCTTCTGAGTGTCACAGGTCGCGAGAAGAGTTTCAGTCTTGCAACGGTCGATTTCTTTCTCCAACACCTTGTTCAGGGACTCCAACATGCAAACTATCTAGATTTAGAGTGCTGTACCAACTGAATGCAATCATGCTGACTAGAATTCAGTGTAGTTGAGTAGAATCTACCAACTTGTTTCACCTGGAACTATTCAGGTGACTTGTAACTGTGAGACATTTGAAAACTCTGTGATTTTATTTTGTCTTGTTTTTCTCACAGAAGCCATACAAAATTCAGGGTCAATCTGAAGAGGAAGTTTACTCCTCAACATTATCCAATGTCGCCTTCACTAATCCACCTGATAAATTCTCTTCTAAACAGCGTACACATGAGAATTTGCTACAACCTTCAACTTCAAAAAAATCCCAAGTGGATGTTGATTTAGATCCAGTGAAAGAAGAATTAATCGAAAAAGTCACCAGAGTGAAAGTGAATCAGGTGATGAATGTTTCTGTTGATTGCCTAATTACTCTTTCTTTACTGACTATTAATTAGACTACAGTTGGTGGTTAGTAGGAATTGATTGAATTCTAGGTTGTATTCGTCATGGATGGAATATTATTTGGAGATTTATTGAAAGGCTGGAGTTACTGGGAAGCTGTTTCGTCCTGGTGTTTTTGTGACTGCTCAGTGTTGCGCACCTACAAACACGTGGTCTCGCGAATAACATCATTCAGCCAATAGGATAGGGTTTCCTACTTCTTTCATTTCGCGATGTAGTACGACCATCATTGAGTGCCATCGGTCTGTATATTTCCATACACATAACTTAGTCTTCATAGGTGTTTTAACTAACTAATAATTCTGAAACACCTTGGTCAAATGGGAAATCCGTGTGAAATGTTCGATACATCATTGTACGTTGAAAACATGAATAGACTAGTGACCAAAGTCATTTTGTGGTTGACGCAATAACAGATTGATAGGCAAAAACTAGCACATTACAAACTAACCAATAATCTCTGTCCTCGATGTTGCTTGGAATAATATCAGGACGATATGAATTTCAACGTAATCAAACAATGAGACAGAATCAATTCATGAAGTCTCCAACGCTCATCATTTTGTTGACTTTATCTGAAGCCTATGAGGCCACATCTAACATAATGTAACCTTGAACTTATTGATGCCATGAGCGACTCCTCAAACCAACGATATTAACTGCTCGGAGACAGCCAATATAGCTTTGTGATCTCAGTGACAGTACTACGTTCGTAGGCGAAAGAAGAAGACTTGAGCGATTGTTTAAACAGTTACTAGCATGGCCTTTAAAGTCACTCTAATTCCTTGTCTTTAATCTTTGCTGACTATATTATCTAATAGGCAGATAATAGATACTGTGTTGTTTATGGGAAAGCGTCATTAACTACCATTATTGGGAATTGGTAATGGCTACAACTCAGACTCGTAAACAACAACTGAAATTTTTATGCACACTAACTGTTTTTAAATGCAACTGTGGAGCTGAAGACGAATTTGTCCTTGCTGAAGTTTTTATTCTTCTATGAATCAACGGGAATTCTTGAACATGTAGACAAAACAATAGCAAACGCAAATTGTAGTTGCATTTTTTATATATTGGGCGTATCACTAGAAAGCTTAACAAACGTGTTTCTGAGCACCTACTTTCATATCTAGGAAGGGGACAAGTAAAGTAAGCATGAAGTTCACTTATATCGCATCTAGTCTATTGTGATTATTCAATGGATATGAACGAAGCATTCAAAATCATCTTTCACATTCCGTAAAATCTTACGAATGAAGTTCGTACTCGCAGAAAAAATGTATCTGAAGTTATGGGAATTAGAGAAAACGATTCTGATCTTTGTGTACATGTAAATGTTTAAGGAACCATTATCTCTGTCTTAGAGAAAAAAATAATAATAATGAGTATATACTCAAATATCACTTGGGATCACTGTACAAAATTTTTAGCATGACATATACCATCAATTAGTTTAAAAAAGTTTATATGTACACAAAATAGAATATATAAGGATAAATTGCATGTAAAGGATGACAATGTTTACTCCATCACCAACTTTCTCGAAAATTCAAAGTTAATTAAACGTTCACATTAGCAATTAGATTCACGATAAATAAATAACACCAAACTGTGAAATCTTTTATTAAGAACAAATGTTGATTGGTCAATTCATTTACAACAGTCTTTCTCTCACAGGATACGAGTTAAATGTGGTGTTATTAAGCTTTTATATTTAGTAGTACGTGCAAAAATTTTCATATACTTGAAGACCGATAGCTGGAAAGATTTGAGTGAAGACGATGATTGTTATCTGATCAACTCTCTCCTATCAGTGTCAGTCACAAGAAGTAGAGGTACAAACTAGTTTTACTGACATTCTTCACAGTTCTACGCAATACAGCATACAGCGTGTTCTAGCAATCGATGAGTGAATGAAGGAGAACAAGAGAGGGGAAATGGCAAAATGCAGTAGTGTATGAAACACAAGAGAAAGGGTTGCGTTATACCAGATACTCTCAGATTCCTAAGATAACAACTTAGGTAGAAGATTCTGTTGGAAAGTAGTGAGGAAAAGTTCGAAGAAAAATACACGTCGAGATAAATCACACCTGCAGCATTCTCCAATACCCAACTATCAATTCAGAAAAAGCTTGCGACTTAACTGGTTCAAGTCAGTTATATTCACGTCCGAAACTGAAGTTTACTGTCTGACATTTTGAAGAATTAAGCTTAAGACCATTCAAGGAGGCTAATCGTCTAACAGTAATGATTCCTCCCATGCGTCAGATTAGCTATCACAGACTTCATTTTTTGCTTTGACTTCTCGAAGGCTTCGTATAACCTGATGCTACTTTGAACCAAGATCACAGATCATTCAATTTCAAAGAATTTAATCATAAATTTATCTGCGTAATCATTGAGATACATGGTATTCTTGATGTATTTAATTTCTTGTTGAAGGTTTTCTGTCCTACTAGTTAGCTTGTTTGCCCTATTACTGAGGCATTCGAATAGGCCTACTTTAACTGAGATGGAGTGTGATGATTTGGAGCCCAAGGAGCGATTCAAATGGGAAGGTTTCCTACAAACACTAGTTTATAAACTTCCATCTTGCTTCCGTTTAATCTTGAAATTCAACAATGCTTTCCAAGTTATAGGTAAATTGGACTGCATTTCCTACTGAATTTGGGTGTCAAGAACCTATTCATATCTTCAGATCTCATTACTGTAAATGTATCATCTGCATATCAGAACCATATCTTTGGAGTAGGACTAAGTTTATTTGAATAGGCAAATATTCATAAATATGTCTTTGACGGTAGGGGATATTGGTGATCCCATGGCAACCCCTTCAGTTTGTGTATATATTTCATTTTGAAGGTTGAATACTGTAGATATCAGGTAAAATCGTGTACCTAGCATGACTTTCTAGCGTAGTACTTCAGTTCGACGCGTAAGTTCATTGTCATCCTTAAGAAAATCTCACCTATAACCACGCAAGGAATTACATAGAACCACACAATAAGGTGGAATACAGCCACAGTATTAAAAAACAACTCAACTCCGTGAAGGAAGAGATTGATAACCGAATCCTTGTTTGTCAAGTCAACACCAAATAAACATGATAACAACCTTCCTAGATATCGGAGAAAAGATTGGAACTGCATCAAACATGTCTCAAAGTTGTGCAGTTATCTGATGACAGTAAGTGATGTCCGAGATGTTATCCACTAAATACTACAACTCCTTCATCTAATAAACAGACTTAAACGGAATTCAAATCCACCACAGAGACCAAGTTTAACTTCCTCACTATTGAGGGAAAATGTTTTCTATTAAAACGAAGGTCTCAGTACGCATAGAAATGAATAACATAACAGTTACATCCTTATGATTAGCATTTCATTTCAGAGGATATTTGTCACTATTACATATTAGGAAAAATAAATGGTTGATTTATGCGGTTGGGGGTAAACAGAATAAAATGATAAAACTAAGGTTTCTGTCCTCATCCATACGACCTACATGCAACTCGAAAGAAACTGAAGTATACTTTGGGAGGTTGGAATGCATAGCAAGGAACTTTGCAGAATGATTTTCATCTTTTCAACAGTAAACAAAACTTCATTCAAACTATTGTTGGCATGATTTTATCCTATCTGTCGTATTGATGTACATGTGATATCAAAGCTTAGTGGTTTAGGCATTCAGCTTTTGGTACTCAATTCACAGAATCAATAACAATTTCAACTATGATCTTGAACTACTACCAATTAATGTTTGCTAGAAACAACTATCATTTCCAAACGATACACCAGTGACCAATCAGTTTCAATGTGCGGAAAATAGTTGTGAAGACGAGAGGATAGACAATCGGAAGTCATTACCAGTCATAAGTGACAAAATTGTCCCAAGCATTAATGTGGAATGGTGCAGGCTTTCACTCTTCGAATCAGTATATCGAACAGCAAAGTAATATGACAGCTGAAGAAATGGGGAAGAATCGGTGAAAGGGAGGAAAAGAGAGGAGAGAGTAATGGTAGTATTTGATAGTCTACAATGGTTTGTGAATTTTCATAGCAGACAACAAGTAGGAACATTGATGTCTGTGCCGTCATTGTCAAAGTCCTAATGCTGAAAATGCAATGAATAGTACGGATTAATTGAAATACAATGAGAGTTGCATAACATGACAGAATATTTTAAAACACATATGTGATCAAAATGAGTGTAGAAATAACAATGGATGGGAAACTATCCAAGAGACAAATACCTAACGGTAATTTTGAAGACCACTGAAGTAGTAAGAATTGAACCATTATCCTCCATATAAAAACCTGTGGATCCTCTGTTTGGATGGCAAGAGCTGCGGCGTTACTTAGTGTACGAGAACATGCAGCCATTGGGAGGTTTCTCCTAACATTGTGATCAACTCTCAATGAAGATGTTCTTGAGACAGAGAGACCCACTTTGGAGGTGTGTTCAACTAGATCACTTCCTATGAGTTCGCTATTACCTCTTCAGAACCACGTGAAATGGTGCTCCTGAATACTTCTAAACGGTACTCTCATCTAGCGACTTTTATACCTAGCTTCACATGACGAACTGAATTGGTGTATATATATATATATATATATATATATATATATATATATATATATATATATATATATATATATATAGTAGTGATTCGATTGTAGAGTTTGTCGTTTAAGTTGCAAATTACGTTCGATGAAAGCAAACTACTGTTCTCAAGGTTTTCAGTGCAAGCAATGTGCTCTTAAACGAGTTTGCTATCCTTTTAGAGAGTCAGCGCAGCAAGATAGAAAATCGTTTTCACCCGGGATTTTTCAAAGCAGGGAACTGTAAATTCGTCTAATGCGAGTACCAGGAGATATAACTGGGTTTTTTTATTTTTCATAAACGTTTATTCAACTCACGAATAGTTCACCTTTTTATCTCAACATTTCAACTGTTTATCTGTTTTGAGTATGTGCTACAATAGTAATACTAATAGTGACCATTTCTACATTGGAAAATGTGTTAAGTGGTGTGTTATTTCGGGTATAAAATGATGACTGAAGAGGAGTTAGCTGTCGAAGTTCTTCACCGACCTATTTCACATTGCTCTCCTCCGAATCGATTTTGTTAATGTTCTATCAGCTTTTCACATCAGTTATACATCAAGAAGTGAATCAACGATCCATTTTAAGCTACAAGAGTGAATTTGATTGCTAAATGACTTGTGTTGAATAGACCTCTAGCCAGTCAGTCTCAAACTGGAATAGTTCAATTTTTAACCACTTTTAGAATTTCAAGTGCTGGTAGAATCACTCACATTTCCGTGGTTTGGCTAGATCAAAGATTTTTGGAAGAAAATGCGTAGCACGTGGACAGAAGGTTCTATATCTTTACAAACACTTTCGCGTGGGCAGTTTCGTAGAAAGTCTTCTTGGTGTTGCGGTGAGGGAGAAGAGTTCCAATTCCCCATAGGTGGAAAAGTTTCCTCACGACCTTGCTTAGGGAAGCCAACAAACGAACGGGGTAGATTAAGAGCTCTGTACCAGTTAACTCCAATCACACTGACTGGAATTTGTACTAAATGAATAAACCTCGTAGCTCAGCTGATAGAACGTGGGGCCGCAAAGCCGGTGGTCGCTGGGTCGAGTCCGGCCGCGGTCCAAATTTTCATTCCATATTCAACCGTCAGCTAGTATAAATACTAGTCCGCCAGTTTGCGTCTGTCTTAGAAAGTCAAATGAATAAACCCTACCAATTTCTTTCACCTGGAACTATTCAGGTGACTTGTAACTGTGAGACATTTGAAAACTCTGTGATTTTATTTTGTCTTGTTTTTCTCACAGAAGCCATACAAAATTCAGGGTCAATCTGAAGAGGAAGTTTACTCCTCAACATTATCCAATGTCGCCTTCACTAATCCACCTGATAAATTCTCTTCTAAACAGCGTACACATGAGAATTTGCTACAACCTTCAACTTCAAAAAAATCCCAAGTGGATGTTGATTTAGATCCAGTGAAAGAAGAATTAATCGAAAAAGTCACCAGAGTGAAAGTGAATCAGGTGATGAATGTTTCTGTTGATTGCCTAATTACTCTTTCTTTACTGACTATTAATTAGACTACAGTTGGTGGTTAGTAGGAATTGATTGAATTCTAGGTTGTATTCGTCATGGATGGAATATTATTTGGAGATTTATTGAAAGGCTGGAGTTACTGGGAAGCTGTTTCGTCCTGGTGTTTTTGGGAGTACTCAGCCTCTCCATCGCGGACCATGAGGTTTTAATTCGTTGGACAAAAACGGTGTAGATATGCACACAATCGAATAAAATAAGTAATAATCGCATATTAATGATGAGAATATTCACTCCATCTACAACGTTTTTGGAAATGGAGAGTTAACCTAGGTAAACAGGGACATTTGCAGTAAGACTCATAACACATCAATTTCCCAATATTGTGTACAGTTTTATTGGTTTACTTTTATGAAAAATAAGTTGGTTGGTCGATTCATTTGTAACACCTTTTTCCTCTTACAGGATACCAGTTAAATACGGTATCCTAGAGTTTTTATATTTAGTAGCTCGTGCATAAATTTTCATATACTTGCACCTGGTTTGGTCTGGGTAGCAATAGGTGGAGAGCTTTGAGTGAAGAGAATGGTGGTCATATGCTACAATAATTCCATTCAGATTTTAATATTAACAATCTGTTGAAGAGGAGGCATGTATGAAACATATGAAGTCATCGGCGTATTTTGTAAAATTGATGCTAGCTTAAGATGATGAGTCTCAACGAAAGGAAGAAAGAAAAGAAAACAGTTTGGGGAAAGAACGTCACCTTGAGGAATACTAGCCTCAGTAAGTAATGAGGTGGAGCGCTTCCCTCTGTGGATATTATACTTTTACTTTTCAGAGAAATAGTAATACATTCAGCTGACTATCCAGGACTCAGTATACTTTCCAACTAGCTTGTCCAGCAAGATACATCTTGGGACAATCAAATGCTGAAGTATGGTCTCATAATAAATGACTTCAATGATAAGTTCAGTTTTTCATACCCTCTCCTTTTCTCTTTACCCCTTACACACTTATGATTACATACTTAAACTTCGATTATCTGCACATCTCATTCGTTAGTATTACGCAACACCTATTGTTCCATGTTTTGATGTACGCTGACTGTTAAAATGTCTGCAGTACCATGCTGCTCCCATTATTCTTACTAACGCCGAGATAATTATAATTACTACTATTTGAACATATTTATTATCTGCAAGTTTCATGTTCTAGAAAGTGAGATTCTTTACCTATACCAGATTACAGCTTGAGGAGAACTAATTGAAAACAATCTTGTTCACTTAAGTGCTTGCTTCGAATTTCGTATTGTCTCAGTACTGAGGTAATTCAAGCAGTTTGTATAGCTTGGACAATCGAAGTAGTTTACTTAAAGCAACCATACAAATGTATTTTATAAGAAATAACAGTCAGTTTAGTAGTCTATGCAATAATAACCGATAGAATTCCAATGATGCGAACGCTGGTCACATGTACTAGTGTTCGTATTAGATGAATAGACAATAGAGATATTGATAAGCCTAATAACGAGACTTTTGATGGTGTTGTGTTCGCTGTGCTGGATCTTTTAATCGTGAAGCTTTTTTTGTCATTCTAGATGATTAAATTATCCAGCTCAGCGAACACAACATCATCAAAATCCTCCACCTGAGCTACAAATATTCCCTACCAGTGGGCCATGTTAATTTGTGACATCTGCTATCTGGGTGAGTCATTTTCATAAAACAAGTAACGCCATTCACTATTCTATTGTGTATGCCTGTATGAGATTCTGTCATAGTTAGTAAACACTATGCTCTCATATTGACTCATCAGTTTCCATTTTTCAAGATACAGTGAGTGATTGGTCGAGTGCAAAGTAGTCAGCAAGTTCTCTTCAGTTGGTAAATGTCATTTCCATTAATGTTCGTCTAGCAGTCTTTTGATTAGTAATTAAGTGTTTTCATCTGTTAAGTTCTTCGGAATAATCTCTGGTTACTCATTCATAATACATTATTCCTTACACATCTGAGATTGGCAACCATAGACTTCGTTTATTGGTTTGACTTCTGTAATGCTTTGTATAACTTGATGCCTCTTAGGACCGATATCACATATCAGGATTGGGGATGGATCAGTCGTTTCTGTGATTGGTATTCCAAAGTTTTCCTATAATTCGTTGATTTAGGGATATGACTCTCAACTAATACTTAATGGGTTTGAATGGCGCTCCACATATCGAGGTTTTTGTAGCCAGGTAGTATCATCAATATCCCTGAAACAATAGGTGTGGCTCACTACCTATTGAAGGAATATGCACAAGGTGGCTAGGCGTTTTTCTTCTTTTGACATTTGCAAACTATTTCAATCGAAACTAGCTGACAATCATTTTCAGGTGGTCCACCTAGCTTATCTCAAACTGTCTTAAAAATTATTCACATTCCGGTTCCACCACTTGTGACTAAATGTTCAGTGATACTCTCAAACTATTAGAATGAATTTTTCAACTACTTCAATACAATGTATATAGCTTGTCGATTTCCGTAGTTGATTGAACTGAATTGTCTAACCACTCCTGGCGGATACCTCGGTATTTCTGGGGTGTTCAAAAGTAGGACGAATTGTGCACTCTACATTCTGCTACTGACCTCAATCTATCATTAGTATCACCGTTGAAAACTAATCGATACTTTGTATATATATAAATGGTGTAACTATTATTCCATTTTAGAATTATTTATTTGATTTCATTTCCGAGGAAATTATTACCAACAGTAATAGGACAATAAGATTTATTCTCAATAATCTTAACTTGTCCACTTTCCATTACGCTTTTCTTTTAAACGGTATTAGACTTCAAATCAATCAAATGATCCTTCTGTCCATGAGCAGCAAAGTGGAAAGGTATTCTCTACACAAAGTGAATCACGGACTACGAGAAGTAAGCCTATGGGTAAGAGTAATTATTGAAATTTTTTCTCATTATGATTTTGTAGAGCTTAAATGAGGAAACGTTATTTGTTGACGAAAATGATCAGTAATTACACTAGTTTACGAGGAATCGAGCAGTTTTTATCATGAAAGAATCGAAAACACTGTATCATCGTTTTGTTCTTGTTTACTATCTAACCTTCATAAAATTGAAAGAATAAGTTTCAGATTTCACAGTCGGTATGCTACTACTAAGCTACTGGATTCAGAATAATCCTGATGCCAAATGGGTATACTACTACTACTATAAGAAACCTGAAGGTTCTACTTTTATTTTGACGCAAATAGACGCAGAATATCCTTGAGAAATTTTAAATCCTTACAGTAGTGTTTTCAACCGATGCTATCTTGAAATGGATATAATTTTAGAAATCATAATTTGTCACCTTCAGGGAAAGTTTCAGATTTAAGTTTGTTTGTTTGAAGTTCAGCTATAAACTCATACCACTGGCTCCAGAAGACTGCAAGGTAGAAGGTGAGTATACCATTTTCAAACTGCTGTTTCTATAAGCAAGGCAGCTTCAGGATGGCAGAGGCGATCATTCATAGTAAACACCTTACTGCTGCCACGAACCTATCCGGACAGCAATGTGACTTCTTCCTCAAACCCCTATCACTTTAGCGGTAACTACTTTTTTGTCCTGTCACTATCCGGCACCCCTTTCTAGTGTGGTCTAGAATCTTGAGGAAACAAGCAACTCATCAGCATAGCTCTTTGGGTCATTGTGGTATGCAAGCTCGATCATCAGGTCTAGATAGCAGCTATCGGTAGAGTACCATCTTGATTTAACGCGGAATCTTATTTTTTTTTATCTAAGTACAGTGCTGTCTGCAGAAATATCAGGTCAAATTTACAGGGAATTACAGCAGACGAATATGAACAACACTTGCTTTCAGTTCATGAGTTTAGGAGATATATAAGTCCATCTTATATCCCCAATCTCGTATTTGAAACATTCCAGCTACTGTACATATGTGATATGTGAAAGAGTAGGTCGTAGAAAGGTGGAGCCAGAAAAACTAACGGGAGTTGTGCCCTAGCAGTTTAAGGAGTTGACTTTCAACTAAGTGCGTCGCGGATTCGTACACCACTCTACCTACCAAGGCTTGATCAATATCTTCATCCAGTCCATTTTTGATGCCTTTCAAATATGCTGTTTCCTCAATAAGCACCGCATTTCGAGGTACATTATAACTTGATTTGCATAACAAACAACCAAGCCATCTCACCTGATGAGAATTCACAACTGTACCAAGTGACTTATCCTAATTATCTGATGTTGGATGTCTAAAGTCAACACAAGTTATCCTATAGTCCCATCATATATAAAAAATACTTCAAAGACAGTTATCATCGGATGATTGTAACCTCTTAATATCTACCCGCATTCAGTAAATGCCCCTCACAACCATAGTAAATGATGTAGATTAATTTTGTTCGTTACGAGGCACCAGTACTATAGATGAAGTAATTTAATAATTATCGATTTACCCGGTGGTCCCTGGTTCGAATCCAGCCGCGGCTCAGATTTTCATCTCACCTTCAGTCAATCACCACCCAGTATAAATTATTGATCTATTACCATGAAAACAATTTTTTAGCATATAAAAATGGCTTAGGTAACAAAGTTCACAGAAATGTGAGCAAATTGCTTAAATCTCACATATTTACTGATGTTGTAGCAAAAACCACAAGATTATCAAAGTTAGAGTTGAATATAAAAATAGTGAGTCGTCTTGTAACTGGGATGCTGTTATCGGTTAAAAGAGATAAATCAACAGATGAAAAGTAGGTCAAATTTTAAAGAATTTAGAGTATGTGACCATCACCTGACTTTCAGTCATCACCAGGTATCAATAATACAAGTCTATCGATCTGCAGCTATTTCAGACAGTCAAACTGACAATCAATATTATTATTTTTCCTCTCTAATTCACCTCAATCTGGATCGGGATGAGTCCTGGTTGGGCAGCACCAGTCTGAATACGATAAAGTGATAGTAACGCATGATGAATTCACATGACAGCCGGGCAAAACGCTTGATGATTGCAGTGAAATTAAGATACAACCAACAGCTGAATTGGTAGACAGCACCGTGCCAGTAACACGGAGGTCACTAGCTTGAATACTCCCGAGGCTCAGATTTATATTTCACTTAGTTTCAATACAAGTTTGCCAAAACATGGCTATTTCAGATGGTCAAACTGACTATCTGCGAAATATCAAACCAATAAATTAGCCAACTTGACTCTAGTTTTAAAAAAGTAGCTTCTTACTCAATCTCCGTTTGATCAGTCTTTTTGTTTAACTCCTATCATTAATATATTGTCCTTAAATAAATTATATTTTGTTTCAACTAGTTCCTACTCCACATCCGAGAACAAGACTAACTGAGATTCATGATACAAAAGAAGATACACTTAACTTGACTACAAAAAGTGGATTTAACGAAAGTGGACTTCAAGTTATTTTAAAGAAGCCAATTCACAATGACCTTGATACTCGAAATTCTAAACAAATTACTCCTACTACTACTCCCACTCCTACTGTTCAGTCGTCAATAGATGATAATCATGTGAAAATTGAACTACATGGTTTACAACTAACTAATCTATCAAAAATACCAAATAATCAGATACCAACTCAAGTATTTGTTGAATACTCATTTCTTGGCTATAAAGAACCATTTGAAACTGGTTCTTATCGACTAAATGAATGGATGGATGATAATAGAAAAATATTGAAAGCAAATTTTTACTACTCTAAAAGTAAGCTGAAAATTATGAAATTATGAATCATGTAAGACAATCTTAGTTGACTGATTAATGTCAGTAGAGAGATCGGGTGATTGATATGGGGTTGTTTGCTACTGGTTCGAATCCTGCTCTAACTTATCTTCTATTTCAACCCCAACCATTATTTCTGTTTCTTCAAACTAAGAGATGATAGTCCGTGTTTTATGCATTTTTATGAAGAGTTCGATAAAATTTACCAATTAAACCCTTCAGTCTGATCATTAAACTAAATGACCCTTGGTATAACAGCAAATAAACTGACATAACTTGGGTCAAATACTTGAACTCTTAACTGTTCTGACGATCATTTGGTGTTCTCCAAACTGTGACGTCTAAACTTAGACATTTCACCATCAGACTAGGCAACTTCATCAGTAATTAATTCACATAGAAGGAGGCATTTTTAAGTTATTTGAACGTCTATAAAGAATATTCGCCGACCTTGAACGTTATTACTTTGTGAATGGAAGTGATCTATCATTTTTCTGATCAAAGATTCACCTTTTTAATTGTCATTGTTTTTTGACTAGTGGTGTGTTGACCTAATGTCTAACGATTGATTTGTTTATCTGATTTCCAGTTGGCTGATCTCTTCTTAATAGCCAAAAAATTAGGTCAATGTCCACTTGTCTGTTGATTGCCGTTTGATTGGAGTACCATAAATGCTTCCATAAGGTCTCTTGAAGCTTTTCAACCTGCTTATTGTAGTATTTCCATGTTGCCCAAATCAGATTTGTGGTTGCCCTCATCTACACGTATCAATATGAATGAGGAAATGTCATATTGTTTGACTGAAATTTGATGCTTATAAATTCTTCTAGCCTGTTCGACGAGTGGATTCGCTAACATAATGATCTTTATGGACTGCAAATTATTTTGCAACTTTTATTGGTTTCATCTTCTTTTGGTTGTGCCAGAGCATTTGAATCGTACTGGAAATATGAGCGCCCAAGATTCAGTAGGATTAGAAAAAGTCATCACCGTATTGTTTTCCAGTCTGACTTTGAAGTGCTAAAGGCTTCAAAACTTAGTAACTCCGTATTGCATTATCCAGTTGTCGAAAAGCTTGCATTTATAAAAGAGAATGAAAAAGGAAGTCTGTGTACCTTTGACGTTGACATTTCACTTAGCCAATAAGGCTAAAGAATAACCTACTTAATTTCAGCTCTTCACCTTGCATGTATCGATTTAACTGTTCCTGTGGAACTAATTACATAGGGCGTATGATTAGGCAGGTGCATCTCCGAATACGAGAGCATTCACCATCTTTGAAAAGGACGAAGTGAAGGTGGTGAAAACTTCGGTCCTAGCGCACCTAGTAGACACAGAGCACCATATAGATGCCAATAAAGCTTTCATTGTCATTCATCGTATACCGGAAACAATACCACACGTAGCTCGCCAACGCCTTCTCAACCTAGCGGAAGTTGTCTCAATAAGATTGATCATGTCTGAACTGTGCATTCAGAAAGAACATGTTCAAGTGTTACTTCTCCCTTGACTTTCAGTAAACTAGAGGCCATTATCTTTTTGTTCACCATCATATCATTTATCTCTATATGTATCATCCTTATACTGAAAGATCAAGAAGGAAAAATCGATTTCCTTAAAATCCTTAGTTCTCACTCTTTTTTCAAAATGTAATTGCCCTTAACTTGGCTTGATTTCACGCTGTACATAAAGCAGTTTACAAAGTTTATGTTCACGTCAAAAATTAAAGTTTATGATTTGGCGTTTTAAAGAATTAAGCACGAATCTATTCAGAGAAGACCATCGTCTCACAGTAGATAAGAAATCGTTGAAGACACAGGTTTGGAATCTATCAGGTGATAAGTATATTTGACAAAATTGATACTAGCTGAAGATGATAAGTCATTAAGAGAGAAAGAGAAGATAGTGGAGGAAAGAACATTGCATTGAGGAACGCTAGCCTCAGTAAGAAATGAAGTGGAGTACTTCCCTCTGTGGACAGAATACTGTTTCCTTTCAGAGAAATATAAATGCATTGAGCTGATTATCCAGGAATCCGTGTGTGTCTCAGCTGGCTTGTCGAGCAAAAAATGTTTTGGGATACAACCAAACGGTGACGTGTAGTCTAAAATGGCACACCTGACATACTTGGCATTTTTATCAAGATAATAAGCAATGTTGGGATATATATATTGACGAACATGCCCAGCCTTGATTTCATTCACTTCATAGTTTTGAGCAATTTTCTATTCAGTAGTTAGGAATGAATAGTTCATGCTGAATGATATTCAAGTGGTATAACCATTTTGACTCAAGTGAATTGTTCTGGGTACTTATCACTGACGAACTACGCTCAAGATGAGAAAGAGATCGAAATATTCGTTCAGTGTGTAGACCACTATGATCTAATCAGAGGAATGCACAGGTTAGTGTGAATTGTATGCATTGATTGGTCACTTGAAAACAACCAATTTTATATTGTCTAGTCCTGAGTGCTACCTGAATTCTTTCGATCATTTGCAATGTGCTCACCAAGCTGGATGACTCATTATCTGGGTGTACTGTGATGAGGATTAGTTGGTTGGAGGCAATTGGAAGCTAAGTGGTTACATCACTAACTGAAACCCTGGCTGATCCAGATTCGAATCCCAGCAAGGATATCAGTTTCCTCGAGCTTCCCGATACCCCTTGCTGACAAGTGCCAAGAAGCGTGAAACCTAGGTGGTGCAGGGTTTCCTGTTGATTGCCTCCAGTCAGTTAGTTACATGCACTCAGATATTAGGCAATGACCCAAATCTGTTTTGTGAGAATTGCGGATACTACCTGGCCGTCGATATTCGGTAGGCGGAGCGGAGTTCGAATCTGTGACCCAGTGGTTGATAGTCATCTCCCTAAGCCACAGTCAATGACCTACAAATAACTAACAGTGTGAATAGCTTCTAACTAGTCTTGTTGTTAAGTTGATATGCATTTCCATTTAAAACGCTTTCTGCATATTCTATTTTGCTTCATTTTACATAGCGTTTTCGGTAGACTTTACAGATAATTATGAACAAAGACAATATTTAGCTAGTCTTTTGCTCCCTGAAGATCCAAACAATGGAAGAATCGTTTTTATAGTAGTTGCTGAACCGTCTACAATGCAGTCAGGAGAGTGTGAAGAACTCGGTTATGTTGTTATTAATATACGAAAGATGGTGAAAGACAATCTTCTATATGATCATGCATTTATTCCAAGTAAGCGATTTCTACAATTCACAGCACTGTGTTAGCGGTTTTCGGTATTAGTAAATACGAGAAATGGTATCGTCAAATCCGCACAGCTAGAATAAAAATTTTCGTCTAAAGGTTATCCTAGCAACTACTGAAATAATCAATCAGGTTTTGTTATCTTAGTTGAAGAGGCAGTTTTTTTAGAGAATAAAAACACCTAGCTGGTCATTTCAGTAATTGCTTGAGTGGGTTTCCGAGTCACCGTGACTATTAATGTTATTATCATCCGTATATTTTCATAACATTCATCAATGGCCCACCACTCCAAGTGACTGGTGTCATTATTACATCTATGTAGGTTTGATTGAGAACAAGATAATTCGTTTACATTTCTTGTTTTAATTTAAATAACACGGTATTTTTTCAAACATTGTAAAATTAGCGCACCCTTCTCCAACCATTTTACCGGAAAAAAAATTTTTCCAAGCGAGTTGTCTCTCTTCCTCAGAAGGCCTAACCAAACGCGTTCAGAAGTCATATTGGTCGTATAAATGTATTATTGAGTTATACCTGTGTGCTCAATATTCAGATGGTTGACTCTGAAGGCAAAACTGAAATATAACCAATTAAAATTCTTTCTTTTATGAAAAAAATGACGTTCTAAGCAAAACAACGAAACCTAATTGGTTATTTAGAGTCTCCTTTGGAACTACTCTAACAGTGATAATAACAGTGTTGACGAAATTAACCGTATTACCGATGATTATGATGAATGAGAAACAATTGGAGAATTTTGAATAGTAAAGTTGTTTATCAAGTTTTTTTTGGCCAAAAAAGAGATAAGAGATAATTAAACGTTCTTCGAACACAAAAATTAGGAGTATTAGGTCGAATTTTTGTAGCTTCCGTTATACGTGAAAGACAGATTCCAACACCATTCATCACAGATCGATATCAGTGGGGAACCTATGAGAAAACCACCTGATTGCCTTCAAAATTCAGTTCTACTTATTAGTTTGCTTCTAGATGAATTCATCAATGTTATACTACTTCAGTCATCACCTATGGAGCTAACTAAATAGGCAATGAAGACGAATACCCACTAATAGATAATAGTTTGCGCATTATATGACAAACTATTTGTGACTAAAGGTATTGACTACTGGGTTTCTACACAGTAACTTATTGATAATATTGCAAATTAGATTCTCGAATATTTAGAGTCCGATCACATACATATAGTTTTGTATGTGTATACCACTGCTTCTACTGAAGAGTACCGTACTAGAAGGAAAAAGATGTAAGATGGGAGTTAAACGTAACTCAGAAAAAAATGATAGGGGAACACCGGGTGTGAATCGGTGTTAAAATTCAGTATTTAAAAACTGTGACTAGAAGATTACCTTGGTATTCATGTTACGTATTCAACCTTATAACTTCAAGTTAGTATCCTGTTACTCCATTTACATTAGAGATTGCTACCATATCTACACGATGTACGAACTCAATGGGGAAAGAAAAGTTACACTTTCAACGGAGTGGCTAAATAACCTTGTTCCAACCATAATTACTCACGACTTTGATGGCAGCTTAGTGTTCTGTGGGCTTTGATATCTTGTCGTGGAGGTTTTATCACTAGTCATAGTGGTGAATTCCTTATGAAGTTAGTGCTCAAGATGTCGCCAAGTCTGATGGTGCAACGTTCACGACAAAATATCAATGCTTAAGGAACACGAAACCACCGTCATCCTCATCAAAGCTATAAATCTTTTCCATCATTTGCACTTAAATTTGATCTCTGTCCTAATAAGCTACTCCTTTTATCTAAGATAAGAAGAATATTGACAGCTTTTTAAAAGAACAGTTCATTATTTTTACTTTTCTACACTTGATAAATGCGAATGAAAAAAGTACAAAGTGGGATAACTTTCGGATTCTAAACGAAACTACTCAAACTGGTAAATAAGTAGTATAACTTAAAAAATAAATATAAATTCTTAACAGTAAGACGACAAAAGTTGACAACTGAAAAAAATCCTACCTCAGTTCAGCTGGAATAGTTATCTTCAAGGGAAATTTTTGTATGCGCATTTGACATGATCGGTGAAAATATAATCATCATTTTAACGATATGAAATAGCCGCCATTTGGCAAAGTTGTATTACTGAAACTGCGACCTACAGGTTACGAGCATGGTGCTTTATGTCATGAGATACGAGACCTAACTGCTGACCACATCTTAATTTCACTTTGATCACTGAGGGTTGTGCCCTACTGTGAATTCGTCACGCGTTACTATTGCTTGATGGCGCTGCCTAGCCAGGACTTCTCATCCCAGTTCGAAACAGGCTGAATAGTACGAGAATGACGATCCACCACAATCTCAGATGGTCAAACTGATAATCAATATGATTTCCTCAGATACAAAACCACCGCAATAACTGAACTGTTGAAAGTGTCTCAAACATGGAAGATTGTCAGCTTGATATTCATCGTGGACTGACATCAGTTGGAGAACTATTGGAAACGTGGAAGCACTAGACAGCTCTTTTGTCCCAACATGAAACCCCTTGCCAGAGCACACCCATGACCTCATTAGGGACCTTCAGGTTCTGCGGCCAGCATGTTACCATTGAGTCACTGGGTCGGAATCCAATGGTCCGTATTTCATATTTCGGTCAGTTCATGATATAGCACTACCTTCGTTCAATATCGTCATTAAGTAACTGTCCTCATGTTCGACTTGATTGGCACCACGGCCACGATTTCTAATTGAAATTTCAGGAATCACCTCTCGAAGCTAGTCACCGATGAGAACTAAATTAAAATTGTATGTAATAACTTAAAATTACAAAAATGTTTTATTTATTTATTACAAATACCATTCAACTTATCAATAATACAACCTACCTATGATTGTTTATTTAAACTGATTTAGTCACCTCTGCGAGAGTTGTTGGCGGAGAAACGGAAAATATACAAGAAATCGGGAAACTTTGTGTATCACTTCATTGTCTACCGGCCCTACGAGCAATTATCGCAGAAATGCCTGATATTCAATTAGCCATTTAGTAATAATCATGTTGCTGCTGTATGATAAAATGTGTATTTGATCTAAATTAAATTCTGTACAACCATTCATTTGGCTTTGTTTTCAACCAATTTCCACAAAAGTATTTATATATGCAGCTAAAGTTGTTTTTCGAGTTCTTCCTACTGCAGTGTCTGTAACCTTTGAGTTTTCTTTTTAAATCAAATAACTTCCTTGTTCCCTGTCTGTGTATTAGTCAGTAGAGAGTGCAACACAATAAAGCAACAAGGGATTACAAGTATGAGACAACACCTGATACTCTTTGGGGAAGAGGTGGCTCTCTTACCCCAGAGTCCTAGTCGATAACGCTTTGGCATTGTAAGTGATGGATACTGAGTTTAAGTTTCAGTGAAAACAGAATCTATCACTGGGGTGCAGGTATATCCAGCTGATGAGTCCCAAATAGAACGAGACGCGTCTAGCTGTATTCCGCTCCTGGCCGCCAACCAGATTACAACAGAAAAAAAGCTTTCAGCTGGAATTTATCATGTCAGCATTCATACGTGCTCAGAAACTTATCTGGCAATTGTTCTTAAACTCTGTAGTCATTTTGGCTCTCGTTTAGTCAAATGAATACAGTAAATAAAACTGGGATTACTTTATAGCTACAAAAATGTACCTCATATATAACTCGATTCAGCTTCACATGCAAGTTTAACGGAAATTTGAGTTCATCAGTCTGAACTAAAACATAATGAATATTCGAGAAGTATCGAGGCATCCGAAAAAAGGCCTATCTCTCAACACAGGTCGATCATCATTTTGACTATTTGAGATACTGGGTGATGATTGAAGGTGGAATGAAAATTTGGACCGCGGCCTGATTCGAACCAGAGACCGGGTTACCGGCCCGGTGACCTACCAACTGAGCTGAGGCCCGGGCCGGTCCAAATTTCCATTTCACCTCCGATCAATACCAAGTATAAATAAGTCGATCAGTTTGATCCGGAATAGTGACGCAAAACTACAAGTATTAATAAAATAAAAACTAATACCCGTTGTCCAAAAGGTGACTGTCATACCTCTGTAACCTAGTGAATAACGTTCCAGCGTTTGTGGCAATAGGCATTGGACCCTATATTCTGTGGGAACAACATCACTCACTGGGTGTAGGTACGTCCAGCTGAAGAGTTCTGAATAGGCCGAAGCGCGTGCCCTAGATTTCACTACTAGGCACTAGATAGACTACTACAACCAATCACCATCAACGGGAGAAATCTAAAGAAAGTTATCTCTTTCACCTACCTAGGGATCACCGTTTCAACTACAGGCGGCGGCACAGACAAGGACGTCAAAACCAGGATCGGAAAAGCAAGACAGGCGTTCATTAGCTTGAAATCAGTGTGGAGATCTACTGCACTCAGTATAAACAACAAGATCCGGATTTTCAACACCAATGTCATTCAAGTCAGTGCTTCTATATAGTTCAGAAACTTGGCGAGTTACGAAAGGGATTTCCAACAAACTACAGACATTCATCAGCAACTGTTGCCTAGCCCATTCGATACTCAAGACCAGATGTTTAGAAAAAATCAGCAGCAAGGAACCCATCAAGAACCTACCACCCAAGAAATATGCAGAAGAAGAAAGTGGAGATTGATTGGGCATACACTGAGAAGACCATTTAAGGACATCACCTGCAAGCTGAGGCCCTCGAGTGGACCCCAAATGGGAAATGACGAGTTAGACATCTGAGTCAAGAGTGACATGTGGATGGTGTGAGAAAGAAGTGAAAGCTTCTTGGCAGTCGTGGAGCCAGGTTAAAAAGACTGCAGAGAAGAGAGTGAAATTGTGACGTGCTACTGAAGACCTATGTTCCACTAGGAACTCCAGGGACAAATATTAAAAATAATAATAATCCTTCTCCACTATATAGATAAGTTTTAACATAATCCTAGCGTGTTTAGGAAATGGAAAACAAGATTTTTCTGAACGTTTCGCTGTGTATGCCATAGCTTCAGTAGAATATTTGGATTTTTATTCAACATCAAAATATATACTATCAAATGGTACATGTAGGAACCCTTGTCTTTATATCATTGGTTAGCTGTTCTGTTGTTCAGACTGATTGTTTCTAATTAGTCAGCGTGAATTCATACAGTCATTTGTCACCAAAAACAACTCAGTAATCAAAGTACGTGTTTACGTATGTGTGTAAACAACTAACCGATTACATAAAGACAAATTCCTACACGCATCATTTCATGTTGAATAAAAATCCGAATATTCTGCTTAAGAAGCTGTGGCATACACAGAGAAACGTACAGAAAGATCTTGTTTTCGATTTTGTAAACACGCTGGGATTACATTAAAAACTTACCTATATAATGAATAAACGTGACTCGACGCTCAACTTCCTTCAGAACATTCGTAACAGCTATGGGCTAGATATTTATAATTTGTATCCTTCATTTATCACTCTTATTGTTATGATAATCACCTTCACTTTGATTAGTTTCCGGTGTTATTTCACTTAATCGTTTTAATCTTTTCAGAAAACACTGATTTCATCTTGACCAACTTGTCTATTCCTATTACATAATATTTAGTTGACTTACCACTTTCATCAGTTTTTTCATTCCTTTCTCAGTTATATACCTTCTATCAACCATTCCATATATTGAGCAATCTACTTTGTTATCACTCATACTTTAACTGGTATCATAATCACGAATACCCATGTCATCATCTGTTTCATTATTATTGTCATCATCATGGTGGTGTTCAGTTTTCCTCAGGGGATACAATTTTTCAAATATCATATATATACAAATGTACAGCTTGAAAATAAATTCGTTGGAACGAGTCTCTTCGCTGTATATCTTGTTCTTGATGTTACAATTGGAATTATTAAAATATAGCTTTGTTCAACTATTCTGAGAGGTATTCTTGGGCATGAAGAATCAAATCCTCAGAGCAGTGGCTGATATAACTTGCTTTATAAGACCAGTTGAATTGATAAACAATCTTCTCAGACTCTTTAATTTTTGTCCCTATACATTTGTACAATGTAGGTTATTGTTCTTATTAGGTTATCTTTGTTTATTTGGTTCTTCATTCATTCACACCCACACACAGAGAAAAACCCTTCTCCACTATACTTAACTTCACCTGTACTCGCATCTATTTGTGTGATGTCCATCAACAAAGCGAATCGAATGCAACTTAAGCTTGAAATATTAAACAATCAACACTATACAACTTGTTGTCATTCATAACCATTTACTCTCCGCAATAATTGACTTTGACCATGCCATGTTATGTGGCCCAACTGAAATCTGCTGTCGTGATGTGGTAGTTCAACTTGCATATCACAATAACCCAACGAGCTTAGCTAGCTAAAACGATAGTTCTTTGAGGAGCTAACATGCCAGGAAGCTTTTGAATATTGGCAAGAACTAAAGCAGTTACCATCACAGTGTGAATAGTTTGTGATACGGTGGGTATCCTAGAATGGACTGTTAGCTGGACGGAATGTGACAGTGCCTATGTGTGTCCGGTGAATGATCAGCAGTTCATGCTAATGCTGGATTCATTTGCCGAAAAGGTAGTCGGTGGTGGGAGTAGAAAGGGTCAACCCCAAATATACCACATGCGTGTCATCTGGGCTCTTTAACTACACAAAAGTGATCTATTTTCTTCTCCTCTTACGGTAGAGAATTCCACGGTGTGAATAACTAGGAAGTATAAAACCACCTACATCACTGCAGCAGCCTACAGTGTTACATAAGAGATAACCATCTATATAATTATTTGTAATTGAATTCCAGTAGTATTTCACCCTAACATTGCCTTCCATGTAAGTCTTTTGTAAAAGAGAAGTTCCAGACTTTCATATGTTCACGATTGCCTATCATATAAAATCTCAATATTTTCACACACATTCTTTGATCATAACTAATCTGAAAGTATAACTGTAGACATAACCTGAAGATGTTATCGAAAAAAGAGTATTCTTCGTTCAATAAACTGTCTTGTTATCGGATGAAGGCTATCCACAAGAGTTGATCGATAGCTAAATAGAAGGCTAAACGAAGAAAATCTTCTATTGTATAGCCAAGAAGAAGCAGAAGTCTATCTTTGTAAACCTTTTCCTCAAAAATGATAAAATTTTCATCAGATCTAATCACACATAGAATGTTGTATTAGAAATTAACTCTGCAGCAGCTGTTAGCCTATAACATAAGCTTCTGAAGGACACTTATCCCCAAGTATTTCCTCGTACTTGCACTGTGGCACTGGTACAGGCACTCAATTTCCAATCAGTGACTCACGCACACGTTCGATCTCTGCTCCATCTATTGAGGTCCGAGCAGTATCATTAGTCTTCACACAACAGATGTAGCTCATCACCTGCATGATTGCTGGGTTCATTCCACTCAGATTACTCTCAAGTGAGTACTAAAAGGTAGGAGAAAGGATTTCTTGTTATCTGCTCTTGCGTTTCGCCAAAGTTGTAGCGATTAGAAGACGCAAACCTGAACTAGTCTTTGGAAAAAAGGCATAACTACCAATCTTGCATTAGTGTAACAAATGTATGCGAAAATTTTAGTAGCACCCACCTTCCTTATTCACCAATTCCACCTATCTAACACTGACTAAGCATGGATATTGGGTAGCATTGGAATCTGAAACGTGTGTTCCATCTAATTTTGGACTGGTCAATTGCATCTAACTGCATTCCAGTACGTGAGACTCGAACCCAGAACCTATCGCTCCAAACATCGGAGCGTTACCATAGTCACCCCTAGTGCGACAGATACAGTTTGATATTAGAACTTATTTCCCGTTTTTGATTGACTGATTTGAGCGGAATTGACCGGTCTTTATTGGCAAGTAAGCTGTTGTAAGGATACCTTAGTTTCGATAACAGAGGTTAATAGAAAAAGTCGGTCATAAATAGCACACTACCCCCCTATCCTGCGACATACCAGTGCATGCGGTATTGGTTTATAGACGGCCTCGCAAGAAACAAACAAAAATCTCAAACTTCTAACAAGACCAAATATGACCAACCTCAAATCGATGTCCATTGGGCCATGTAGTTACACAATAGCTCCTTTTTCAAGTACCTCAAGAAGAAATAACCTTCTGCAATGTGAGCAGCTTGGGAGTGTCAACCACCTTCACAACTGTCAACGCTCAAGATCATTACCAGTCTTCCACATCTCTATCTTTTAACCTTTCAACAAGTCTCAATCAATATTACTACGCCATCTTCAAGTTTTTGCAGCTCTTGGTACCAATTCAAATGAACGGAATAGCATCCCTGGTCTCCTGAAACTCCACTACAAACTACATGTTAGAGCTTTCAATGTCCGGAATCATCGTCAAATCGGTCGACAGCCTCGAAATAGCCAAAACTCAAGCATCTTGGGCAGTGCATGTTTCCGACACACAAATACATGACGTAAGTGCGGTTAGTCACTTAAACTTAACCGGCTAATATGGTGAATTTGCTAAATTCACAACTCAAGTTTCTGGAGATTTGATGGTAAGTTCTCGTGGTGTAGGTGTATAACACTAAGTGCTAAGGCAGAAAATGCACTACTCGATTGGATCCCAGTTGACAGTCAACTATGCGCTGTTCAACTGAAGGGTGCAATGAAAACTACAAAGAAAAGCGAAAATCACCGTTGTGTCTACTTACTGACAGCAGCGTGGATGAGGTGAAGGATGATTCCCACCGAAAACTTTCTAGCGTCTAACTGAGAGTCAAACGTTCAGACGTGGTTGTTGTTGCAAGTGATTTCAAGGCAAAATTGTTTAGACTAGGTCAGGTTGAAAGGCGGTTAAGTGGCACTTTCGCAATCCCAGTTGAGCGAATAAATAACGGCATTTGGCTCATTTGCTCAGACAACCACCTACTTCTGACTAGCACGAACCTTGGGCATAAAGAGAGACAGTAACTAATGTGGCGTCCACCGACTTCAACTCAGCGGTGGACGCAGACAGACCATATTGCTGTCAGTCATTCCTGAAGAGGGTCGGTGGGGAATTGCCGCTCTTTCTGGAACACATATGTGGACAGCGAACACGTGCATTTTTGCACCTAAATAGAAGTCGAAGAAACTGTAACAAGACCATTGCTAGTGCATCTATACGACAAGAATACTAAGGATGCTTTCAACGAGAAACTGATTACTTATTTGTCGGAACAGAGCAACATCATTCATTCAGAAGAAAGCTGATGCCATCTCCAGTCTACTGTAAAAAAGTGTTGAAAGTAGCAAACGAACCTCAGAAAGTGGTTAGAAAGGATAAACGGATCTCAGTTGCTTCTTCTGAATTACTGGGATGCACATGATCGCATTCCTGCAGGGTACGAGCACAACTAGGATCAAATATTGATTGATAAAAAGTCCACGTAATGACCAGGAACAATGGTAGGCGGCAGTGATGACTAAAGAAATGGAAAGGGTAGCAGTAACAGGTAATAGTAGACAGTTATTTAAACTCGTCAAAGAAACTGAGGCTGAAAGGTCAATGTTTAGTGAGACTTCTATGATTACTTTATTGGACAGTTTAAGATCTTGACAACTAGCAAACAAATCATCATAAATAGGTAAAAATGTAAAACAAAGAATAATAAGAAAGAGTGAAAGTAGTATGTACAATAATAGATAAGTGTCATAAATGTGATGATAGGATATAACTAATAATCATCATCATCATCTGATTCTACTTCACTGTCTGATAATTTCGATGATAATGAATCACTGGATGAACTCTTTTCATCGGGATAATCATTTCGCCAATTGGATTCACTGTTCGAATCATCTTCATCATCATCATTATCATACACCACCTCATCATAATCATCACAGATGTAGTTATTCATATTTTTTATAAATGGATTATCGTTTGACACATCGTTTTCTGTACACCATATTGTTGATTCTGAAGGATAATATGAATTGGATATCATTTTATAGATATCATAAACAAAGTCAGCTTCACTGTTCTCAACATCCTTGTTATTACCGCAGTTCAATGGAGTTGTGACAGTAGATTCTGGGGTTAATTCAATAACTTTAAAGACTTTTGGAGGACGAGGACCATTTGGCTTTTCAGGTGAATCACAACTGAGATGACTAAACTGGTTAAAAAGGTTAGTAGAAGCAGGACGTTTTAAATTGTTAACTTTCACCTAGATAGGAGAAAAACAAAGGAGAAACTTACAAAGAAGTGTGTACATGAGGAATAAATATAGTGTTACAGGGAAATAAGAACTCTGAACATAGCTCGAATATGCACTACTTTTTTCTAGACAAACTAGTTTCAATAAGTGCTTTCATTATTGACTGGAACAGACTAGCAAACCACTGAACAATGGAAAACTTTCTTGTTCTGAATTAGTTATTCTTAGTATTGTGCACCCACAAATATGTATCCGTGCCTTCATATTACACAGAAAGCATATTTGATTTCTGTCAGTAAATAGGAATTCAATGATCAGCGTTGTCCAGCTTTAGTCAATCTGCTTCAAAGCGTTATCATAATCTAGTGTCATGAGCACGCGTGCTCACCTTGAAGTAACTCTACACAGTCGAAGACTTCATGAACTGCTGCTACGTTATGTTCTGGGCACTCTCAGCCTTCTTCCAAACCAAAGCTAATTCGGCTAATGTTGCATTTCGAGGTAGGTGATGACTAGACTTGTGCAAGCCAGTTCAGTCGATGATACCTTATCTTTTGAATTGCCTTCCCTGTCCAGTATCGTATGCTTAACTTTGACACAGCTAAAAAGGTAACTCCACCATAAACGAAAAGACCTGTGAATTTTTCATATCCTATATTATCGACGTTTCTATCTCATCCGTAACATAGGTCAAAGAGAAGTGTTGCACAGTATACTCGTTCTTCGATAGGTAGTTGGATGTCTGACCGGTGTTATAGGTGGCGAAAAGGCTCTTTACATCCAAGCTGAAATTTTGTCAGCAACTAGATTTTCGGGCTAACGTAACTACCCAAGCAAATAAACTGGTTAACCCATTCAAATCCTTCACTTCTCATTATTAAACTTTCAGTTAGTCTCTTTCACCTACCTAGGGATCACCGTTTCAACTACAGGCGGCGGCACAGACAAGGACGTCAAAACCAGGATCGGAAAAGCAAGACAGGCGTTCATTAGCTTGAAATCAGTGTGGAGATCTACTGCACTCAGTATAAACAACAAGATCCGGATTTTCAACACCAATGTCAAGTCAGTGCTGCTATACAGTTCGGAAACTTGGCACGTCACGAAAAGCACTTCCAACAAACTACAGACATTCATCAATAGCTGCTTACGCTCGTTTCTGAAGATCAGATGGTCAGAAAAATAAGCAACAAGGAACTCTGGGAACGAACCAACCAACCATAACCTATCACCCAACAAATATGCAGAAGAAAGTAGAGATGGATTAGATTAGGCATACACTGAGAAGGCCGACTGGGGACATCACGCATCAGGCCAGGCCATCGAGTCGAATTTAAAGGTGAAACGACGAGTTGGGCGTCCGAGGGTGACATGGAGGAGATGACATGAGGAAGAAATGAAAGCTTGTGGGCAGTCTTGGCGCCAGGTTCAAAAGACTGTAAAGAAGAGAGTGCGATGGAGACGTGCTACTGAAACCCTATGTCCCACTAGGAACCCAAGGGAAGAATAATAATAATAGTCCAGACCAGTTCTGAAGCATTGTCTTATATATACCAAACATACTCATATATCTGTTCAAAGTGTCCAGAAGACTGAGTATTTTGTTAACATCACCGAAAGAAAATATGTTGTGTGTATTCTAAATCAACTAGATGCTCTCCTTGAAGTATGTCAACTCCTGAAAAGTTGGAGGTAACTAGAACTGTGTCCGTTAGCACGTTTATAGCGAAGTTGTACAGGAACGGTAATAGGAAGCATCCTTGATAAGGACCACCACTTGTTGTTATTCACGACGATAGCTTTTCAAAATTTCTTACACAGCTGGATGAGTTCGAGCAGCTGACTTTCGACAGACAGCAGAGATGTAGCTCACTGGTCTACTCGCTTGATTTACAACCAATGGACTGCAGGTTCGAACCCAATTCCACCTACTGAGGTTTGTTCATTAAAGGTGGAGGACACGAGGAGACTTCAAGTATTTGACCACCGTCCCCTTCTTATCATAGGTCGTGTGTCATGGAACCACCAAGTCAGTAACCCATACGTCAGATGTAGTTTTAAGCAACAGACGTAAGTCAGTCAACAAGGTTGCGAACCATCATCAACTCAGACATGTGTTACACTTGTCTATTCACTACCTGCCTCGCTATAAAGTGTTAGTTGAAATAGATTCAAGGCTGAGAAAAGTTACAGGCGGCCAGATTAAAAAATGACACCAGTGAATGAAGTCTCTGACTGTCGGCCTGAGCTGTGTTGGGCAATACAGACTTTCCGGTTGAGGTCCAAAGGATAATTGAAGTCAGTGACTGAAGCTCCTAGGTGATATGACTTGGAATCGATCCCAGTGGAGCAGACATATCCATACCTTATGTTTATCTTGATGTCCATACCGAATTTCACTATTGTTTCATTCCTCCTTGTTTTTTAACAACTTCCTGACACTTATAACTACTTTCCTCACTTTTTAGCAATATGGTGTTTTGGTGTCTTCTACATTGATATGCTGATATGATGTTTGGTGACTTGGACCACTACGCAGTAACACCAAGTCATACATTGGGGCTGAGTGACTGACCTATAAAGGATCGGGAAAATGTGCATGATTTTATGCGACGAAAACAGATTTCTGAAATCCCAAAACCAAAAGTATACAACTAAAGATATCAAGCATTCCAAGAAAACTAGGAGTCTATAATTACCTCCGACACGTATGATAATCTCAAATCATCCGGTTAAACCATACCCTATCCGTATGGGTTACCAAACGTACATAAACGTGATTTTTTTTGCCGTCTAATATTCGATAAGCCTAACTCACCCTGCTATCATTTTATCACTATTAGAACACAAACATGGTACAGTAAGGGCACCAAGAAATTAGCCACACAATATAATATAAAAACACTATGAAGACATAAAGCGAAGGGAAGCAGGTAGAAAGAAAAATACAATGAGAATAGAATGATTAGAGAGGCAGTCTGGTAAGATACATTGAAAACAAAACATTCATTAATTTTCAGCAGCAAATAGAAAGAAGCTACAGCATGATCCCCACTGATTTCGATTCTGAGGCAGGCCCATCGTCGAACTTCGGAGCAACACTCATCGTGGTCGAGCAAAGGACAAATCAGAACAATAAAGAGCTCCATACTTGAACACCTAGTTGACACGGGACATCAAGTAGATACTAGAAAAGCTTTCCCAATTATTCATCGCATTCCAATTAATTTACCACATGGATTACGCACTCGCTTACTTCACATAGTACAGGCAATTACAATCCACTTTTACCAACCTAACCTTTGTATTCAAAAGATGTTTCCCCGACCACTGTCATTACCGTGGTCTTCAACACGATGCAACTCTAGTATTACTTTGTATACCTCCTCCCTCTCTTGTCTATATCAATATTCATTTGTTTTCTTATTAATACGCAGTAATCTATTGTTTACGAGTGAACACTCATCCAAAATCACTCCAGTTACCTAACAATAACCTGCTTCATATTTCGAATTTTTAGTTACTCTATTGATTATTTACATCTTAGTTTCTAAAACATCACTTTCATGCCTTAAAATCTATAATTATTGTTTACCAACCCGACCCCCCCCCGCGACCACCACCACTTGATTGGTATTTTGATTGAATTGTAAAGTTATATATTAGAGTAGAGCCCAAAACGAAAGCCTAATTGAAAAGGAATATATTTCTTCGCCCAATCAGTTTTTTCGATAGATATCTGAATTGCGTGATCTCTTGAACTTCACCCAGAAAGTCATGATGCACCAACACATACTGACCTGATACAACTATCCTTCATCCTACGGCTCTACGTCATACACTGACTACCCTTCCACTTATTTCATCCGGTTCCAGGGCTAGCAAACAATGAACGTTATGGAAACCGTTGGAACGACATGCGTAACACATGTCTAAGCCAACGGACCAGGTGTTTCCAGATGACTTCACTTGTTGAATGACGATTTCCAGCATGCTGAAACACACGCTGTCGTATCTCAGAATTACTTATATGGTGTTGCCACCGGATACGAGCAATCCTATGGAGACGACGACGATCGAACACACAGAGTCGTCGCACATCCTCAGCGCAGAGAGGCCAGGTTTTATAGGCGTATGGTAGAACTGCTCGCACTGAAGCGTTGCAAACCCGACCTTTTACGTTCAGACTAACGTCACGACGGTGCCAACGGTGGCCAAGATTGGCGTATGCTACTCTGCTTTTCCGTTTGCAGTTAGAAATTTCACCACTCACATAGCTACCCAAATACGCAAACGTTTTGACTATTTCAAACGCCTCACTACCCAGAGTGAGCGCAGTCACGGACTACTACCCATCTTGCAAAAGTACTTTGGACTTCGAAGGTGCGAAGCACATACCATATTTACGGACACTAATTGCCAACTGATTAAATGCGATTTGAGTAGCTTGTGTTAAAGCACAGTAAGACGGTATCATGCGCATACTCGATGTTGAATAGCCATTCTCCAGGTTGTAGATCTACACCACCATCATGCACTTCCTTCCGAGCTGTCTCAAGAATGGCATCGATGACAAAGTCAAAGAGGAATGGAGAAATGGGGCAACTCTGCCTAACCCCACTGCTGGTTTGCAATAATAGAGACAAGTGGCTGTATACCCCCAGTCTACCTGAGGTTTTTTATACAGGGCTTTCACGACGTTATTACATTTCTGAGTCCCTCCCCCCTCTCTAACAGACAATTGTGAGTACAGCTCTCTCCAGTGGATCGAAGGTAGTCTTAAGCAACGATCGTTTGGCTGCAATACGTTTGGTAACGTTCATGCATCTGGCGGAGGGTAAACACATGGTCAATGAGTCCACAGCCTGAATAAAACCTGACCAGCTCCTCGTGAATCATTTTCTCACGCTTTTTACAAAGTCTGAGAATTTTGACAGTACCCAATATTTTCGATGCGACCGGTAACAGACTAATACCCCGATGATTGTCATATACATTACGTAGACCCTTTTTAAAGATGGTCGAAATGGTTTCATTCAAAAGTGATGGAACACTCAGTCTACCATACCCCCTTAAACAATCTAGCCAGTTGCTTGACTAGAGCCGTTCGTTTATCCTTAAAAAGAGGCGGAGGTACGCTGTCTACGCCGGGTGCCTTGTGGTGTTTCAGAACTTGGAGTTCCTTACAGACCTACGCTTTGTTAGGTGAGTCAGTGTTAACTGACAATGGAGCACGATGCACTGAAACTGAGGATATTGGAGCAGTGGGCCAGCTGAACTAGTCCACTTAGTGTTTCAGGCGTCTTTGAAGATTGTTTATCGGCATACTATCTACTTCATAGACGGTCTAACTGAAGCCAGCCTTTTTGCTGCCAGTGGCTCGGATAAGTTGAAACAGCCAAGGGTACTAGGCCAGACAGGCAAATTGACTGACCAGGTTGTGAACCTTAGTCAACTGAGATGACTAGGATATATACTGCGTATGCCAAACCTTCACCTATCTCGACGTGCCATGCTAAAGAAAGCCAGGTTAGGTTGGAAGAGAGTTCAGGATGCCGAGACCAACACGTGGCACCTATCAATGAAGTCCCTGACTGTTGGCCTAAGCCATGTAGGGAGCTGTAGACTGCCTGGTTAGGGTCCCAGAGATGAAAAGAATCAGTGGTTGAGGACTCTTGGTGACATGGTTGAAAATCGGTCACAATGGTACAGACGTATTCACCCTTTGACATCTAAAGCTTCAATGTTCGCTCTAACCCTTATCTTCGGGTTGTTTATTCTCTCACACTACTTCATCTATCTTGATATCAGTCTTTTTCTCTCTACCTGTTCTTTGTTTACTACTTTGAAGCGTAGCAACTTGAGCCAATGCATCTGTGTGCGAAGTCATACGTTGATTTTGTCAGTCAGTCAGTTAGTCAAGATACACAAACCTGTAAGTACAGTTTATCTAAGTTTTAAAACAAATACATACAATTTGCACAAAGGTATCAGATCTGTCCAACATAGTAACATATATGAGTCCTGTAGACCTAACAGAAATAGTGAGTTCCAAATCTTAGTTAACAGAATACACAAGGACTAGAAATCATACATTTCTTGAAAAGTGATATGGTAAACCAAATTATGTACAGAAAAGGTTAACGAACAAGTATAAGTCAGCAATCCTGTACATATTTGTGCACTCTTTTATATGTCATACCTAGCATTTGATACCATCAGGTGTTACTGAGGACTGAATAAAGTCCTCACCTAACGGTTGACAGTCGGCGATCTCGACTGACACGCTACAACCCAACAAGCCAGCCTACAATTGTCAGGACTTCCACTTATTCCTTCTTTACACTAGCTTATATGTGTGACACACAGAGAGGCAGATAGATAGACAATGTCAGCATAGCACCTGGTGTTAATATGTAACGGTCCAAGTTGCCACATCTCATATCAGTACAACAAGTGAGAATGCATTAAGATAAAGAAATAAGGAAGAAAGCAGTCAAAAGTAGCAAACAGTTATGAAAAAAGAGTAAGGAGGAATAGAATACTAGAATTCTGTACGACGACTAAAATGATGATAATGGGCGGATACATCTGCGCCATAATTGATACTGGGTGATGATTGAAGGTGAAGTGGAACTTTGGGCTGTGGTGGGATTCGAACCAATGACCACCAGATTCCCGGTCTCTTAGCTCAGTTGGTACAGCAGCGAGCCGGAAACCCGATGGTCGCTGGTTCGAAACCTGCTGCGGCCTAAATTACCATTTCACCTCCATTTATCATCCAGTACCGATCCTAGTCTGCCAGACCACGGTTATCTCAGATAGTCAGAATGCCACAGTGACAAAAAAATGTAAGCGAATGTTTGTTGACATTGTAATTAAAATTATTTGTCTACGCGTGATACACTAGTACAAATCTCCTTTACTGCTTTAGTTTTGTTATCTGAGTTTACCAATAAGCTCCAAAACTAATTTCGAAACGAACGAAACGGAATGCACTCAGCTACCTTGTGTACATTCGTGCAGTAGCCAATGAGCCACACTTATTGTGAAAGACCAAGTGATACTACCTGGCTGCCCAAACCTGGGTAGGTGGAGTGGGGCTCGAACTGGTGACCCAGTGGTTGGCAGTCATCTCCCTAAACCATTGAGCCACACCTTCACCAGTTCCAACGGAAATTTGATTCAACGACTGCATACAAACAGAATAACTTATGCAAATCTAAACCTCTTTATAACTATCTATACAAGTGTTTATTCCCAGTCCTGACTGACTTATAAACCACAGATTAATCGTTGGGGAAAAAACATAACTGTAATACTCGTTGTAACATATTAGGATATATAAGAACAAAATCATATTAATGCTCACCTGACACTTTGTTGAGTGATCATTCTCATCAACAACCGTAGCATCTGAAGTGTTACATATAATCTTACCTAATTTATCCGATGATTCACATACTTCATCAATTTTATCCACAGATGAACCCTTTGAAGTGGTTTGACTACCAATGTATTGGAATTTAATTGGTTGCAAATCACTTTTCGGACGTTTAATAAGATTTTGTGCTTCATAAATATTACTTGGACACTCGGAATATGAACGTTTAATCCGAAGGTAGATAGTCATGGTAAGTTAAATTCTGAAAAACAAAGAAGTCCAAAAACTAGTAACTCATTGTTTTACGTTGACAAATATTCTGCCAAACACTGGATCCATCTCCAAGGGTTATTTTTTTAGTCCAGAATTTTCAGTGACGATTAGAAAAAAACCGTCTCCATTTATAAAGTTTGTAAATAAATCCATCAATAGGTGGTGGGACAAAAACAAAAGCCCTCTCAGTAGCCACGTGCATTTCCATGCACTTGGCAATTAGCTACACTTATTGCTTAAGGACAAATGATATTAACCGGCCGCCCGAATTTCGGTAGATGGGATGGATTTCGAAGTCAACCACGAACAATAATGAATCATAGTCCCAAATGTAGCCGGTCACTTGGTCATCCTTATTTGTAATAAAACTGTTTCATCTGACCTCATGGTAAAACTAATAACACTAGTGATGGCAATTAAAATATGTTATCTCATAACGAATAGATTCCAAGAAATAACGTTTGCATCTCAATGACATTCACTTCCTTCTCCTATGATATGTTACAACTCGAACTGAAGATTTTTGATGCAATATTCTGAGTTGACTGATATTTTTTCAATGCAACCTTGCAAATGACCGAGAAGTACACAATGAAACGCCAGACTTGAAGTTGAGAGGAAGTAAAGTAAAAGGAAGCATATGAGGGAGAATTTAATTGATAAGTGTTAATCATCAAATGTTTTCAACATGCTTTGCAAATTACAGGTATTATCGCAGATGATAAACGTATCGTCTATATATCTCTTGTAGAATTCTAGCTTTCTAATAGTTTGGCCCAGAGTATGATTTTCGAGGCTTGCTAGGAAGAAATCAGGTAACATTGGATTTAGTGGGGATCCCATTGCGACATCATCTCATCGTTGAAAATGAGGTGGACATTTAGTGCGGACCTAAGCATGAGTCCTTTAATTGAGATGTAGGCATCCCATATTTAGACTGTCAGTCAATATAATCGCATATTAAGCATAGTGTTTAGTTGTGGGACAACTTTAAACAGAAAGCAAATATTTATGGATGTGCTCATAACAAGGAGACCGGATGGACCTCTGAATAGATTAGTCTACAGAAAAAAATGTGGGACGGGTAACTAACAAATTTCCATGGCTTTGTTCCTACAGTGGGGAAAAGAAATTTGGTTCGTTGTCTCTCATCGTCCTTTGAAAAAATCTGTACAGAAGATAGTATAGAGAATGAGCTAAAATTATTGAAACAAAGCCTTATGAAAAACAGATATTCACTAAGTTTTATAGAGTGTAACAAAAGATAGATCAAAAAAACATTTAGACATAACAACCGTGCTATGAAACATATTCCTTAATTTAGAATTTAAAGGTGATACTGTAGACGGAATACTTAAGGACTGTCTAACAAAGACAATAGGAAAAACGTTTTATGCCGCGTCTTTAAGAGTTCTCCGGTTTATCATGTTGCTAAAGAAATGTTACCTCGATTATCTATTTCCATGTGCATCTACATATTTACCTGTTCTTGTGGAACTAGGTACATGGGATGTTCGTCGAGAAACATTTCTCGTCGCATCCGTCAGTATATCCCAGTATGGCTGAGCAAAGGGGAACGTAGAGGAATTAAATTCATCGACCCTCCAATATGTAGTTGACTACAATCATGCAGCTTCCGAATCATCATTTGACAATATTTACAAGGTCAAGTCGAACTTATGGAAAAGTCAATCCAAACACCTACTTCAAACGGCAAAAACCTTGGAAATATGTAATCTTAGACCAGAACTATGTGTACAGGAACAGTTTGTACAGTTCTTTTCACTACCCTGAACCTACCTTACCATTTTGACCACATGATTCTTACATCTAGCTCTTCCTTATGTTTATTATATTTTACTCAATTTCAATCAATTTTATTTTATGATAACAATTTCACGCCTCTCAATTCCTGTCATAGCATTTGTTCCATCTTCACTCAACTACTTTTAGATGAAATCACTCTATATTTATTCACTCATTCACCTCATATCTTGTTTTTTTGACCTTTAGTCTCCTAAATCTTTCCAACTGATCTCATAATTCATGAAATATTATCCTTAATTATAATAATACACTTAACGATTTTACTTATAGTAAAAATAAAGCACACGAACAAATTTGTTATTATCTACCTCAAAATTTATAGGATTGTACGACCTTTGAAAATGAAATCGTCGCAGATAATATAAACTCAGCTGAGGGACATTCTTTTGATTTCACTCTACGAATCATTCGGGTTGAACTTTTTTTAACCCTCAGACTCCCAACCACTAATTATTATGGATTCGTTCCCTCAACTCCGCTTTGTAACGATGGTGATAGGGTTGGTTTCTTCATCTGTTTAACATGGGCTTTCAATGAATGGAACTAACAATGAGTGAACATGACGATTTTCGGACTCACATCGGAGTTTACAATCAAGAATGTGAAAGATTTCAACTGAAGACATTATCTGATGATTAATCCAAGTAGCTGATTCTTACCTACAATCTCTAGTCCCCGAAATTCTGTGATATTCACAGTCGGTTGCTGAAACGCTTAGACTAACACTGAATTCTGGCCTTACCAAATCCACTTTACCAAGTAATATATCCTACTTATCACCTATCCCTGGCACCACAGGATATTCAGAAGACTGCCTTCACCTTGTTGGCTTTGCAATAATTTTCACTGCGTCACGTTTTGCACATATGAACTAAACCGCTCCCGCTAGTACAACACTGTTGGACACAAATATAACTGCTGCGACTAACACCACCCACAAATGTCTGGTTCCTTTAGAAATTTTGGTCCCGGAACCATTTAAACCAAATCGGTAAATCAATGAGCATCCTAGCCACCTTTATAGGTGACACGTTGACAAAAGGGAAGCTCTTGACAGTACTAATCAATAACCATCTGACCAACCTGCAGCTGGACACTGAGGTTCTGGCGTGATACTGGTTCACCACCTCTACAGGAAGCAGTTAAGACGTAGAGTCCATCTGGCAGCATCCTTTCACTGTCCGTATGTCAGAATGTAATATCTTCAACGGTCATACAATTGACAGAATGTGTTACACTACTAGAGCAAATCTCAATTAATTGGGTTTGGATAAATTTGACCGTCCAGTCAATACCATCTGTAACCAGGTACAAACACCATCTCAAATTCAGTCTTTGGAGTTAATTGAAAAACTTGCATATATCTTTCAACCTGGTGTTGGTAAGTGCACAACATCTGCCGTCTTCCGTCTTTATTCTGGCTTCAAACCAGTTTTCTGTCGTAAATACCTGTGCTCTATGCTTCTGTTCCATAAGTCGACACCAAACTGCGACGTCTGGAGTCCTGATATCAGTATTCAACTCCACAATGGGAGCTCCAATAGTGGTAATAAAGAAGGTACACAGTTTACTTCACTCACATGCTGATTTTTCCTTTGGTCTCAAGTTAGCCCTTCAAACATATCACTATCCATTGCCGGCTCCAGAAGACCTATTTAGGATATTTAATGATAGAAAAGTGTGCACTGAATTGGATCTAGCAGATACATATTTGCAAGTGGAAATGGCTGATAACCACAGAAAATTAATAACCATCAAAACATGGCAGACTGTTCTAGTACAACCACCTCCTACATGGAATCAAGACAGCCCCAGCTACTTTTCAGGATTTGATGGATAATATGTAGTCAAGTTTCTTGGTGGCGCTGCGTACCTAGATGTTCCAATCGTTGCTAATTGCTAAAAGATACACGCCACCGCACTGAGTTTGTACTACAACGCACTCAACAAGCCAGATTTCGTCTACGTCCAGCGAAATGTCAGTTCATCCTTCAGTCAGTGAAATATCTTTCCGGTTCCCAGAGATGTTGCACTGCTTTGCTCATTTTCCGGTCCCACATCTAGTATTTAGCATTCTTGCCATCGACGTACATTGTGCGACCACCACTTAACCGATTGCTCGGTAAAGAAGTTCTTTTGGAGTGATCTAACGAGTGTACGCCTGTCTTCAATAAATTAGAACCACTGCTCAGTTCGAATTTACTGTTGACACGCTACAACTCCCAATTACCAATAGTAATGCTTTAGTATATGCATTCGGAGCTGTGATCCCCCATGTATTCACGGTTGGAAAAGAGAAAGAAATTATGCACGTCTCACGAACGCTCAATGAGGCGGAGAGACGTTACCAACCGATTGAGGAAATCTTGGACTTCGTTTTCACGGTACGGAGGTTTCTGAAACTCGTGTAGGAACGCAAATGTACCTTGATGATTGATCATAAGCCACTTCTCTCTATCTTCAATAGCGAATCAGGAAAATTTCAAATTTCAGTCAGACATTATGGCTTGTGAAATCTGGTCAATGCGCTTTAAGCATTCCCAGAGACCATCGACGTTATCAAACAGTCCATGCTCAATAATCCAATGTTACAGCAAGCCATCGACTTTGCCCTAAAGCGATGGCTGAATCCTAAGACCGAAAATGAATTGAAACAAGTGTTGCGCAGACGTGAAACACTGTAAGATTGCTAATTGCTGTATGATAATAGAGTGGTAATGCCAGTCTCCAAGACCGCTTATCCTTAGATAATTTTACACGTCACTCAAATAACAGCTAGAAGAAATTCATCGTACCAAGTTTTGTTTGCTGGCATAAAATGAATCAACAGATAGTTAATTTTGTTGATCGCTGTGCACAATATCAACAAGCAGCCAAAACACTCCAAATACCCTTACGGTATGATGATGGGCTGACATTCACCGCCAACCGACAGTGCCGAACAGATTGACCTGAAAAGAATAAGTTGTTGAATCCTATCGCCCAAGCCAAGGAAATTAAGTTATACTCCACCAAAGATGTGCGGGTTTCAACCATAATACCGTAAGAAAATACAATCTTTTACCCAAGTTACTACTGAGTAGTTTTCTGCCTCTATTCTTAAGCTTCCTAGAGGTAAAGCATAAGTTTCTGCTAATTTCGACGTTTTGACGTTAGAAACAGGATTCTCAATATCTAAGAGGGAGTATTAGAACTCAGGTTATGGTTGAGTATATTCGTGCACAACCAAGCACCAAATTATAACCCACGATGAGCTGCTGACTTCCGAATAAAAAAACCAAATAACTGCTATTTTAACACTGAGGATAATATGCCGAGGTAAAATTTACAAATACCCACATCTTCTGTGATAAGACCAAGACTCGACATTGACCCGTGTAGGGAGGCTTAGACTGGTTGGGATCCTCAAGATAATAGGAATCAATGGAGACATAACTCAAAATCAATTATAATAATGCAGATATATATTCACTCTCGTGCCTAAACTTTAAACATTTACAGTAACTTCCGTTTCAGAAATTCTTTTTCCCCTTATACGTTTTGTCAACTCAAACCACTCCATTTTCTAACTGCTTCTTAGTGGTAGGCTGATGTGAAGTGTAGAGATTTGAGTCGGTGCACGTGTTAGGTCCCGCGTTAAGGCTGACTTCTAGCCCTCTAGGATGGCCAGCTACATTAAGACCAAACCTGAGTGTGATTAGTTGTTACTAATGTTAAGGTTGATCCTACACCATAGACTACGGGCGCGTTTCACCCTCGTCAAACATAAAGAAAAGTTAAGATATCGAAAATAGTGAAAACAACTTGATTCACTTTGACCTTATTTTAGTTGATCAATATAACACGAAATAAATCCAATGTTAATAGCACAAGGCTACTTGAAGTAATATCTCAGAAAAGTATTATTTTGGGATTTCAATAATCTGTCTATGACAAATCGACCTACAGTCAAACCATGTCGTTGCAGAACTCCAACTATCTTTTAACGTTTAATAAGAGTTGAAAAGATACCTGGCTTTTGTAGGCTTACTGGAGACTTCTGAGCGAGAAAACTAACATGGTATTAATTAGGTCTTGTATCCAAGGCCTACTGCAGTAAGTTTATCTATGTCTACAAATCTCAATAACTAAACAGAGCAAACACGGAACAATCACTCAGTGTTGGCTAAACATAAACTACTTACGGTTACAAAATCTCCGTATTAACGCTGTGCGGTTGTTGGTTTAATACCCCTCAGCCAGCATTTACTTCGCGGGTACTTTGTAGATTTTGAGGAAACACATGAAAAAATCATTAAGGTGCACCTAGAGATGCACATATCCCCCCCCCAAATCTTCGAAACTACATAAGTTTTCACAGTTTCGGCAATACGCCTAATGTTTAGGAGAAAAGCACTTCAACTTAATCTACAAACCATATTTTGGAACATGTTTCATCTAAGAATATTCTTCGACACAGCATTCTCTTTCGAAGAGGATTATTTTGAATTCCTAAGGCCACCTAGAATCCATTTTAAACCGAAAATAATAGAAAGCTTAGGAAACTTCCTCTATGTTCGTAAGTGCGCCCGATGCCTTTTTAAGATTATACCAATAGTTTAAGACGTCCGATCAAACGTGATTCCCAATGGGGCTGCGGTAGTCAGTGAAAGTGCCCACTTTGGAACCCAATAGTCAGTGCTCGTGCTAGAAGTCTCAATACCCAGACGCTGTATGGGATAAGCAGTTTAACATTGCGTTTATTCAACCATAGTTTTTGAGCCTTCTTATAATGGTTACACTCACTATAACAAGTCGGCGTGTCGATCACAGAACTTGAATCAGACTCTTTTTATATCAGGAGTCAGACATGTTTAAATCTCGACGTATACGTCGAAATTTGTATACAAACACAATAAATATATCTTGAGTCTACGCAGAAAAGTTAAACCTTACAACCATAGTGAATTAATTGTGTTTTGCATACTTTGCATCTCTGATAGTAACTAGCCATTAAAAACGACTTTAAAGGTTTGGAACGACACCAACCTGCCAGGACTGCAACAGAAATGCTACCGTAGCGACCCATTCAAAACGTAGTTACCTACCAACAGTCCAATATCTTCGAATGTCCAGAAAACAAGATATTCGGTTACTATCATGTGTTAATCCTTGAAACTGGTAACTTCCGCGGAGATTCACCTAGTTCTTCAGTTTCTTCGCTGGAATACCTGCCACCACTTGCTCCGAACAACCTTAAACATCTAATATCCAAAATCCAACATTAATAGTGCGAGTAGAGGAAACTCTCAGGTTTTGAGCTCTCGCTTCTAGGTCCAATATCCAATATTCAATATTGATAGTGCGAGCGTAGAAAACTGATAGTTTTTGATCTCTCATGTCTATCTCTTAGGGCTTGGTTCGAGTTGTTCGGTTCACTCCTGCAGTGGACGAGGAAATCCCCTCTGCTTTATTGCTTTTAGCCTCAGTGAGGTGGATGTTTTGTAGGTTAGTAAGTTGTAATTTGTAGAGTGATTGGGGAGCTGCGGGTTGCTGGGAAGTTTAGGGAACTGCCGTAACTCCTGTCTGTGTAGGTACCTGAAAGAGAATAGTAAGGTGGTGGTAAAAGAATGGAGAAGAAAAAAGAAGGTAAGGAAAGAGAAAGGAAAAGAAAGAGAGGAAGAGGCGAAGAAAAGGAGGGTTGGAAAAGAGAAATGAAAGAGAGAGAAAGGTATGTGGGAATTGCCCGAATGGTCGCGTGGTTTAGTTCCTACAGAAGAATTAGTAGGTAATGTGGGTGAATTAAGGAGAGAGATAGTGAGTGGTAGGTAGGAGGGAGTTGGGGGCCAGTGAGGTTGGTGACTACCTGAGTACGTCCGTGGTAGTCCATGCGAGGTAACATAACTGTCTAATCGTCTCTTGAATGAGTCGACTGAGGGAGCTATAACGATGTGTCGCGGTAAGGTATTCCATAAAGCACATACTCTCAGGGAGAAAAATTTGGACCTGAGTATGGTGTTGGCTCTCTGGTGTGCTATCTTAATGAGGTTTCCTCGTGAAGATCGTTCAGTTGCAGGCAAAATTGATTTGTTTGCATGATCTGCCTGATGGGCGATCTCGTATGCCATAATGAGGTCACCCCTTTTCCTGCAATAACCCAAGGTAAATAGGTTTAGGTGTTCAAGTCTTTCAGGATACGTCTTTCTCCTTAGCCCCACAACTGATTTTGTTGCAGTTCTTTGTATTTTTTTAAAGGAGATTAGAGTCTATCTTGAGTGTTGGGGGAGCCACCGTATGGAAGGCCTCTAGATGCGGCCGCACGTAGGATTTGAAAATGGTGAGGAAGAGTTCGGGAGTGAGGGCGCCAAGCTGTCTACGCAGAAAGTGTAGAATGGCGTTCGCTCTGGTCTTGAGGCTTGGTTCTCTTTGTTCAGTTGTACTCCTCCGATGGTCACAGAAGTCTTTGCGTTTTCCTGCTTATAGCTTCGGAGGTAGTGTTTGTCTGTTTGAAAGTGTTTTATTTGCAAATTATAGCTTGATTTGTTTGGAGGAGTAACGGAGCTGCTGGTAAGATCAACCAACCGGTTGCAGTTCCTGTTGTTGAAGCCACCTGCAAGTAAGCGTAAAGCGTTATTTAGATAGCGATAGAAACAGGGTGAGTGGGGAATCAGAAAAGAGAAGTGGAAAGTACTTTTGAAGGATACATGTGACTGGTAATAAAATAGAGGAGTGGTGCGTCTTGCTGCAGATACTGGGGTTGGAGAATACAAGGGAAGCACAGGGATGGAGGGGCGTATCATCGGTTGCTACTAACAAATGTTCGTGGCAATCCATTTGCGCTCGTATACTCATCCAGTAGTCGTTTGAAAGAGTTGACTGACGTAGCTGTGGCCACTTTTTTCGGCAACGCATTCCATAAGGCACATACTCCATGGGAGAAGTTAGATCTCACTCTAGTCTTTGCCCTATGGGTGAGTATGCGAGTGGGGTTCCCACGGGATTGTCGGTTTTGGACCGATAATGTTGTCCTATTCGGGTGGTCCACTTGGTGAATGATCTTGTAGGCTGTTATCAGGTCACCTTGTTTTCTTCGATAGCTTAGTGTGAACGAGTTGAGTTGTCTGAGGCGCTGCGCGTATGTTTTGCCTGTCAGTCCGACAACCAAGTTTGTTTCTGTTCTTTGTACCTTCTCTAGAGAGTTTGCATCTCTCCTTAGTAGAGGAGGAGCTACCGTGTTGAAAACCCCTAGGTGTGGTCTAACATAGGTTTTGAATACCATGAGAAATAACTCTGGGGTTGACAATCCAAGTTACCTTCTTAGAAAGCGCATAATGGCGTTCGCCTTTGCTGCCATCCTCTTATAAATACCAGTAGTATCTAGTGTGTCACAAAATTTTAGCCCTAAGTCCTCTGTGGATACCTTGGTGATTGCAAGCTTGTTGAGGGTGTGGTTGGTTTTCACCACCTCTGGTGTGCGAAAATATACCATCTTGCACTCCTCCAAATTAAAGCTTAAACCGTTTGCAGCTGACCAGGACTCCAGCTGCAACAGGTGGTTTTGGAGCATCCTAGGATCTCCTTCGTCGCCTATCGTCCTCCGCATTTCGATGTCGTCGGCGAACAGAAGGATAGATGAGAAGATTTTAGTGGGGAGGTCGCTTATAAATAGTAAAAATAGGAATGGTCCAAGGATTGCTCCTTCAGAAGCTCCTATCCTTGCTTTCTTCCAGGTTGATCGAATCCTGTTTACTGTGGTGCAGAATTCTCTACCCTCTAAGTATGCTGTAAGTCATGCTGAGAGTGGTCCAGTGAAACCCACGTTTGCTAGTTTGGAGACCATAGTGCGGCGTGGGACGCTATCAAAAGCTTTGGCCAAGTCCAAGAAGATAACGTGAAATCGTTGTTTGTTGTATCATCCAGTTTTCCAGTCATCTCAAGCGGTCATCAAGTTTGCGGTACATGACCGCCCGGTTCTGAAGCTATGCTGGGTGGGATGGACTATGTTGTTTCTGTTAAGGTAGTCCCAAACAACATCTGCAACCAGGCTTTCCAGTAACTTGGAAAGCATGGGGGTGATGCTACTGGTCTGTAGTTACATAGGTTCTTTCGGTCTCCCTTCTTGAAGACTGGTGAGGGAATGGCGTGTTTCCATTCTTCGGGGAGACGACTTACTTCTAGCGAGTGCGTGAGAAACGGCAAGTAGTCAAAACCACACAGCATACCAGGAAGCCAAACTTCAAAATTCGTGTTGTAGACTAAGTGAACGGTGGCTCCTTGGGTTTTATTTCTGTGTTATTGGGATACGTTCTGGGTTTGGAATGGTCACAGTTATCTTCTCGGTTCCAAAACACCTGAATGGCCATATATCTAAGTGTGGACTTTCACCAGGAACCCCTGCTGGACACGAATTCAATTGTATAAGCTCTGCGAGCACTGATTGCAATGATGCGTGTCGGAAATGACGTACTATGGATGTAGAAAATGAATGGAACTAGATGAGATGCTCAGAGAACCTGTATTCTAAGTGGCTGACAATCGACCGCTATATTTTGGACACCCTCAGCGAATATATACTCCCCTATCACTGGGTGGGCGCATTGGTCAGGCCCGTCAGCATGCTGTAGAGAATTTCGAGAGTGACTTCGGACTCCGCTTATCCTCTCCTTTCTTGTAGACCGGGTTTAGGCATTTTGGAGGACATAGCAGGAGAATGTAGATCCAAAGGGCGAACGTTGTCTGCCGCAACTTGATGGTTTTCATGTCGACTAGACAACTCTATGAATCAACTTTCGTAAGAAGCGGAATTTGTGTCAGTTATTGACTCGTCTAAAAGTGGACTGTGCAACCATAGAGATCAACCTTCAAACTGTAAATCTGGGTCTAAATCCGAATTCAGAGAGTCCTACTCGCCGATAGCCTTTTGGAAAAACAGACACTCTACTGGAAGACTTCGACTCCGGCTGTCTAATCCTTTTCTGGTGGTCCCCACTATGATCAGTTCAGGAGGGAGCGATGACAATGGATGGCACGATACCTAGATTATTATTCAAGATATAAGGGTTCAAAATTTCAACACTTCCTTTTTGGCAGTAAAACAACAGGAAAAGTCTAAGTCTGGCTCATCGCTAATCCATACCCAGGTGGATAGAACCTGTCACCAACCTTACGACAACCTCTGTACCCATTTGAAGCATGTATTAGCTACCTATAATGGGTCATTACACAAGTGAGGCAGAGAAATATGAACGCTATCGTCACCAAGGCATTTCAATGTCTTGGAACGTCACCAGGGTATGACAAACACTTTGAATGTAGAAGTATTGCAATTCTCAGCTGTTTTGTGATCGTGGCTTACTGTAACCCTCAAGTATTCCCATCTGAAAGCCTAGCACATTGTCTGATTATTCACTGAACATTCTTCAGAGTGTTGACTGTTAACGTGTACCGACAAACTTTGATGAAAATGATGAGAAGGCTCCATCAATTTTAACAATCAGCCAGTTCGCGTGGGTCATTTTGGGGAGGGGGGACTTGCCATCACCATAACTAACACCACCACAACCACCACAACCACCACCGTCATGGATAATCTTCAATATCTTGATGCAATTCACATAATTGATCTGGCATATTTGGTACTTAATAAACATGAGGGACGAGAGTTTTTCTTCTGAGTACAGCGTTGTGCAGAATGCCACTTTTGATAGGTCGCCACTTAGATGACACTTCATTCATTCTTGCCCTTTGCATTCTGTTTCTTTAATATTCCTGAATCCAGGCTTAAGCCCCGTTGTCGCTGCCGAATTTGAGAAGCTTTTCCATCAAGCCCCGCGTAATACTACATCAAAAGACTTGCCGAAGTTGGTAAACACCACTACCATCAAGAGTTTATTGTCCGCAGCCTTAAACAAAGTTCCCTACCTCAAGGAATGGGATTATCCAAGTGGAGCGTCGGACACAGGAGCCATTTTGCGACTATACTGGTGGACTATTTATTCTCTAATCCACTGATATCATTCGAAATGGTGTCTTCATTAGCCTAACAACCATGTTAGTGTTCCTTGCAGATTGACAGTTGGAGGGTAGTTGTGCACTGCCACCACGAATACACGACTAACGAAAGTATCCATCCAGTCAGTGTGGAGCTTTATCTTAGACCGACATCTTGAGCAGCACAGTGATCAGTGATTTGCCAATATCAGCTAACATTGACAGCACCCTAGGGGGTAAAAGGCTTAGGTCCGGTGATTCCTAAAGCCTTAGGTTTCCGGGCAGTTGAAAGTATCTTGTTCGTGGTGTGACCAGGTTTTAGTAGAAAGGCGTTCGAAGCAGTATAGTTTACATAATGTCATCAG